CTTCATTCTTCCCCGGTAGAAAAGCTAAAAGTCTTTTTTTTTTTTTTTCTTCAATTTTAACGAAAACACTAAGTGAAAACGTGACAAGCATTAAAAAAAAAAATAACAATTTTCACAAACATTGGTGGGTGCCACTTCTTGGGCCTGCCTTTTGATAGTTCCAAAAAGGCTGAGGGGAAGGTTTTGTCTGCTTCCTGCTGTGTTTGAAGCTCTGTGTTGTGTTGTCCTACGTCTTTTCCCCAGTCTCGGGGGGGTTTGCCTTACATTATGGGAAGGAAAATTGGCTTGAAAAAGCAAAAAAGGAATCATACTTTTTTTTTTTTCTAGGTTAGGAGGCGCAAGCTACTTCGTGTTATAAAGGGTACAGCCGTTAGAACCCACCCACCCATCCACCTATTGGACATGAGGCATGGGATTGAATCCTCGTCTTCGCCGACCACTGACATTGGACAAATGGCGCGCACTTACGAAAAGGCTCTATTCCACTGCACATTTTGTTTACCTCAACCCTCGGAATATTCTTTTTCTTCCTCTTGTGCGTTATCCCTGCAAGAATATTTAGTGGAGTTGATGATATTGCGCTAATTGACTGTCTTAATGTTACCTTATTTGGGTGTTTCTATATTTCCTCCGAGGCGGTTCTTCAGAAGTTTAGTAAGGCCGCCATATCGCTCTCGTACCGTTTTTTTTTTTTTTTTTTCTTCTTTAAGGGCGTGGTGAGGAGGACAAACTAGCAAACTTCCCAAGTCTGTTATTAAGACGGTACCTCAAGCAAGGCCGGTCCTGTAATTAGCTTGGTATTTACAGCGATAAGAGTCCAGTTTAAAAATGAGAACTACTCTTGGGCGGTGATTTCGACATTACCTCGTTTGTTTCTTTTCTAATGGAAAAAGAGTGCAATATTCATTTACCAGCTCTTCATGCCGGGAAACGAGGCCCTGGTGATCTCATCATTTCACATCTACGCTTTAAAAGTACAGCGACATTGACTTCAGAGTTATGTGATTACTTTTTGGGGCGCATGGAAACTTAATTTAGTTGCAGTTCTTTGTGTTAATATACAAAATGCTGCAAAGCCTGACGAGGCCTGTGCTTCCGTACAAAGTTCGTGGCAGGTCAGCCAGCGATCGGTGTAATAACTCGTTGGCCTGCGCAGAACGGTCCTCCTTTACTTTCGTACCGAAACATTCGGAAACTTTTCTAATTATAATATTAATTGTGTTGTACGTTTACTCAGCCGGAAGTTACATTAATGAGCGTCTGGTGTCACAGCTGTAGATGACAAGTTTAGCCAGTGCAGTACAACCGCCAGTCTGGAGTCTTTACTGTGTGCATCACGCAGTCGTGGGAACCTTTTTAATGAAATATTTTTGGAAAGCGAACCATTGGGAAGGAGCGAAAGTATACAGGCCAGCTGGTTGAGAAACATAATCTAAACCCCGAGACAAGGAGAAATAAAATAAGATCTCCAATCAGGGCGCTGCTCCAATTCAAGGACGCCAGTGGCGTTCGGTTATTCCATTTCGTCTGCTTCCGTTGCGTCTGACGTCAACGCTGGGACCGGCGGCGTCGCTCGGGTTGGGTAAACGACCGCGGCGGGTTGAAAAACGCGCGTTGATCACATGATCATCTCTGCTCGTTGGCGTCATCGTCGCCGCCGCCAGTGGCGCCGCTTTCGCTGCTCGCGTTATTTTTTTTTTTCTTTGCTGCCACGTCGGATGGCCGACTCCCCGTAGCGTACGGAGTGTTCGTGTCCGCGATGCGACGTCCGAAGGAGCGGCGGCGAGGAGCTGCCACCAGCGCTCGTGCTCGGCGTTCGGGGGGGAGCCATTTTGCGCTGGCCGTGTGTTGTTTCGCTGGGCCCGTGGCGTCGTCCTTCGCTCGACTCGCACCGGGGAGTACGGCCGCGGCGCCGAAGAAGACCAAGTAGGACGCCTCCCGACGTCGTCGTTCGGCGATGTCGGCCGCTGCGAAACGACTGCCTCCCCGCCGTCGCTGGCGGCCGAGCGGCCGCCGAGGTGGTGCCTTCCGTCGTCTCGTCGCGAGGAGCCGGCCCTGAAATTTCGACCTCCGCGACTTGCCGTGGCGGGCTTCGTGGTCTGGCCCTCGTGGGCCTTCGCAGGTAACGTGAAACCGGGGAGGAAGGGCAGCCAGAAAGGAAAAAAAAAAAAAGCCAACATAAAGTTGGGAAACGAACAATAACGGCATTCTTGGTCGTAGGCATCGCTCCTTGGGCGAAAGGATGCCCGGTTTGCAGACGGCGCCAGTTTCTGCGATTTGAGACTTTGTTTTTTTGAACTTTTCGGTCGTCGGTTATCGGAACGATTTCGTTCTTGGTTCGTCGTCTGCGATGGCGATCCGGTGTGGTTAGGCACGGTCAGCGAGCTTTGCTTGTGATCGGAAAGACATCGGCAGACCTCAAAATGGACGCGTGTTTATGCACGGGACACTTTTTTTTTTGTCGATCTCTTTGTTTTTTTGTTTTTATTTTGGCGCCGTTTGTAAGGGCGATTGCAAATGTCGTCAAGGTTGGTAGTGCGTTTGCTGCGACTGGCGCTTGAACCCTAGTATTTTTTTTAATTTGTTTATGCCTGGTAGTTTGTTACTTTTTCTGCAGTTCCCGCATTTTCGTCGCAGCCGGCAAAGAAACTAGTTCAGGGTATGGTTTTGAATCGCGTTTTGTGAATGATAACAGCGGTATTTTGTCTTCAGGGCGTGTGCGACTTTTTTTCTTTCCTTTTTCTTTTTTTGGCGAAACGCGATTGCGGGCACAGTGTTGCCCGCTCGGCGGCGCGGCGCGTATGCCTTTGAGGAAAATGTAGGCGACGCTTTATTTTTATTTTTTCAATTTCCGCGAAAGGTCGTCGGTCGGAAACCGACCCTCGAAATGCTAGAAGTGTTTTTTTTTTTTTTTTCTTCTCAACTCTTAGGTTATCGTCTTGATTAGAGAAATTCTTGAGTGACGCGACTGACGTAATTTGTCCCCGGATTTCGTAATGTTTCGGGTAAACGGTAAAGTCGTGAAACGGGTGGTGACTTTTTTTCGACGTAATTGCGATGTTGACATTCCCGTAATTTCTTGAGATATTTTCAGATAGATAATTTTGCTAAGTTAGCCAAGCACCAGAGAACGTTCTCCGAGTGTGGTTACACAGATTGCAAGCAAACGTCTGCAACAGGAACTTTATATATATATATATATATATATATATATTGTTCATACAATGCTGCATGCCATGATAGGGAGACAAGTTCCCAAATTAATAAAAAGGCATATATATATATGCCTTTTTATTAATTTGGGAACTTGTCTCCCTATCATGGCATGCAGCCTTGTATGAACAATCTGCTTTGTAAAAACAAGTACTTGTGAGTTGTATAGTAAAACGACAAAATTGCCCTTAATTGAATAAAGATCTTTCGTAACAGTCGGAATCTGGAAACATTCAATGTTCTAATGCTCAAGACAAGAAAGGGGATGCTAGCTTTTGCGTGTGTGTGGGCTTAAAAGTTTCTTTAACAAAATTTAACGATGTAAAAGTATAAAGTTTTCCTCAGTCTTCTTTCAGTTTGGAAAGGGTGTCTACTGTCAGAAACCCACAGTGCTCCCTCGTCCAAAGTGTTTGCAAAGTGCCCAGAAGGACTTTGTTTTCAACTTTTGGGGGAAGGAGGTTTCTGGGGTAGAGGATTCCATACACAGTCTTCGTCGTCTGCTTTCCAGGTCCAAGTCTGTATGACACAGACTTGGACCTGGGAAACAGACGACGAAGACTGTCCTAGAGCTTGTTCAGAGATAGCAGTCCGGGGTGGGAGGGCGATAACGGGCCAAAATTTCTGGATGCTCAATTTCTGTGAGGAGGGCTAATCTCTTGTAGACAGACGGCAGAGCGTGAAGCTCAGTCGGTGTGATGTCACATTTTATGAGTACATTGAGCTGCTTCTCGGGCAACTATCTCTCAGCGTGGGAATGAGGCTCTGGGGTGCACATAGCTGAAGCATGCACCCAGATACACGTTTGTGTGTGTGCGCACGTGCGTGTGTTTGTGGAGAACGGTTTTGGGGACAGCTGTAGCATTTTTACCCGATGTGCAATCGGAATGTAGTTCTGGCCCATTTATCGTGTTATGAGTAGGGGTAATATTGCTTTTGTTTTGTAAAAGATAGCCACTGACGAAACTTTAGGTCATTTGTGGCTTTAAACTTGTGTGTCTGATACGTTTTGGCACACTTTACTAAGATTTTTTTCTTGCATACCTATGACTGGTACACTGTTTACAGAAAATCTGCGTTTGTCGACACCAGGTGCGGTCACTGTGCGTGCGCAGGAGCCAGACTCGCATCTGTGCATGCGCCTTGATAATAGTGTCAACCGCGACGCCGTGACGTGAGGGCTGCATGTTGGTGTATAACTTCGCTATGTTTAAGAGTCTAGCTGATGCTGGAAGCGTGTTCCTTAGAGTGGTGCTTTCACTACACTAACATGTGTGCACGGTACAAGCATGGCCCTCGCTCTAACTTCTGCGTCTCTTGCACTTGATGTGGCGCAGACAGTAGTACACATAAATCGCAACCCGCAAAAAATGTTTGCCTGCCCTCTGTATTGTACGCAAACATGGGGAAGTTTTTCGGGGGGGACAGTTCGGGTGTAAAATTCTGCCTTTGTCAGTATTGGTGAACACAACACCACACCACAAAAAAGAAAGAATGCAAACGATTGCCTCTCGAAACACACGAGTAAAGAAACCATCCTTTTCCGACTCAGACTGAGACTTTAGAGAATCAATGTGTCGTTTTTGCTTCCCGCAGTCTCGGGGTTCTGTTATGTCTAGTAGTATACACCATTTTGGACGCACTCCGACTTTCTGTTCAGTATTGTGTCCGAGCAAAAAAGTGCTGTAGTTTCTTTCGCACTAACAGTGTCCCGCGGCGCAGACAGCCTGCGTCCAAACCACCCGTTAGCGCGATGCCAGTGTCTCAACACCTCCCTCCTCTATGCGCAGGAGGCGGGGTGGTTGATGGGCGAGGAGGAGGGATGGCGGGAGAGGACAGCCCCGGAGGGGGACAGGTAGCGGCGGAGAGGGTCCCCCCACTGGATGGTGGGACCCCCCAGCAGGCCGCCATGCCCCACCCCGGTCAGACTCCGGCCGGCAACAGTTCCCCAGGGGCTGCCGAGCAGGCGGATGTTCCCCTGGCGGAGCTGCGCATGATGCTGATGCAGCAGCTGGAGTACTACTTCTCCCGGGAGAACCTGGCCAACGACACGTACCTGCTGTCCCAGATGGACAGCGACCAGTACGTCCCCATCGGCACGGTGGCCAACTTCAACCAGATCAAGAGGCTCACCAAGAACCTCAGCCTCATCGTGGACGTGCTCAGGGGTGGGTGGCACTAAAGGCGGCTTTACCCAGTTTGATTTTGCTCGAGGGTGTTGCAGTCCCTCGTAACTGCTTACGCCGAGAGAAGGCGCAATCTGTCAACCCTGGAACTGCGTGTAACTAACCTGCACAGGCTGCCATTAACTTGCAAATCCTTTTTGTGCTTTGAGTTGCTCCCTCTTAAGGGGGGACACTACCCAGAAAAAACAATTTCTGCAAAAAAAAGTTAATTTTAAAAAATGTCATATTTACATCCACCAACATCTAGAGAGTATTCCCAGAAAGTTTCATTAGTTTACACTGCATAGTTAATTTTTTATAAATTATTTTCGGTCCACTGATGCTAAACAAAAGGTAGAGGTTGGAGCACTTTGAACGCATTTTTCTCCATTCCACTTTTTGGCATAAATTTCACTTTAGGAAAACTATCATTTTGTTATTATGCAACTTGGATTCATTTTTATGAATTTTTCTGGGGTGAAATTTTAAGGGGAAGATAACTATGAGCTTGTATTTTTTATTTTTGTCATTTTTCATGCTCAAGAACTAAAAGTTTGGACAAAGGATGGAAATTTAAAAAACTGTATGTATTTATGTGGCTTTTTTGTCATGAAAGATGGTATGACATAGAAATATAGCTCCATAGTTATCTGCTTTGAACTCTCCCAATGCAATATAACACATGAAAACAACAAATTTATAGGTAATTTCAAAACGATAGTTTTCCTAAGCAGACACGCCCACTTTCGTCTTTGAACGTTTGCAATTTTTTTTGTACTTCACCCAGGTTAACAAAAATTGGCAGAAATGTTCTCAACATCAACAGAAACAAGCAGTGTAAATATAATTTAAATCCGACAAGTGGTTCAAAAATTTACTCTTTTGGGTAGTGTCCCCCCTTAAGGATCTCTGCTTAACCCGCTGGCCCCACCTGTCTGCACTCCTGGCCAGTGCCGGAGGTTTTGCACTATTTGCTAGAGAGGAATAGTTGTTTGAAACTTTGTCAGGGGCTGCCCGTAACCTTGTCGAGACTCTTTTGAGCCCACGACGTAAAATTGGGGCTCAAAAAGAAATGTCCACCGGTCGAAAGGGTTTCGAGGCTACCTGAAGCAGGGGACGTGTGAGCGCGGAAAACGGGCGTCATACAGCGGTTTCCGTAGCAACAACGTCGCTTCCTCGCTGTTTTCAGCTCTGGCCGGTTTAAAATAGGCTGCACGGTGTGACTAGTACGCCTCACGGCGAGCGCCTTACGGCGCCCACTTTCGCCTCTGTGTCTCTCCTGCTTTAGAGGTCACCAATGTGCTGTCTCGTCCTGAGCAGCCGAGTTCAATTGCAACGCGATCGGTCACAATCGATTGCACATGTGTTGTGTATGCTGGCCTTCAGTCGATTTGGATGTCATGTCAGTGTGCACGTTCTCCCACGCAGAGTCTCCAAACGTCCAGGTAGACGAGGCGGGTGAGAAGGTGCGTCCGAACCACAAGCGGTGTGTCCTCATCCTTCGAGAAATCCCCGAGAGCACTCCCGTCAAGGTGAGTCCTTGCCGGGTGAAAACGGAAACTGGACGTTGTGCGTTTGGACGGTTGTGGCGACTGGAAGTTTAGTCAAAGGACTACCGCTGCTAACCGAATAGGGGGGGCGTGTCTTTAATGCGTGTTGAACAACGATTACACAACCTCGCACCAGTACAGTCTAAGACGGAAAAGTGGAGTTGAAATTCAGTTATGACCCTTGTGTTCGGCGGTCTGAGCTTTCGCTCCATTTGCTCCGAACTGCTGAAACCGAACGCACTTCGCTTTCACAACAAAATGCTGTGTGGATGAAACTTGTAAGCAATTTTTAGGTTGGGTCTGCCACTGTGCGTGGAGGCAGCATAATCTGGTCAACTTAACTCTGCGCGGAATTTCTCCAATAATAGTTGGTGTATTGCAACAAATTGTTTGTTGTTTTTTTTTCTTTGGTGGGACGTGAACTTTTGTGAGGAGGCTGTCGAGAGGTTGCTTTGGTGAATGGGATGCGAGATCGTTGACCCCTCTTGTGGGCATCCTTTTACCCATCTCCTTGAACCTTCCTCGCCCATGTTGCAGGACATAGAGTCCCTGTTTGAAGGGGAGAAGTGCCCCCAGTTCCTGAGCTGCGAGTTCGCCCACAACAGCAGCTGGTACGTCACCTTCGAGTCCGACGAAGACGCTCAGCTGGCGTACCGGTACCTCCGAGAGGAGGTGCGTTCCTTCCAGGGGAAACCCATTATGGTGAGTCCGTTTGTTCGCTCACTCAGACTTTGTGCGCCCCGGTTCATCCTGTAGTATCGAGCAGTGCTACTGAACTACCTACGCTCAGTTTGCCCCCAAGCGGACAGCGTGGTGGATCCTACATGCCCGTTACACAAGTTGTATGTCCGTCTGTGTCACATGATCACTCTTCCATCCACACCCACGTGGAGAGAAAGGGTGGTCAGGTGAGGAAAGGGAGACGGTTGATCGGTTCGACGAGCACATAGCTCCTCCCACCTTACATCAGGTTAATAACAAAGTATGCGGTGTGGCCAACTCCCGGGGAATTGCGACCCTCTGGTTTTTGAGGAATTGTTTCGTGTCCTAAGGATCTTTGGTACACTCTGTTGTGAATGGTGGCTGGTCGGTTTCGAGGTGTTTGTCTTGTGCCGTCGAGAGGGCACTCTTTGGAGTAGTCTGAAGAATTCTGGGGAAGTTGTGTAACCTGGAAGGGTCGTTACGGCCAGTCACTTTACTAGTTGGCCAGGTGCTGCCTGGTGTGTCTGTCGTCCACTTTACCATCTGGTTAGTGGTTCGGCAGGGGCCATATGGAAGTTGCCAAGGTGCCGTATTAACTATGAGACCCAACCAGTCCCTTGCAGTGTGTCCTTTGCCCAGTTGCCTCATTCTGGATAAAACTTGGCGCACATTGCTTTAATGTTTTGCCACCATAATCATAGTTAATCACACTTCATATTGCTGCCATTATGGCAGTCTCGCGGCTCATATTGTCTAGCGGTGCAAAGAGATAGAAACACCGTCAAGGAAACATCGGAGGTCGATGCTACCCGTGATGCGTTCTTGTGAACACCCTCCGCACCAGCAGCAAGTCTCCTCCTTTGTTCAGTGGGGGAGGCGTGTGCATTGAGCGGAGGAACAGCAATGTCTCGCGACAGGCGGCTCTGGGGAGCGGGACACATCCTTTGGCTATTTCGGGTGTGCCCTGGTGTCTTGAGTCGCCACAGAAGTCTCTGGGGAAATGTAGTATTGCACCAGCATCGAGCATGCCTGTATGATGTGTAGCGTGTCCGAAGCTTAGGCTGAAGTATGGGGTTTTTTGGGAGCTGAAAACGAAGTGCTCTTCTGCTTTGCTTTTACTTAGGTTGGGACGAGTTCTTGCCAAGTTATAATCTTGTGCACTCTGATAGCAAACATTTTTTCTTACTGCGTGCAACTGTGTACGATGGAATCTCTCAATAGCAATGACTGATAATAGGACGTACAGTCAACTCAATAATTGGAAGCTCACAGGAGCATGAAAAAGTTGATTTTTGCTTGCCTCTGCTAACGGGGTCGTGTAATATGCCGCCGACGAAGCTGCACAGTATCAACTATGCTCTGCGAAATGCGAACCTTTTTTGGAGTGTGAGTGCCTTCAGCGGCTTCTTTGCTGCATCCACTCCGTGTCAGTGGCACTGGGCCACTAGGCACGGAGAGCGACGTCACCATTCCTACACCCAACTCTTGCACAATTTTACATTCTGAAAGCGGTCTACAGACCTCAGCATGTCTGTTGACGTCAACATATTCTCTGGGCAGAACATCTCGTAGGGAACTCTTTAAACTAAGCTTTGTTGGCCGTACGCACCGCGCTCACTTCTGTAACTTCTATAGGAACAATGCCATGTTGCTTGCACCCACGCACACAGTTGATAAAAGCGATAAAGTGCGCATGAGTGCGACATAACTTTGGTCAGCATGATTGCGAGGCTTTTACATGCTCCCAGACTCTGCAGAATTCTGGAGCATGTAAAGAAAATTCCTAGAATTAACCAGACCCAGAGATTGCACTTGGATTTACCGTGCATGTGTAATTGTCGAAAATCAGAATAAGAAGACTTAATTATTGGGAGTCTGTAGCAAAACAAAGTTGAAGCATTCCTGTAATACTGGTTTACAGGCATCATCCGAGATGTGTCAAGTTTCTTTTTCCGGAAAACTCTTTTTACTTTCGGGGGGGGTGCGGGTTTTAGCATATGGGCAGCCCCACAGAGTTGGACGGTCCTCCCCCCACCCCGCAGGCGCGCATCAAGGCGAAGCCCATCTCCAGGGCGTCATTCCTTCCCCCCTACAAGAATGGGCTGCGCCACCACCAGCCCCTGGCCCCCCACCTACTAGGGGAGGCTCCCCCCGTTCCCCGGGGGGTGGTTCCCCAGCCTGTCCAGCCCGCCCAGCCCAGCCAGCCCTCCCAGGCCCAGCCGCATCACTCGCAGGGGGGGCCGGCCAACAGCGTGCCCCAGGGGCCCGCCCACACGGGGGCCCAGGCCACCGCCGCACCCGCCGCGGCGGCCCCGCAGGGACACCAGTTCTACCAGGGACCCCTGCAGGTAGCTGCTGCCAAAAGCTGTGTTTATTTTTTTTATTTTTTTTTTTTTTATTGGGCATTAGGTTGAAGTTGGTTCTGTGTGTACCATGCTTTCCGGACTAGTTCGACTTGACGAGTTTTGTGATTGACAGGGTGTGTTTATTCGCAGACTACCGTAATATCCAGAGAGATGCCCCACCTTGAAAGATAGCCCATCCCCTATTTTTAGCATGATTTGCTATTTCTGTGTTTCAAGAATGCCGAAAGATGGCCCAGTTCTAGTAATTGCAGGGCCCTGGCTACCTTGGTAGAAGTGGCGTTACTTGGTTCAGACAAGACGGAACATTAATTACTGGGAAGGACAGACTTGGTTCAGACAAGAGCGAACATTAATGACTGGGAAGGACAGTCAGCTGTCTTTGGTTTCGTCCCTGCAATCACGAGTTTAGCGGATTTCCAAGTGTAAAACTAGCATTTTTACAGCGAAGCTGTCATGAGCTAGGATCTGGGAAAAAATGTGTCCGTGGATGTTGACACAGAACTCCCCATTGGTCGTGGCAAGTATAAATAAATGAAAATAAAAAAAGGGGGGGGGGGGGGGCCTACCAGGGTGAGTCATCCGTCCGTGGCATTTTTAGATAGTGAGGTCCTCATCCCTGTTGTCTCTACGCATCGTCCAAGAGGTCGTCCTCGAAGTCATTGAGGTCGTCCTTTAGGTGTTGTCCTTGAGGTCGTTTTCTAGACGTTGTCCTAGAGGTCATCCTCCGGGCATCGTCCGAGAGGTCGTCCTAGACGTAAAAATAACCTTTACGCTGGTCCTCCATCTTTCTGTGAAGTGGAAAGGGCCTACAATTTAACTTTTTTTTTTTTGATCGCACACCGAAAGTTAGCCCAATTAGCTATCCTCAGAAGTGCCATTTGTGTGGGTTTCGTCACCGCAACCGTCCAGCACCCTAGGTATCTGCGGAGGAGGCTCCCCCACTGGCTTCCCCCGCTCGTAAGCAGGTGCGACATGAAACTGACCGGGTTTGAGCATCGTTGGAGCCCCACGCAGGCTCCTGTGCCCGGGGCTCCTGGTTTAACCTCTCGGGACAGGTTTTATTCTCTCGCACACATCTCGGGAGAATGCACGTGATGGACTCCCGACATGTGTGCTCCTCTAGACGACCTCTGTGTTGGATCGGTACTGTGGGTGGGCTTCCAAATTGCGGTACAGCTGCCTGTAGCAAGGGCAGTTCGCAGGTGCTCCTCCGGACAGTACGAGCTGCAGCGTTCGATCCAGACTTGGGGCACATTCTGGCCCTTGGTCCGCGGCTTTTTCGAACATTGTAGCATATTGTCTGCAAGGGTTCCTGGGTCGAAAACTTGCATCCCTTTACCTATAACATAGTGAGGAAGTGCTCGGGGCGCATGCGAATGAAACTTTTTTCTAGAACGCGTCGCAGCATTTGCCATGCTTTGTGCCCTCACCTACAGAGTACCTTGCACCATGATCTCGAGCCAGTTTCTCTATTTAGACCTTTGCTATATTTTTTATGTTCTTGACATATTTATACAACTGTCGAGGTTTACTACACTTTTTTCCTCTGTTGTCGCGAAAGCAAAGTTAGGGTAAGCTTGTAGTTTGGGCAGATGCGTTTAGGTATGTTGTAATCTTTTTTTTTTTTTTTTTTCTTGCGGGGGGGAGTGCCTTGGCTTGCGAGCCGCGCGTCTGTTGCGAAGACACCTAGCCTGATCCCAGCCCCGTCCTCCTCTCCCCCCCCTCCCTCCTGAGTGGGCTGTGGTGTGTGACCCGCAGGTGAACTACAGCCCCGCGGGGGCCGGCGCCGGCGCCGCAGCTGCCGCCCAGGGGGGCCAGGTGTACCCCCCGTTCTACCCGCCAGCTATGCTGCAGACCTGGACCCCCGCCACGCCCACCTGCTTCGACCTGGGCACGGTGAGGACCATTCCCTCGCTCCTCCGTTTCACTTTAGTATTTGCGGCTTTATGTGCTGAAAGTTTATGAAGCCCTGTGCTATGAACTTGGATTTATCATTTTCATGTGCCTTTATTATAAAAATAGTCATTTGCAAATCTTTTTAAATGGAAAAAAACAATCCGGCATACTTTTTTTTTTTTTCTTTTTATAGTAACTGGGAACAGGTATTCCAGTATGTATTTCGCGAGAAAAATATGTGGTTATCAGCACCATTTTTCATTGGTGGATTCATTGAGCTGATTCCATAAAATGCTATGCTTTACTTTGTTCTGGGGGTATGGTACCTCATAAAATTTGTTCACAAAGCTGAAACTTTGCATGTCCTGCCTCTATAGGGCTACAAACACCACCTGCGAATATCACGCCGATTGAGTGGGCGGTTTCCCGACCGAGGTGCCCGCAATCTGATGGAGGCTTATTGCGGAGAAGACGCCGTGGTAACAGAGCTTTCGGTTGCGCGTCAAAAGATCCCCAGGTGGTCGAAATTAATCCTCAGTCCTCCGCTGGGGCGTGCCATATGCCCATCGTTGGTTTGGCACGTAAAACCCCCAAATTTTGAGTGGGCGGTTCAAAAATTGAGGTTTCCCAGGTAGTGTCCCATGTGAAGCCAGACTGGAGCTGATGCTACGAGTCATCTGAGCAGATTGAACGTTGCGTGCGTGTCACGTGACCTCCAGGAAACGTTTATAGTGAGGAATCGGCTGGGGTGGTATCGGGGAGTGCTCTGTACGATGGTCTTGCTTTCTATTTCTAGTTGCGGGACTAGTGTACACTTCATTTGACGTAGGAAAATTATGTGCCCGGACGACCCGACGGAGTCCTTTAGAAGAAGCCGGTATGTCAGGTTCACTCGTTGACTGCAGCTAACTGGAAAATTTAACGATGCGACACCGAGTGGTGCTGCCCGTTCTTACAAATGCGGCAACGAGTGGTCTGCAGGAAGCAGGCGTCTTGGACCGTCTCCTTCGGGACATTTGCACCACACGTCTCTTGCATTCTCTCTACGGTGGTTGTACTCGTAACGAATGTGTTCTGTCGGTGGTCACAGTCGGTTTGCACAACGTTTGTCGGCCAATAGAGTGCACCGTATCCTACGACTTTTCTGCATGCTTGCCCCTATTGTTAACGATGCATGAAACAAGCTCTTCTGTGCGGTCGTGACCAAATCGAGGTAACGCTGCTGCTCTGACAGTCTTGCTTGTAGATGCTGGGGGTATGCCACAAAGTACGGAACCCCCGGAATGGAAATTCGTAGGGCGGACGAACTTGTATTGGGACCGGGTCGTCGTGGGCGAGTTCGAGCTCCCTTCTGTGATCTCTGCAGGTGTTCTCCATGAATGGCCTGGCCCCGCAAGCGACCTACAAGCCCCTGAATGGCACGGGAGGCACGGGCCGCCACGGGTTCCCCGTCCTCTGGCAGGGGGGTGGCGGTGGCGGCCGCTCGTCCAAGTCTTCCTACATGCGCCAGGGGTGAGCTTCTCCCGCCACCCAACTACCGATAATGTCGCGCTTCTTTCCCCTAACCTTTTAGAGCGAAGCTGTTGTGCACTAGGGTCTGCGAATAAATGTGTCCGTGGATGTTGGCAGAAAACTCCCCAGTGGTCGTGGCAACTTATAAAAGCGATTTTGTCTTCCTCTGTCGAGGACAGTTTTAATATTTCTAGAGGATGGAAAGCGTTTCTTCTGATTCCAGTTAAAGCTTCAGATGGTAGCTGGCAGCCACGATTTTAAGCGCCGAGCGTAGCTTCTTTGCTTTCTCTGGTTCTATCCCACCCTCTGTCCCTTGTGATTTTCTTAGGTTTAATATAGGCTAGGTTTTGTTTGAAGTCCGTTCGAACCTGATTGCTTGTAGTCTTGGTTTGAGGAACGGCTTTTGGTTGGTTTGAAAACGTTCGAGGCTGCTTTTGTCGCAAAGCGGGATAACTGCATGGTGCCAGGCAGTGCTAAGGTTGCGTAACATTGAGGCTGAATCTTGGATTCATTTTATTTCTATACTTCATTAACCACATACTAAACGTTGGTGTCGTTATACCGTTGGCATCGAGAGTTGTCGAAGAGCACCGAGCCTTCCGGGACGACAGAACGCTAAAGAAACGTCGCCGTTTTATTCCGGGATACAGGCGAGGCCAGCAAAATTATAAAGGACATGGCGTCGTTCTCTCTATTGCACACCCTTGCACCATTGAGCTTGCCTAGTGAAATTTGCCAGTGAGACACAAGTATAGTCGGGAGAGAGGGTAAGAAAGAAGTAAATGCCCTGCTTCTAGTGGAACCTTTCTGCTTGTGCTAAAACTTCATCAGATGTCCAGCCAACCCCTGGCGGATGGCAAGGAGCATGAGCTGGAATTGGAGCTTCCAGTGCGTTCTTACTGGCTAGAGAACACTCGTGGTGGCGAATTTTCACTGTGCCTTTCAGTCACTGACATATAGAGTGGACTCGCAATAATTGAAACTCGTATATTTCCTACTTTTGGTTAATTAAAGCATCTTTAAATAATTTTGGTTGTCCTGCCGTGGTTTCAATGTATTTGTAAGCCACTAAATTCGAACTGCCATTTCGTGCCATAATTCGTGCTTTCCGTTTGCGCCGCCCCATTGGGCACGCTTTGTTCCGAGCACCTGCGGAGAAGCAACACCCGCTAAGCTCGCTTCCACGGGCGTCTCTTCTCCACGGTGCACCGGTGCTAGATGAGAAGCGTGCTCACTGGGGCTAGTAGTTGACGATGGACAACTTTTTTTGCTGTACGAATGTACCGTAAAATACCGGGCAAGTGCCCACTCGAAATTTGGACATAATCGCATATTTTCTCAGATCTCGCAGATTTGGGAATGGGTGCTTAGCGTAGAATGGCAGGATGTGCGGTATTCTACGGTATTTAATTTTGTTTTGAGGTGTCACACGCAGTCTGAACAGTCCACAATGGACAACGTTCTTGAGTGACGACTACTTGTCATACATTTCACCGGTGTTTCATGCGTGGCGTAATCGCTTATGATTTGTAGGCCTGTGGAAATGACCATGTATCTGCTTTGTGCATGTAGCCATCCACAAAAGAAATCATAATTTTCTATGCATTTCCAATCGTTGCTATAATTGGAGTAAAAAGTGTAGCTTCCTGACGCTCCTTGAAGAAGGGGGGTGGTGCGGCGTCTGAGGAACGTTTTGGGGTGGCGCAGTGGCGGCTCCGGGGGCAGTTCCTACGACGCGGGCGACTCCCGGGGCTTCTACGAAAGGCAGGCGGGGGGCGCCCTGCTGGGGGCGGGGGGCTACTCCCCGGCCTACCTGGCCCCACCCCCCTACCCCCTGAGGGGCACGGCGGCCGGAGGAGGGGCGGGGGCCTACCTGCAGGAGTTCCTGCCGGCTTCCAAGCGGGACGGCGGTACGGCGTCTGGAGGGGGCGCATTCTACTCGCTCTACCAGAGGAGCCCCAAGGGCGACCCGGGGCTGCTCCAGGGCAAGGAGGGAGTGCCCCCAAAGTACACCGAGTGAGTGGCGTATCCCTCTCTCGCCCTGGTGACAAGTTGTAGCTGTGCGGGAGTTTGTACGAGCTACTTGCAATTGTTATAATGCAGCTTTGAGCCAGCGGGGACGGGGGACAATTGTGCGGGGTCGAATGTGCAACGTCAAGGAGTTTGCCATGTTTCAGTGCATAGGTATACCAGTCACCTGCAGTTCATCCGCTATGGTTTGAGCTTCAAGTGGAACGCTGGTCTTGCAGCTTTTCTTATTTTATCACCAAACCCAATGAAACTGCACAAGCTTGCTCGGTTTTTTTTTTTTTTGTAGCAGACTTCAAATGTCTGGTCATTTTCTCAGTTAGTAGATATAGCTCGCCTGTCTTAGTTTGGAGGAACAATAGAGAAAAAACTGCTCAACAAAATATTCTCTTTAACACGTGGCCAGATATTACTAAGTATAAAGAATGCAATGTTGGAAGAACTTTGAAGATTTACTCAGTATTAGTGATTTTACCACACACTTCAGTGCTCAATGTGTGACCGGCAAGTAATAGAACAAAAGATAAATTGAAAATATTTTTTAGACCTATACTGAAAACTCTCTCAACATTATATGCTTCGCACGTCTAGCTACATGTTGCAAAAAATTTATTTTCCTATCTGCCCTAGATGTGGAGTAATGTCTATGCAGGCTAAATATGCATTGAAGTTGATTTTAAATTATAATGCAATTAAATGCAAAGGTGCGAGCGAGCTGGACAAGAATGACGAAAATGATCCCCGGAGAAGGGGAACAAGAGGGACAAAGGACAAACACAAATCTCCTAACACAGCTAGGTGACTGGTGAGCGATTGAAAAAATCCACACTCCAACCTAAGACAACTTCCCAGGTCCCATTACAGGTGGAGTGTAATGGGACCTCTCCATTACACTCCACCTGTAATGGAGAGGTCTTGGGTTCGATACCCGGACCAGGCGGATTTTTTTCGGTCGCGCACCAGTCACCTAGCTGCATTTGGAGATTGGTGTTTGTCCTTTGTCCCTCTTGTTCCCCTTCTCCAGGGATTATTTTCGTCATAATTTTAAACACCGTTTTCACAAAAAAAAAAATTTTTTTTTTATTCATTGAAAATTTGCAGGAGGGATTCTTGGAAATTCTCAGAGTCCAAAAATTGTGCTACAGCCTAAGCTCGTTATAGCAAACATTCATTTTGACCAAGGTTCGGTCTGTTGTAAGATGAGTATGTTGTATGCAGATAAGAAGTTGAGTCAATGGTGCATAGAGGAAAACTAAATGAACTTCACATATTGGTATGTTTCGCAAATTTTCGACAAGTCCAAAAATTGTCTTATGTGAAGGCTGAGTTTTAGAGTCCACTTCAATGCACATTTAGCCCGCTTGTTGTACATTCTAAAATTTATAGCTCGAATGTTTATCTCTGAAATTAGAAACCTGGTAGATTCAAAAGAACATCGCCATTTCCAAGAGAATCGAGTTTTAGGAATTTTTTTGCTCCAAAGACCAATGTCCCTCCAAGTGTGTGCGTCGATATTCGTAAGTATTCTAGCCTTTGACTGGCACTCTGGCATATGGCGGAACAGAACATAGTGGGAACAATGGAAGTGCGTATTTACCACCGAATAACCAATGTCTTTCAAAGGAATTTCGTTGCATGGTTGGACATTGAAAGGATCTCCTCGAGATCCAGCGTCGGTTTAACTTCCTTCGTGAGCTTTGTTGAAGCACCCTAGGTATCTGCGGAGGAGGCCCCCCCACTGGCTTCCCTCGCTCGTAAGCAGGTGCGACATGAAACTGACCGGGTTTGAGCATCGTTGGAGCCCCACACGGGCCCCCGTGCCCGGGGCTCCTGGTTTAACCTCTCGGGACATCCATAGACGCGAGTACATGCGGTTGTATCTTGAAAGAAATGCAATTTTCCTTCAAGAGTTGATGTCTAGCTTTCTTACTCTTGGCTGCGATGGTTTCAGTGTCGTGTTTCTTGCTCATGTTCGCTCAGAGTTGGCCCTAAATTTCAGAACTTTCTTTGGGGTTGCTCTGAGATCTCTCTATTCCATCCCACAGGAACCGGTTACGACGTAGGAAAAAAGAAGAAAATGGCTCAAAAGCGGTGAGTTTTTTTTTTTTTTTTTTTTTTTTAGTGAGTTGCGGGCGAGAGACAGTGGGGGGGAAGTTTTGTGGCCATTCCTTAATGCTTGTTGTAGAGAACCACTCGGGGGTTGTTTGCTAACGGTGGAGCACGTTGTACGGTTTCAGGACGGCGCCATTGCGGACGGAGCAGGAGCCAAGGCCAAAGAGGAGCTGGAGGCCCCCAAGTTTGACCTGGAGGAGGCCGCGTTCCCGCCCTTGCCTGGCTTCCTGGTGAGTTGTCCCAGTCACGATCGCATGCCCGTGTTATTCAAGAGGTGGTGTCGCTTCAACGACCTCCGGCATGTTGGCAGACATACAGGTTGCTCCGCCAAAAGGGGGGGGGGGGGGGGGGGGGGGGGGGGGGGGTTCGAAGTTGGAAAAGTCGTCAAATTCACCATTTTCTCAAAATACTTTTTGGGGTCGCTTCGGGTGTTCTAAAGCCGCTACTTACTTCTTATGGGTCTGCAAAGTTGGCAAGTAAGGCAAAACGCGAAATGAACTCTATGCGCAGGCTTAAAGTTGATGAAGCCGTGCGTAAATTTTAAAAACCGCCCTACTGCGTACAACGCGACGCAATGTGTCCATCTTGGACGCGTTCAAAAGAGCGCATTTTCTGCTTTCCGTCGGAGTAACTCCCGTACCTCTGGTTTGTCTGGGAAGAACGCAAAGTGTCGAAACGCGCGACGCCGTGCACCGGTGCCCATTGGCTCCTTTGAACACGCAATAAAAGAGCGCGCTCCAGTTGGGCACTCCTCCAGTTGTCGTGGTAACCGCACGACGGGGGGGGCAAAAGCGCACTCCCAGCGCGCTTTTGCCCCCCCGTCGTCTCTGAGCGCGCTTGTTTGACGCTTTGACTTGTGCCACGCACACCGTCAAAAGTTGAAATTTTCTCAGTTGCAAAGATTTCTTCGCCATGCCCAACTGATCTTTCAAGAGAAAGCGCAAAACAAGCGAACGATTCGGCATGAAAAGGCGGAGACGGTGGAACCACGACCGCCGTGAACGGAACTACTACTGGAACTGCTGGTTCCGAAAGTGTGCCAAGTTCGGCAAGAGAGCCCCTGCGAGAGGTGGTTTCAACTCCAGAGAATGAATGCTGCATTTCCTCCGACAGAGGTAGGACAGTGGATGCACACTTGCAAACGAGCTTCGTAGAGCCAGGTCAGGCACAGGCCATAGCAGACAAATTCGCGGAAGGTTGAAAGAAACGAATGCAGTGAATGCAACGAAGCTGGCCTAGATGTTATGAAATCAATGAAGCACGGCCTGGCCGTGAAATTTCTAGTTTGCCGCGACTAGCAAAGTTGCTTCTTTTTGGTTTTCACCGCGACTTGAAAGTTCAAGAGCGTTCAAGGTGAACATTCTAGCCATGCAGGTGATCCAGAAAACCGGCAGAAACCCTGAATTTTTGTGCTACGTTGAACATCTCGCACAGAGGGCTGCCTTAGGGAACCTTTCAAGAGCACCTGTAAAAACAGTTCTTGCCGACCTTAAGGGCCATGCTCGCAACTTTTTTTTGCAGAGTCTGCTGCCATTGTGAGGGAAGTATACCCCTCAAAGGCAGCAGTGTAGCATACTACCTACAAAGAGTGGAAGAGCCATGACTGCCAACAAAACACCACTGTGAAGGCTAGGAGAATGGAAGCTGAGGCTGCCCTGGTCCTGCTCCGCAGGTCTCTCGGTCACGACGGGCTCCGATTCACCACAAACATTCCAATGGCGACGGCAGAACGCATCAGGCTCTCTGTCGGGACAATGGTTATTGCTTGTTTCGTATTGTCAAGGAGGAATGTCCGAACCACGTTGCCAAGTGCATGGGTTCAGCACCACTTGGACCTGTAGACAAGAACAAAACACAACGGCCGTTGGGAGAAAAAGGGCGCCTCACTCAGGATCTCGCCAAGCGGCCTACGAATTATTTTTTTTGGGCCTTTGAGAGTAATGCAAGTGATGTCGAAGAGATGCAACGAGCCATCGTGCCAACTTTTCGCCACGTGACATCTACTGATGACGACCAAGATCCTTGGTATGCACCCCCCTCCCCCCCTCCCCTTGAAAAAGAATGCGCGTCACTGTTCACAGTGGAAACTGGAGCGGCAGAAGCTGTTTGCGGGCTAGCGCTGGTTCTGCAACGAGTGTGTGCAAATGCTTACAGTTGGAACTCTAGCTTGGCAAACTAACAATGATCAGAGCTTGGAAAGAAGATGCACTGAGGCTGAAGAAGGCACGAGCAAGGAAGCGATCGTGGCAGAAAGGCGCCGAAATGAACACAAGACAGTGCAGACTACTGTATAGGGGGCTTCTGAAGTGAAAACTGGGACACTTGATCTTCAAGCCCTATTTCCTCAAAACACACTTTTGGTCAATCGGGTGTGCTTGTGCAGGGGATAACTTGAATAACTTGAACATTACTCACCCAATTTCTATTCGAAGAGCTTTATGCACATTGTGTGGTCACAATCGCTTATATTTTTTTCCCAATCACAAAAATCATTTGTTTCACCCCATGTAAAGTTGTCTTTAGAAAATGTGCAGCCAATTTTTAGGTGGTGTGATATTTTGTAAAGTTTTGGAGCCCTGCACAGGTGCCACTCCCATCATATTGTAATTTGGTGCAGTCACTTACAATACAGTCACAGACCGATTTTTCGGGCGCCGATATTTTGGACATGCTCGATAATTTTATGGAATCGTCATTCACCCCATGGGTTTAATATATCATACTGATCAATGATGAAACTGCTGTGCTAAATTGTGCCATGAACAATATTCTGCTACATCTTGCATCAAAATTCGATTTTTGCTACCAACCTACGCCAGGATGAAGCAAAAAATGCAAATATCTTTATCTTTTTTTGGTATGGTACAATGGTACAAATAAGTATCACACAGCATCTCTGCCCACTTTGTTTCATCATAGGTTAGAGGAGACTTAAAGACTCGTACACATATACTAAAAGCGCAATTCATGGGACAGTTGTTGTGCTGAAAGCAGTGTAGTCCAGCTTGCTCAGCTTTCTTGCTGTCACAATTAGCTGTGCCATCCAGACTAGTCTGTAATGGGAAAATGCCTAGACTGGCACTTGGATTTCTGCGAATATTGGTCATGACGCGTCGGTGCCGCTCTGCTCTGCTCGTTGGCAGCTCGAGAATCGACCAGGCTCATACCCTAACTACAAGAGAAAAGAGAGGGTGGTACCATTGGCGAAGCCACCTGCCGCACTTTGCTCCTGAGACTAGAAGAGACTCAAATAAGCACGCGCTCATAACTACCGTAAAATACCGGCCCGCGCCGCCTTAAAATTTAGAAATAATCGCGAGAGAATGGGGGATGGGTGCTGTTTTGGTCATCAATTTTACATATTAAATGTACTGTGCGTATTTCCTCAGATTTTGCAAATTTGGGAATGGGCACTTGATGTGGACTGGGCAGATGCGCAGTATTCTACAGTACACGCAACCCAATGGGGTTAGTGGAAGAAGAGGTTCCCTAGTACGGCGACCATGCTCTGCTTTTGGGGAGCAGAAGGCGAGTTTCTGAAACCGCCCGCAGTCGCCAACAGTTGCCGTAGCTTCGCGATTTTCCCGCCGCCTCGTCCGCTGCGCACGAAACGTCGTGGACGCACCCCAGGTATCTACGGCGTGTACCCCTTCGCTGGGGCGCCGTTCGTTGGCGGGTGCAACATCATTCCGCCGAGGTGATGCATCGTTGGAGCCCCAGTTGGCCCCTTGTGCCTGCGGGTTCCTGGTTTACTTTTCTCGGCACACGTATCACGTCGCCGGCCCTAGGGTCGCGAAATAGGCTGCGGAGAGGACGGCTCTCGGCGTCCCCAAAGTTAAACCGAACATGGCTCTCGCCCGTCGATCGCGGAGCTGTCGCGTAAACTCTGTCCACCCGCCGGGGCGCAGGAAGGGGAAGCCAGTGGCCAGGGGACCCCGTCGGAGGAGAGCGCGACACCGTCGTCGTCGGTGGCGAGCAGCCGCCTCTCGGACATTGTCAGGGGCGGTGCCAGTCGCACCGGCGTGCCACCCGCCACCCAGGTTTCCACAACTGCCGGCCCGCCGGCGTCGGCCATTGCCGTGGCCAAGCCGCCCACCAGGGACTGCAAGACGCAGACTGCAGAGTCCTCCCTGAGTCCGGGATCCGTGGCGACGGCGACGAGACCGGTTGCCACGCCGGCAATGGCAGTGGTGGCGACGCAACCGGCGCCGTCCGTGGCACCGACGACGAAGGACAGCGCCACTTTGACCAACGGCGGCGACTTTCCTCCCGTGATGCTGACGCCACCTGCGTCGCCAGTTTCTGCAGCAACGTCCAACACACCGTAAGTTGCATTCCTTCTGTGTCGCTGGTGTAGTGTGTTTGCTTGATAGCCTTTCAGTTTTTTTTTTTTTTTTGGCAAGAATGGTCGTGTATCCTAAATTCCTTCTTAGGCTCGCTGCTCGCTCGGTTTTACCTTATGGGGCGCCTGCTTGTGTTCCCGTTTATGCGTTTTTCCAGTTGCCCATTTGGCCACTTGTCTTGTTTGGGCTCGCGCGAAACTAATGTAGCGGTGATTTATTCCTCGCAGCTGTCAATTCGAGCGCTACTACGTTCCGAAACGAAGTATGGGTCTTCAGGCACTGTGTGGACATTCGGCGACTTTCGGTTTTCCTGCAGTGCGTTCGCCGGACCGATGATCCAACTCCCTAATTGACTCATCCCAATTTTTGTGGGAGCGTTGTTGTGTTGGATAGTTACAAAAATTAGAATTTCTCTCGAGCCTCACGTGCCCCTCCCCATGCGTTTCCAGGCGAAGGCCAGCCTCTGCCATCGTCGTGGCGAGGCGGGAGAGTGCGCCTCAGCAAGAGGGCGCCGAGGCAGCGCCGGCCCAGAGGATGGAGAGTCCAGCGGCCTCACCGGCCCAGCCTGCTGCCGCGCCGGCTGCGGAAGAAGGTCCGGCCGTTGGCCCCAGTACCACCTCGGCACCGGTTGCGGCGCCAGCGACGCAGCCTCCAGTTGCGGTGAGCACCCTCTTGGAACCGCGGCCCACTGCCGCGTTTGTTCTCCAGATTCGTGCACGTCGTTTTGGGGGTGAAGGTGAAGACAGGAGTGGTGCGTGGCAGCTATTTGCATTGGTGGTACCGAGATGGACGGAGGAAAACAACCACGGTAAAGCAGAAAAAGAGCAGGCTCTACTTTATACTCTCTTTCGCCTTGGATCCGACTGCAGTTGACCCTGCAGACCAATGGGGCGGGCGGCGACGGCGCTGCCTTTACGGGATTTTACGGTAGTCAATAAAAATCTTGAATATTACGATGGTTTCCCGACTAGAGATTAACAATGTAGGCGTGTTGCCAATAGAAGCTGCCCTAGTTTTCTTCCCTTGTAACGGACAGACCTGAAATTTTGTTATGCACCCTTTAGCATGACCACCAGCCTACACTGTAAATTTCGTTAATTTTAAGCCGAGGGTGACCATCCCAGGTGGTGTGTCCCCTTAATTCTGCTGAGATCTAAGGCATTCAAATCGATATTGGAGACCCCTAAAATTCATTGTGCGCACCTGCAACCAACGTTGCGCGTCCCGGCGGCAGAAAATGCTCGCGGACAACGCTTGTGAAATGGAACCTCACGATTTCAGCCTCGGCGCCGCTAGCATCAACGATTTTGGTCGCAGAGACCGAGGTGAATCTGGTATTGATTAGCGTTTTGTTTACTAACACCTCGCTGGCAATCTGGGACTATCTAAGTCTGTGTCCGTGCTCCATCTTTTTCGAGGCCACCAGAATGCGCGAGGTTGTGGCGAATCTCTTGTCCTAGGCTCTTAACACGACCGGTTTTGTGTTTCCCGCCGCAGAGTGCACCCAAGGTGGCTGCCGAAGAGGGCCGCCGGCTGACCTACTCGGAGGTGGCCGCCATGGCCAAGAGTCGAGCGGCGGTGGCCGCAGCCCCCGACCGGGATCAGCAGCAGCAGCAGCCAGCCAAGGAGGGCCCAGGGTGCACCAAGCCGGGGCTCCGCAACTCTGGCGGTGAGGGATGCTGCAACTCTGGGCTTATCGGTTTCACTGCAGAGCCTTTAATCCGTCTTCGACCGACGCTTTTACAGCGGAGCTGTTAAGGGCTAGTTTCCCCAAAATCACGTCCGCGTGCGAGCAGCGTGTCGACACAAATGGATGGATGGATGAATCCGGCTGAGCCCTTTGGATCGGGTGGTAGCTTACGCCACCTATACTCCGTTTCACCTTCAGTCCGAGCGCAGCGGACGCTAGGACTAATCCCAGCCAATCCAGCGTGGGGAGAGTGTCATGTGACCTCGAGCTCCCTGTGTCCCTCTGCCAAACCTGCAGGGCACGCAATTTTTTCCCGGCGTGGGATCGGCTGGGATGGCCTGTGGCGTCCACTGCGCTCAGACTGAAGGTGGAACGGGGTATTGATAAAAGTTTGGACAGCTACCGCAATCTACGAGCGATGGTGGTAACTGGCTTGCTGGTTGTCGGGTTGCCGCAATGCTATCTTGTGCACCTTGTTATGTCCTGTTCTCCCTTTTGTCCTCGTCCTTGCTGCGCACAAGATTGCATAAGTTGATTTCCTCTAGGCGTTGTCCTAGAAGTCGTCTCTGGGGTCGTCCCGGAGGTCGTCCTCTAGGCGGCGCCCCCGAGGTCGTCCCCTAGGCATCGTTTTAGATGTCGTAAAGGTAACAGCTCTAAATTTTTTTTGTAGTCCCTCGATTTCCATCTAGTGATGTCGCACTTGTGTGGTGCCGTCGCCCGCTGCGATCGTGGCAGTGGATCGGTGATGTGTGCTGCGCCTTCCTCATTGTCACCGAATAGACTCGACACTTGCGTTCAGTCGTTTCTTTTGCCAGAAAATCGGCAATGAATTGCCAGGATGCCAACAATCGACAGCTTGATGTGCCGGCTCCTGCGACATCGAACTGTTTGGGAACGTGGAATGTTCCCGTGTACCGCCCAAACCGAAAATTGTACACGTTGGCAAGTCCGGTCTCGGCGCCGCCATCTTGCCCAGTGGGGTGCGCTTGGGCTCGGCCATATTCTGATAGCGACGCCTTAGCGAGGCTTCGTAATCATATTATGGCGCATCCAAGCGCACCCCGACAAAGCAAGATGGCAGCGCCCTGAAGCGGGACTTGCACACGTGTGTATTAGCGACGTCTTGTACGCGAGGTTGCACAAAGTCAATACGGTTGAAGTGTCCTTTTGGGGACTGTGGTACGGCATCCGCAGTCTGGGAACGGCTTAGCAGAACGATGGTGCTACCGATAGCACAAACAGTGAAAGGCCCGCCTCGTCGCGTCCAATCTTCGGATGATTCAAACCCGTGCCACGGTCCGACCGCTCCGCCTTTGTTCCTTGCAGGCTGCAGCCCAGCCCAGCGGGACCAAGGTACCCCGACAGCCCTGCCCCAGCGCGGGAATCGCCGGATGGAACAGAGGCCGCACTCGCGGGACCGCCGCCAGCCGCTTGGGGCGCACAGGCACCGCAGCCCCCCCGCCGAGGACGCCCACTGAGGGTGACCCCTCGCCACTGACGGCCCGGGGGGAGAGGGCGGACTACGTCGGGAGAAGGACGCCAGGATTGCGTGCGGTGCCCGCGACAGTATTGCGTTCCTCCGGCTCTCTCTCCCCTTCGTTTCACCGTTTCCTGCTTGACGCAGTCGGGCCGGCCGGAACGGACGTTGCGACCTTCCGGCGCCTCTAGTTCCGCGCCCCCGGCGGACGACGGAGACACCACCACGGAGGAGGGCCGGAAGTGTGGAGGCGGCGCGACAGGGAAACGGACTGAGCAACTCGCGCGACGCAACGGATGCGAGGATACTATATGCAAAGTGGAAGGACACAACGGTGCACGCAACCGGGCACTTTGTGTTCGTTGTGGGACTCTTGCGCCGCGCTGGACTGCGTTGCATACCGTGGACACATTAGGAACTGTACTTGCAGCAGTGCACGGCAGTTTTTGGTTGGGGGGGGGGCTTGAGGGGAAAGGCTACCACTCCCTCGACGGGGAGATTGTTCCGGAGGGGGAAGTTGGGTGGGGTACGAGAGCTTATCCCTCTTCTCTCGTATGGAGCGTTACAGCAGAAATGTTTTTCCCTACACTTTTTTTTTTTTTTCATTATTATTAATATTATTGAGTCTTTTCTGCCATTGCGAACAACAAGGCCCACTGCTGTCGACTGGCCGCAACCTTGGACCACTGAACACCCTGCCACCGGGCTTGGAGCCAGGTTTTGTTGTGGACGGGACTTTCGTCTAGGTGAGGTTGTCCGGGCAAACTGGTTTTTGTGCGAGTCTACCCTCGTTGCGACGGGGTGTTGCCTCGAATTCGAGCTTCAAACTTTAGTGGAGAAGGCTTTTCACTACGACCCGTTTTTTCGGCGGGCTTAGGTTCCGACGGATTCCGTTTTCATTTGGTCACGGCAGTGTTCTCCCAGATTGTGCTTTTATGTCGGATTTTCGTTCCATCCGTCGGCTCTTTCCACGGGCGGGCCTTCGCTAGTACATTTGTCTCCCGAAGCGTCGCGCGCGGAAGCAGTTTCGTTGACGCGGGACTCGACGACGGTTCGCATCGAATTCGTGCAGACGGCCTCACCTGGACGGGAATTTTAGTGGACACTTCCGCCGGACAGGCGAGCATTTCCTTCCGCGTGGGATTCGACGGTGTTTGCATATACAGGGAAACTACGTCTGGACACCACCTCACGGAGGAAATCCCCACGGACTTCCATCCGGAGCAGGTTTCTCGCCGTCCGGGGTTTTCTTCCTCGGCACATGCAGTGTGCATTCACGACGTCTCGACCTTCGTCTCCGTCTGTCGACTGTTTCTCCACGACGTCTGCAGTGTTTCTTTTTTTCTCGTCTAGCGTTTCTTTTGGGGGGCAAAGAAAGATTGTTACCGAGCTCCGTGGTTCGCAAACAGTTCCGGGGAAATGGGTGCTTGGATTGTCCCAGTTTCTTTTTTAATCCAAATAATTGCTCTTGCATTTTTTTTTTTTTTTTTTGTGTGTGCGCGCATTGGGGAAGGGCCCTAGTCAGTACAGGGATGACAGAGTGCTCTGTCTGTTAGAAGAGGTAGATCGTACAAAAGCTGCAAAGGGTGGTTACGACTACTAGGACTGCGACAACTTGGGTACTGGGGGAAGAGAAGAAAAAGAAAGCGAGACAGTTCTTTGAAATGTGTATATAAAGGCTAATGAGGATCCCTCGTGTTTTTTTTTTCTGTCGTTTCCTCTCCCATTTTTCTTTTTTTGCTATTGTACTGCAGTGTGAGACCTTTTTTATTGTTTTATTTAGAGGGTAGCCTGCGGGGGTGAGGAGCGTCCCGCGTTATTTTTGTGCAGGAGGCAAGTTGAGAGAGGAGGCATGGCGAGGAAGGCAAAAAAGGGAGTCGTCCGCCGCCCCAGCTTTATATTTTTGCGAGCCAGAGATGTCGAACGAGGGGCGGCGGAGGCAGACGCTGAAGTTTCTCTCGCCGCGTTTTTTTTTGTCAGTCCAAGTGCCTTAAGTTTTTTTTTTCTCCAAGCCTCTCTCTCTCTATCTGAGTTGGGTGGGGTTATTTTTTTTTTATTTTTATCTTTGCCCGGAGACTACGATGAGTTTTTTGTCGCAGTGTATGTATACTCTGCCTCCATTATCCCTTTTTTTTTTTTTTGTAACCTGCAAAGTATGATTTGGACTGCTGGGTGTATAAATTAATAAATGCAAGCACTAGGTCTTTTTAGTGGTACTGTTCACTTTCTGTTGTTGCTCGGAGCGTGCATAAAATCTGGTTTGAAACTCTAGCCAAACAAAAAAAGGAGCATTTTGGGTTTGCTTCGAGAATCGGTAACCGGGTTTTAGATGGCACGATATAGGGCCTTTCGCGTTATTTATATCTTGCGAATAAAAGTTGTAAATTTTTGTCTAGCTTGGAGGATTTTTAGGCATTGTCTATACCCGGTGCCAACGATTTTGTGACACTTTGTCGAGGGAAGAGGAGCTTCCCCACACTGTGTTGAGCACTGCGGAAGCCACGCGGTCTCGAAGGCGTAGCACGAAATGGTTGACGCCGGGTATAGAAGGTGTTCTGTGAGGTTGCTGGCTCTGGACAACGTACCGTTGACCCGGTTGTAAAGGAAAAAGCACCAAGAGAGTCTTTGCGATCGGGAATTTCGGACCCGTGTGATGTCCTGGCATTTCTACAAACTAGGCAGAAGTGTGATAGCCAAATTGTCTGCTCGAGAAGGCGACGTTTCGATACGCAGTTCTGTGGTGATGCGCGTGTGAATTTGTTGGCTGTGTCAACGAAGCTGGTTAGTCGAGGCACGAATTTTCAGACTGGGCCCATACGGCAAGAGCACCATTCGGGAAACCGTGGACAATCCTGAATGTTTGCTGCCGATTGCCACGTTGCTTCCCTGCGGTGCAGCGGCACGCTTATTTGTAGATGCCAACCTTTAAGGGAAGGTAGGATGTAAAGTATTGAAAGGGAAAAAAAAAAAAAAAAGTAAATGTTCATACCCTAGCTCAGCCTGGGGTTATGCTATATTTTTGTTTAATTGCCATTTCGCTCTCTGATCGTGTCTAAGGGCCTACAAATGTTGGAGGGCGGAGTGATATCCTGCGAGCATAAATTAAATAAACTGGGATTGCTTGTTTGTGCTGTGTCACACTCTACTTGGGAGGATTTGAAAAGTTTTAACTTTTACAGTACATCGCTGCAATGCGCTGGCTTTTCCTTCCTTGACACGATGCAGCATCAGCTGCCATTGTATTCAGTAATGCTGGATTTAATCCTGTCACTCCTGCATGATGCTGACCCCCCAGGCTAGGGGCTAGGAGTGGTACTGCACTGGCTAAATTTCTCGGCTACGTCGGAGCCACAAGACACCTGCTGGGGCCTATTATCCATCGGCTGCCTAGACATGCGCAATTAAATTTCTATTGGAGTGCCCTTGCTGCTGAGCTTGAGGTTTTTCAGCAAAAGGTTTGCACCACTGAGTGTCATTGCACCACCAGCAGGGGTGCAATGACGTTGTGTGCGAGCCATGTATTCAACTACATTGGATGCGATACATAAGGTCAGGTGCCAATTCTGTAACATTGCAAGATATTTTCATGTGAAATGCTCTACAGGTGTACTACTAAATTTGCAGTGGTGTTTAATGCAACCTAAACGAAAAAAAAAAAAAGTTATCCAGTTATTTCATTTTTTTAATGTGCAACTCATTCGTGCATTCCAGTGCAATGCCCCTGATCAACCAACATGGCTTCTGGAGCAGAATGTTCCATAAAGGGTAGCAATTCTCCGTTCGCCCCTCTTTCCAGTACTCGTAAGCGCACCTCAACCACTAGTGCAATGTTTTGAAGCGCAAAGCATGAAATTGGCCTCGTATATGCCAGCATGGTTGCTGTTGGGGTGCAAACACTAAAGTGGCCTCTACCCATTTTAATCTGAATGAGTGTCCTACTGGTGTGCAAATCGTGTAACTGCTGCTGCGACATGCATCTTGTGAGCACATGGCTGAATCGCCCATTTCCAGCGTGAACCGGTGTTGCTCAATCTCAAAAGGCAGACCAACCCGTCGTCAAAGTGAACAGTCAATTCGCTCGCAAATTGTACAGGCCAACCACTGAGCGAGGCTCGAAAGGTACCTGTGGAACAACAAAGAATGAACAGGGTGTTCCCATAGTACACTTGCAGGTTGTTTTTTTTTTGTTTTTTTTGGGGGGGTTTCTTTTACTGCAACAATATTCTGCACTGTTCAGCACTCGTCTATTCAAATACAACGCTGGTGGTTTGATCCAGATGCAAAGTTTCAGAACGAACGGCTACTTTTTCTGGAAATGCATTTTTCTCAAATTTTCAGTATGAAAATGGCGGTCTATGGAGCTCGAAAACGTGAAGCTGCATGGCGTCGGTGAACTGAAACCGGCTAATACAAACCTGGTTTTCCCACTTCCAGTTTGAGAAAATCTCGACTTTTGAATGAGGTAGCGGTTAGTTTTGAAACCGACATGTGGTTCACACCTTCAGTGCAACATTTTGGGTGGAGAATGAGTGTTCGGCAATGCGGTTTATTTTTTTTGGTGAAAACAACCCTAAATTTTTGAGAGGCCCATGCTCTAGTCGAGGGGTGGCCAAGCTGCGGCTCTTCGCGTGGTAGAATGCGGCTCGTGGCTCCCTCCCAGTCACACGAGCACTTCCGCAAAAAGAGAAATGGAAGGCGCTTTAAAACGAAAGACATGTTGCGGTTTGGTTGTCTTGTGCTACTGCTACCTTATGTACACTTGGACTGCTTTTGACTCTGATAGAATGAAAGTAGTTAGTTTCGTTTATTGCCCTGAACAAAATCCCCCCCCCCCCCCCCGTGGCTCTTGGAGGTTTCGTAGTGTTGTTTGCGGCTCTTAGGCCAGGTCATCCTGGCCACCCCTGCTGTAGCCACTCTCAAGGTGAGAATAACAGGAAGTCGATTTGGCGGTTGCACCTTTAGCGCCAGCTTCCTACCCTCGACAATGCTTCAGTGTGCGCATGCAGAGCCAAAGCTCGGCGGAAGGCATGGAGCACACGCTGTGGGTTGGGCGTTTAAAAGATGTGCCATGTCATTTTAACAAAACTTTTCACAAAGATGACTTGAGATGGCACATTGATTATACTAAAATATTGAGTAAAAACAATGTTCTGAGAAAAAAAGGAAGGAGGCGCTGCGACCTGCAGATCGTACCACACTGTTGGATCTGTTTTACCGCTCATTCACACTGGAAGCGGATCCGTGTTCGCAACCGCTTTGAGAATGCGGATCCGCTTCCAGTGTGAATGAGCAGTTGGGGTGATTATTTTGCAGAAGCCAAGTGTTTGCTCTACAGTGTGTACTCTGTACTTTGTCTCACTAAAACCGAGCAGTACAGCCAAAGCTACAGGGGAGATAGCATATGGAAGAGGAGAGAAGGCTGGGATTCCCCTTTCCCTCTTGTACAGGTGCACCACCCAGCCGCACCTCTGTAGTAAATTTTGGCACGATATGCCGGGAAACCAATTTTTGCAGACTGCCCAAAGCGGGATTGAAGCAGGGTAAAGGTTTTGTGCCTTGGCATTCGAAAACCTACCCACGTCCAGCGTTCCTCTGTGTTGTCACGTGACACGAACCACCAGAGTATCTCCGACCCATTTGAGTAAGATTTGGAACACTGCCAAGGACATCCCTGTGAAAAGATTCCTTACACAGCCAACGCTGTGGTCCGATGAAGCCTATTGGAAGCACGAAAAGTGCATTGTCGCAGCACCCGTTGCCTTTGTCCGTTTGCTGCCACCGGCTCGGCCAACTGCACCCGGAAAAAAGCGCAGGACCACGACGCCTTCATTCTACGCGATTGATTTAGGAGGTGATGGCAAACGCACAAGGACGAGCTACTTTGTTGATCTAACTTTTGTTTGATTGGCTCTAGCAGACTGTACAGTTTTTGTGATGAGAGAACATGCTCTGGAACCGTATTTCACTAGAGAGAAAGCGTAAATTTGCAAGATCAAATGTATGCACCATCTATAATAAATGGTCGTGTACAACATGGTTGGAAGATCTTCCAGTCAGGAAAGATTGAATGATGCGTGTGTAGGAAATATACGGAAGTGCCCCTTCTACGGTTGCCCAATAGATGGCGTCTCGTCGCAAGAGCTGGCACAAAGTCTAAACTGGAACGTGACAAGCATGGACTTCTGTACAGATTTAATTGCCAGTTCTACGCGGCTGGAGGTACTATTGTGGTAGGTGTGAAGCCGAGGTTCAGTGGTGTTCGCCATGGTGCTCGCCGTGGTGCTTGATGTCTCCGCCTGTCGCAAACTTCCAGGCCTGCTCGAGCCCTACCGCAGCCACTGCCAGGGCAAGTCCGGGCATCATGCCGCGCTTCCAGAACCTCCAGAAGCGCTGCATGGTGGTGCTCTCTTTTTCCAAGCAGAACTTCCACACTTCGTTCCTGGGGAAGCAATCAACCACAGTGACGCGTTTAGACATGGAGCTGAAACCGAGGCCATGGCTCGCATTAGCTCCCATTAAGGATGAATGGCACAGTGTTGTCACAACGTCAACACTAGCTCCATTCGCTTTACCTGCACCGGTGCGGAAAAGAGTAGGGCTGTGTGATTGTGGTCAAATCTAAATAGACATAGCAGAAGTACGCTGCCCTACACTTTTCTGCACAGGTGCAGGTAAATCGAACAAAGCTACTTTGAAAGCTACGAGTGGCTCAGCGTTCGATTGGAATGAATGTATCTACCTAATTTCGAATGCAATATACCCAGAGCACGCTGTTCTCTGCAGAGGGATGGTGCTCGAACGCTACGGAGGTACTGTCTAGGCCGGTTATAACAAAGTCGGTTATAACGAAATAGCGGATATAGCGAAGTGATTTTCAATTCCAGTTGACTTCGTTATAACCGGTTTCGACAGTAGTTGTATAAACACTAAAATTGCTTACTTTCGATCTTATTTTCGGGGCATCACATTTAAAGGGCTTTCTGTGGCCTATAGAAGCCATAAAGATGCTGTGCTCGATAGTATTCATCTACTACCGATCGAATAAACTGCGTTTTGTCGTACATTTTGGGAGAAACTCGGAAATGACGATTTCGGAGATGCTGGTATGAACTCGCGGCACGATGCAGCGAGCTCGAGGACTTTATTTCGAGGGAAGCCCACATAGAAAGAGAGCTCGCACAATGGAAGTAAGTATGTGCCCCTGCGAACAGCGCTGTTCGAATGCTTGGATCTTGAAGAGTGTACGACCTTCAAAACATACCATCCAGTCAGTGAGATGAATCCTCCGCTACATCAATATAGCTGATGTTGCTCCATTGGTTGAGATTTCTTACGTTTAGGGGACAGCAAGATCATTTCTGGTTTATAGCGTCGAAGTTCGAACACTTCTGCGAAAGGCTAGGATGGCTTTGCATACCTCAGCCATGGGTCACGAAGTCCTTTGGCAGCCAGTAGCTTCTGAGCACGGACGAGCCGAGGAACGTCTTCCACTTTGTAGATTCTGTAATCCGGGATCTTGGGTATGCCGTGGACGCCGTGATCTCCGTGTCCTTGCACATCACCACCCATTCTGAAATTTGGCCGGTTTGGTTCCAATATCGAGAACGATCGCCCTTCGATCTCCAACCAATTCACCGAACCGAAAATGGCGGCTGCTAATTAAGCCGGTTTAAACGGCAGACGCCAGGATGTATTTAAAACTCTGTTTGTACTTTTAAACATTGATCCAAAAAGTTTGACATAAAATACGAATTTTATATAAGTATTATATTTAACTAAAGTAAATATTCGTACTCACGCAATGGTAAATACGAAACGACGGCTGCTGCGTTTGACGGAGGAGTGGAGGATTGGCGAGGAGGGGGAGGGCGAAGTTGCGTTCCTGATGTAGTGGTGATGCCGAAAAACCGAAAAGCTGCAAGCTTAGTCAGAGATTAGTTGGCACATATATCAGCTAACAGCGGTAGCGGCGTTAAGGAATTGATACTGCCAAACTAGCCAAAGCTTCCCAACCTCCCACTCTAGTCGTACAAGCCTTGATGCCTTGCAACTATGAACCCAGAACGTGTGTATGTGCCCCTTCTACTATGTGATTTCTTACCGCGACCATCAACTTGGTAATGATAGTTAGCACTCGGTCAAAGCACGAACCTCTATAGTTATCTCTGGCTATTAAGACGAACGTTTCTTTTTACTGCCCCTTATGTCTGAGCGCTCCAGGAAGGGTTCGGAAGTTTCAAGTTTATATTGTTTACTCTAAAGATAGCAACTTTGCACACATGACTGTTGCTACGGTTTACGATAGCATGACGGTTTTTCTGTGTTTTTGCGTTTCAACTCTACTAGGTTACACCTGCTCAGCAATAAACCAGCCAGCGAGATCGCGTTGTCACCGGAGTACATCAGCTTCAGGGGAACAGTACCGCAGAGAAAGGTTGGTACCTGTTGTTCAAAAGGTTTAGGCTTGAATAAAGTGCCGTTTACGTGTGTCAGAAATCGCTGGGCGATAGGGTTAGGTGATCCGAGTTAAAGACGTAGTCAGTCAAGGCTAAAAATATATATATAAAAGAAAATTTTGTTTACACAACGCTTGTGAAGGTGACATATTTGCTCGCATGCTTCGTTAAGCGTGGCAGAGAAAACAGTTTTATCGGAGTATAAGTTATCTGTCTTTAACACTTGCATGCTAGAAAGCTATGCCTGCCAAATACAGTGGCAGAGTGTCCCCAAAGAAACCCCACTGTTCTAAAACCAGCAGCAACAATGAATTTCCTCCAGTTAGGTAGGGCAAAAAAATTTAGTGGCCACAGGGAATAACCAGGCTTACACTGTGATCGGGCTGTTGTTTGCCATGTCCATTCTCACCACATATCAAAAGCCTCTAGCGTTATCGGGCAGTTTCCTATCTGTGCCATGGCTCCATGCGCCAAGCAGAATTTGTTCGTTGAAATGACAAACCGATCTGTTCAGAATGCCATTGTACACCAATCTTTTCCTAGCTTGCGACATTTATTTGCCCAGCTCGTCAGCTATTGATCAATCAATTATTTTGAGCTACATTGTCAAGGCTAGCATAGCTTCTGCAGTTTTCCAACGCTCCAAGCTACGTGCACGAGCACGTAGGTTTGTTCGACCTTTCCTTTGCACGAGCAAACTTGCGAGTAAGGCACAGGACAAAGCCACGTGCTCTTGCAGCAGTGTGGAAGCTATTCTAGCCTTAGCAATGTAGCACAAAATCGTTGGTGCAGAGTATGGTTCCACAGAAACTCCAGAGAGGGAGGCGAGCCAAGAGGTCTTGCATTGACAGGTTCGAATGCCAGCCGAAATGCATGCAGTTTGACGTTGCTTCTCGTGGCATAGAGCTAAGCCATACAGAGTAAGCGAGTTTGTCTGCTCCTTGCACAGGGGGTTACGGTGTGGTGGCTGGAATGCTTCTTTGACCAGTGTGTTTAGCACCTTCTACTGCCCCTGCATCGAAAGAGCTCCCGAAGTGGTAACCAATTACGTTGTAGAGCCGGCGCAACATGCTGTCGAGCCGGAATCCTTGCGGTCATAGAAGTTCCAGTGGAAATTATGAGCAAACGTGTCCCCACTTGTGACTGTTCCAGTGGACTGTCAAGCCTGAGAGTGACCTACGGCAGAACATACGTGTGCTTGTCAAGTCTATACTATGTGGAGGCAATTGTATACCCTGAATGTGGTCCCCTCGAGGTACCAGACACATGGCCACCTTATGCAGCATTGTCAATAATTCAAATCGGTCATAGTACGTTCTACGTAGATCCAACTTGAGCTACTGCCGTCTTCTAACCTCGAGGAATCTGTTTATTTCTGGACACTGTCGTGTTATCCGTTCTCGTATGGTTGGAGTGGATGCGACGAGCCATAAAAACATGTGGCCCTTCGTATCCACTCTAACGACACGAGAACGGATGATGCAACATTAAGTTGCGTCGCGTTCGCCGAATGCTCGGAATGCGCCGTTTGAATTTTCTTCTTCTAAAACTCAGGTGATAGTAGATGACGATGGCTCCAAGGTGTGGACCTACTATGACCATGGCCCCCGCAACATCAGCTGTCCGCTGGTCTGCTTGCCGCCAATCAGTGGCACCGCGGACGTCTTCTTCAAGCAAATCCTAACGCTCACAGCCCGGGGCTACAGAGTCATATCGGTGAGACTGCAAGCCTGCGTGTTGCAGTGTCCACTTGCCAGGGGGGCCCAATGAATTCAGCCTACTTGAAACCGACCGAAAACATCAGTGTATCGTGGTGCAGTTTAATACAGAGTTGACCATAGATGGCGAATTTTGTGTTTTCAAATTTCCAAGAATGAACTTAACTCTGTAAAAAGTAAGAAAATGAGAAAACTTTTTCTTTACTGGCAGCTACTGTCTGCAAAGGAACTGGCGCAACAGCTGAAAGATGACGGCAGCAGTCCTCCCTCCACCTTCTCCTTGCAGGTGCTCTGCCTCGCCAAAAACAGACAATCTTTTTAAGTAAAAAATGGGGCACTTTTTCGGCGTTAGTTGACAGGGCGTGTTTGATCATTCTCACATACAAAACACATATATACATAGCGGACTGAGTGACCCACAAACCTGTAAAGAAAAATCAAAGATGGTTATCAATTGCAGGCGGACGCTGTAGGCAGAGAAAAAGACATTTTTCATTTCTTACCCTGGAAAGTAAATTCTTTGAATTTTCCATACACAAAATGCACCACCTATGGTATTTACCAGGGTGTTGGAACGAAATGTTTTTCGTTCCGTTTTCATTTTCGTTCCATACAAAAAAGTTCCGTTCCGTTTCCTCTCCGGAACGAAAAAATAATGCTCCCTAACGGTTCGTAACGGTTTCTTTCTATAAAAAAAAAAAAAAAAAAAAAAAAAAAATTAAAAGGAACGCAATGTTTATTTTTACACAAAAATAGATAATTCAGGTGCTCTAGAGGAATCCGCGGAAACGACATTGCTTCTGAGATCATGTTCATCGCCTTGAGAATGAGATCATGATGAAGGCACCGAGCATGATCTCAGAAGCAGCACGTCATCAAGTGTGCTCGGTGAAAGGCAAGACCTCTGGTCCGATAAAATAAATTTCAGCGCCGAGAAGGCCCTGAAGGCCCATAGGGATGAAGAAGTACATTTTGCAACAGAGTCTCAGACTGCCGTATCCGTAGAAAAACAAAAGATGGACTTCTACAACGCCGGGTCACAAACTTCCCGCGATTGCCGTGATCTGTTGTCTGTCTGTGTCGTCCCAAGAAAGCATGGAGGGAGAGGGCGCAAGAGCCAAGGAGAGCATTGCGAGCGTGTGAAGGCGTCACGCCACCGCGCTCTCATTGGTGGGAAGCAATGGTGCCTTGCGTCATGTTTTTTGTTTCTCGTAGTAGTTTTTGTCTTTGTTTTTGCTATGCTTGTTCGCCCGGAGTTTAGACGCGGGGGCGATGCTTGTTTTCTCTTTAATTATGGTACAAACCAACGGCAGTGTCTTCGCGTGAAACGAATTACTGAAATACCTGATATTTTCCCTTGACCCGAAAACCGATAAGACAATTTTTCGGTTTCACTCCGGAACAAAATAATAATTAACGTTTCGATTACGTTTCCGTTCCGCCAAAAAATATCGTTTTTTTCGTTTTTCGTTTTTGGTTTTCGTTTTGTTCCGATACCCTGGTATTTACTAAACATACATTGTTGCACTGCCTCTTTGATGGGCACACCTTGCCTTCTAAGTGGTACTAGTTGGATCCCTTGGGTCTACGCGGTAGCACTCTCGCACGTTTTGTGGCATCTCCTCCGCCTCTATCTGTGCTACTGCATTTAAGCTGGAGTACCCACTGGGGGTCTTATGTGCCACTGGGGGTCTTATGCTTTCTCTCTTTCTCTTTTTCTCTCCCCCCCTCCCCCCTCCCTCCCCCTGTGCTACCGCTGCTTCCATAGAAACGGGGGCTGCATAGCAGAGTAGGAACTCGATGTTAGGACAGTAATCTAGTAGGCACGAAAGAAATTTTAAAGTGCTGCTCCTTAATTAAAGCATCCATCGAGTGGTATTGCACCTTCACGTGCCTAGGCTTTGATCGGTCCTTGCCCGTTGTAGCTGGAGTACCCGGTGTACTGGACGATGCGGGACTGGGTGTGCGGCTTCCGCAAGCTGCTGGACCATCTGCAGCTGGACAAGGTGCACGTGCTGGGGGCCTCGCTGGGCGGCTTCCTGGCCCAGAAGTTTGCCGAGGCCACCCACACCTGCCCCCGGGTCCAGTCCCTGGTGTTGTGCAACAGCTTCTCCGACACCTCCATCTTCTCCTACACCGACACCGCCGTACTGTGAGCACCCTTAACCCTTTTGCGGTTGAGTCGGTTGTTTTCTTCCGAATGCGTGCCCCAGTGGTTAGCTTTTGTTTCTGAAGGGAAAGTACTATAAAAAAAAAAAAAAAGGGGGGGGGGGGGGGGGGGGGGGAGGGTCAATGTACAGAGATTTTTTTCTAGAGTATGAAATGCTTTTTAATGGAACCCCCCAATCTCAAAATGTTTCCGTCCGTCCATGCATTTCCCACTAAATTTAGCAGACAAATTGAATTGGTTTTTAGTTCGGATGACGTCAATTGATGTCACATGACCTTTACACTAATTTTGTTTCTCCGGTCATTGTACTGGGAGTTTGATAAAAATAAAGGTTCTTCACTCCCCAAAAGAATAGTGTAATGTCTTCTAAATAATTTTAAATGATCACTCCTCAAATACTGCATTTCATGCATCAGAGAACTTTAAAGATAAAGGTCACTGCTAATTTTCTTTCTTAAATATTTAGCAGGAGCATGTAGAGTGCTTGCAGGCTATCCAGATTGAGAAGCATCAGATGGAAATAATGAAGGCAAAAAAATGACCTTTCTTCCATCCTTCATTTGGGTGCGTCTGCTTCCACAACATTTCGGTGGTTTGGGATTCGAAACTGGAGGTGTTTTATGGGACTTCTCCATCGGGATGCAAGCTCTCGTCCTCTGAGAAGCATTAAAAGTCTGAATCGAAGCGATGCAAGCTCTCATCCCGTGAGAAGCATTAAAATTCTGGATCAAAACAGCTTGCACTCCAATTGCGACTACAGCCTGTACAAGAAGCGACCGTTTACGTCTATCGCGTATGCGGGGTGTCTAGTTTCAGGACTATAAATAGCCGCAGCAAAGCAAGACACTGTATGAATATAACATTTATAATTTGCCAAAAGACAGCAATTAGCCACACGTCCCACAGAGCTCGCGGTTTCGTGTTTAGGAGGGCAGTTTCAGATGTGTAATTATCTCCACACACGTAGGCCGACAACCTTCAAAAGGTTGCCTCATTCTTGACCACGGGAAAAGTGCCTGTTTTGTGTGATCTTTTGTTAGTTTTTTTTTTCCTGTGGAAACTATTTATATAATGCCATACATAGAAATAAAGCTAGATAGTGTACTTTTGATTGATGCAAATACAGAAGCAGACACTTAAATTCTAACAAAATTTAATTCGGCTTACACAATATATTTTTTCCAGAAAATGGTTGAAGTTTTATGGCTGTAGCTCAAAATGAAAAATTGAAATAAAAAATTAAAATATATGGAATGTTTTTAATTCTGACAACGAAAGGCTTTTAAAAACCTAGTGTTCTAGCTCAAAAAGGTTTTTAGCTACTAAAAATTGAGTCAAGCACCATGACTGACATGCCATTGGACTAAGCAGTTTCTCAGTTTAGTGAAGCACAGCTCATCAGAACTAAAATCTGATGAACTCGCTTCATCATCACACTGACGCTGCTGTCAGAGTCCGAAAATATTGATGGAGGATCGCGAAACTTGCCGTGCTTGCAAGTGTGCAGGACCTGAACTCGTGTGAACTGTGACGACGTGCCATCGATTTTACGCCCGACTTAAAGATCGCTGCCACGCTAAAAGGGAGATACACTCAAAACTGTAGACTTCAAACTACATATGAGAAGGCGCAGCGAGTGCGGAAGCTCCACCGAAGTTTTGAAACGAGCCTCCGTGCCTATCGATCACGAGCGATCGATGCTCGTAGGGAAGGATCAGGAAAGGCATTGCTGACCATCCTGCACGACTGAATTTTTCAACAAAGGTGCCGGTGGGGAGGAACATTTCGAAAGAAGTCAGTCTCCGGATGATGTGGTCGCATAAAGTTCACATTGTTCAGAGCAAGCCATCTGCGCTAGGTGGTTCCAAATCAATTTGTGCGGCAATAGTTCGGGTTATATTTCTGTAAACAAATAAATTGCGCAAATCACATTCTTGGTTGGAACGACTGAGCTCTATGCGAAGACCTTGGACCATTTTTGTCCATACCGTATTTTCCGGTCTACGAGTGGCACCTGTGTATAAGTCGCACGCCCCTATAAACGGCCGTTTTAAAAAAAATGTTGGTACATAAGTTGCTCCTACATATTTCTACAGTCAGCACGACCAAACTCCATTGAATAGCCCTCGTACGTGTATTAGGATAGCAACATATGCGCGAGCGAGATCAAGTTTTATCCTCGTCAACGAGTCGAACGAGAAATGTCGCCCCCGTGACAAATTTCTAGGTTCTAGGTTCTGGACCTTTTAGATTCTAGGCATAGAACCCCTCGTGGTCGCGTCGTTAAAGCGGCGGTGTCTCGGCCGCAGGTTCTGGCTCTTCCCGTCCATGGTGCTCAAGCGCATGGTCATGGGCAGCTACACTCCCCACGCAGTGGACTCCGACATCGCCGACTCCATGGACTTCATGGTGGAGAAGGTCGGTGCTTCGAGCTTTCCGTGGCTCCATTGCCACAAAGACCCGAATCCTTGTCCCGGCAAGACAAATGGCCCAGACTCCCGCCACACGCTTTTCGGCGCCGCGCCGACGGGACGATGAAAACGACGTGCTCATCGAACCGGTCCTGCGTCAATTTTTCGCCGCACGATCACGCTGCCGTTTGTGCCCACACGCGGAGAGGGTGGTTGATTGACAGGACAAGGTTCATTGGTCCAGCGAGCACATGGCTCTAACATTTCCAAAGTTACAAAACCGTCGCGCCAAATTTTAGGCATAGCCTAATGAAGTCCAAGTCCACAGATTGGGTCAGCGTTCGGCTGGGACTTGCTTTCAGTCATTAAAAACGCTGAGTCCCAGCCGACGAAATCAAATTGATTGATCAATCGATTTCCAGCTAACTTCAATTGTGGTCTAGTCCCACTCTTGTTTTATTAAGGGGTACGCTACCCAGAAAAGTCAACTTCTGTACCGCTTACATGATTTCAATCAAAATTGCAGTGGAAGTTTATATCACTGGCAAGGCCATCCCTGCCAAATTTCATTGTCCTATGTTAATTCTGAAACTTGTTATGAATGTTAGAATATAGAAGTCAGTGTGTTTACTCAAAAAAACTATTGTTGTAAAGTAAAACAAAAATTTGTGATTTTATGTGTAATATAGTCATAGGAATACCCATAGCACATACCCAGCAAGTTATTTTGTCATATTGTATTGTTTTTCGTAAATATAACTCCATAAGATTTAAAGAAAAAAATTTCATGTCTGCACTTTTTTACAAATATATTTTTGTTTTTAGCAACAAAGAATGTTAAAGTAGAAAAACTAACCAGCCAGGCATGTTCCTCACTAAATTCTGTGCCAGAAAACTACCTAAGAATACTTCTCTATTGTGGAATAGGAAAATGGTAGTTCTCCTAAAGTGAAATTTATGCCAAAAAGTGGAATGGAGGCAAATGCACTCAAAGTGCTTCAATTTCTACCTTTTCTTTAGCATCGGTGGACCGAAAATAATTTATAAAAGATTAACTATGCAGTGTAAACTAATTAAACTTTCTGGGAATACTCTAGGTGTTGGTGGATGTAAATATGACATTTTTTCAAAATCAACTTTGTTTTGCAGAAATTGTTTTACCGGGTAGTGTCTCCCCTTAAAGAATCTCTGTATAAAACTGCATATTGAGCATACCAGCAGTCAATCAATGCCACGTTCGGTCGGTTCTGAGAGTCATTCTCACCCCCCTTCCAAATTAGGGTGGCGATGTGGCGTAGTGTGTTCATACTGACAAAAGGTAATGCGTGCAAAAATGGGGACAAAGCAGAAGTGTACGCCGAACAAGTGCAGACTCTCATCTGAACCTTAAGAAAACACAGTCAGCAACTCCAAACACATCGCAGTGTGGTCAATCAATTGCGCATCTAACAAGGCACTCTCTTTGCCGCGTAAATGCAGGGACGTCTGGCCGATGCATTTCGTACCCCCTTTTTAATTGCGTAGGGTTCCAAAAATTTTCCTGGTCGTTCGATCTCTGCCCTCGCCCATAAACTCTGCCTTTCTGAAGCTGTACCGACACCCGCAGCTAGCACAACGAAGTGATCTCCCATTTCCGATTGTAACGGCAGGTCATGCTTCCGCAATTCGCGGCTAATGCATCCAAATGATTGGTTCGTTAATATACTCAACATTTCTCTTATTCGAGTGGACCTTGAGTACATTTAAGGTCCCCGGAGCGCGTCTCCGTCCGGTCCACTTACTGCACCCTAAAAAGTGGTCCCTCAATCTTCCGCGTCTACGCCGTCGTGAAAGTGTCGTGCCATTGCCCGTCGCGATCCTGGCAGTGGCACAACCGCGGAGCTGGATTTGCAGACGCCCGTTCCATTGCGGGTTGCTTTCCAGCCAGACGGCTGACAAAAACTAAAGCGCACACGAAATTTTTCGCCGGCATTTCGACTATTCACTGTAAGGATTGCGATGTTGAACAGCACGACATGTGCGAATTATGTGTGCCACAGTTGCTGATTGAGCTCGACTTGCACTTCTGCAGCTGGACAGCTTGTCCCAGTCTGAACTGGCCTCAAGGCTGACGCTGAATTGCGTCAACTCCTACGTGGAACCCCAGAAGCTGGATGGCATCCCCATCACCATCATTGATGTGAGTCCTTTTCGGCCCTTTTGACACTGAAGTGCTTCCATTATGAATGGACAAAAACGAGGTTGCAAGTAAGCTGACAAAAGTTTGACGTGAGCAACTTCACCTGAGACGGGTTTTATACAACAGGACGACTCGAACGTATGGAAGTCTCCAATCAACATTTGTTTGCGTCTGTGTTTTTCTGTGGTAAAAGCCCAGTTTCGAGTAAAGTCGTTATGTTTTGCTTTCATTCGGTATACCTTTTGCAGGTCTGCATTTGGTTACCTCGATTGACGCAATGTTCAGCTTTCTGAACTTTCCAATCGATGGTGTTTGCTTATTCGTTTTTACCGAATAAGCGAACACTTTTTATTGTTTAATCTTCTGGTTAAAAAAAAAAAACCCTACACCACCAAAAAAACATTTTTTTTTTTCTTTGTCTTTTGAACACATAGTGCTGGATTTTGTAAAAATAAAAAATAAATAAAAAAATTAATACACAATCTCTTTTGAATTTCTATACGCTTTTTAATTACCCGTACCTTTTTCTTTCATAGAGCGCCATCCCTTCGCTCTCCTTTGTCGATTACGTGAAGCAACATACATAACGAACAAATATTCAAGAACTTGTACATTTCGGAAAGTTTTTTTTTTATAGCATACTGAAAATACCTTACATGCGCCTATGTTGCAATAAGGCCCCCCCCCCCCCCCCCCCCCCCTTACTTTTGAAGCATTTGAAATATAAGGAGAGGACATATTAAGCACTCACCCCAGCAAACGCGCGCCAGTGCAAAGTGGTCGAAGCTTCACACGAGAGCGCAGGCACAGGGCACACCCGACAATACATTTTGCCTTCGCCCCGACGCAGCCGCCTTATGCTCTCTGTCCCGTCCAGGTGTTTGACAGCAGTGCCCTGAGTCAGCAGGTGAAGGAAGACCTGTACAAGCTCTATCCTCTTGCCAAGAGAGCCCACCTCAAGCGGGGAGGAAACTTCCCCTACCTCAGCCGCAGCGACGAAGTGTCCATGCACCTACAGGTGGGTTGGAGGCTCCCAACGTTAATAATGTAATGCAAAACTGCATTCTGCGCAACCTAACTCGGATTTTGCGTTCTAACAACGTTGGGTGTCAAGTAGGGGTGCAACATATCAAAGTACCTATAGGTGTGCTTACAGGGACTCGAATCAACTAGTGCGACATCACTTACGGCATCTCCTTGGTAAAGGCAAGTCGTAGCTTGCGCCCCATCGCTGGCCCGCAAAAACTGCGAACGAATCGGCACTATTTCATTCTAACTCCCAGGGACGCTAGGGTGTCGGTTTAGATTACACTGCCTGCAACAAGTCTCTGACAGTTGTGTTTAGCGTCCCATTCTGCCCATCCATCGGAGGTGGTCCGAACCCTTACAAAAAAATTATCAATGAGTTGCAATTGAGTTTATAATTTATTCTATAAGAATACATTAGAAATTCAATTGAAGCTCATTGATAATTTTTGTAAGGGAAAGCAGCAGCGAAGGACGTCACAAAAGCTACAGTGTCATGCTGTCACATGTTGTGACAGCATGACATGGGCGTAAAAGTCCCGGGCGTGCTGTCACAACATGTGACAGCACGCCCATGCATGCTGTCACATGTTGTGACAGCATGCATGGGCGTAAAAGTCCCGGAAGAAGTTGCAAAAGAATGCGAGTGACACCATCGTCGCGGCGTCTACTCAGAAAAAAAAGATTCTGCAAAAAAAACAACCGCATCTCCACGTGGTGAATGATGTTGATTGGGGCGAAGCTCTGGTGGTGCTTGTCTGCGTAGACGCTGAGCCGCAGCATGCCGAGCCTTTTGTTCGTTTTCATCTATGTCACGCTGCGGTCAAATGCTCAAATGCGTATATAACCACGTTCCATACCACACATTCTCTTTCTGACATGGATGAAAACGAACGAAAGGCTCGGCATGCTGCGGCTCAGCGTCTACGCAGACAAGCTCCACCAGGGCTTCGCCCCAATCAACATCATTCACCACGTGGAGATGCAGTTGTTTTTTTTGCCCTACATGAGCACCGGACATCGGACGGACATACTGACATGGCTAGCCCCTAAGAAGCTTCGTCCCTAAAAGCATCAATTTTTATAAATGCCATGTTTATATCAACATCTATAAAGTATTCCCAGAAGGTTTCATTTGTTTACACTGCATGGTTCATTTTTTTATAAATTATTTTCGGTCCGGAGGCACTAAACAAAAGGTAGAGGTTTGAGCATTTTGAACCCGTTTTTCTCCGTTCCACATTTTAGCGTAAATTTCACTTTAGGAAACCTCGTTTGGTAACGGGACAAAAGGAAAGGCTCACTCATTCTTTTTCCTAACTGGGATTTAATGGGCAGTGCAACTGTGGCACTCTTTTTTTACTTTGTGGATGTCTTTTATAAAAGATGTCAAGATTTTGTCGACAACATAAAAGACAAAAAGATTTATTTGGTTTTTTGGTGCAATCTTGGCTTAGAATAAATTGCTTTCTGGAAATTTTGTTTTCACAATTGCACTCTCCAGGCATTGTGCTGCGTATCTAGTGAAGAAAAATGTTGGGCACTACATTACTTTTCTGGTGATAGTTTTCCTAAACATTGCCAGTGTGTTCTTGATAAAAACAACTATAATGTATTTCACAGTTCATGTACACAGATAAAAATTACAGGAGGACACTTAAGCTTCGCCTTTAAGAGTGGAACGCGATAGCTAAACATATGAACCCTTGCTCGTTCCCAAGTCATGCAAGCGTGTCTGCGTAGTCAAGTCGATATCGTGTCTGGCTCGTAACCGAATGCAGACGGGCGTAACTAACTTGTCTTTGCATTAAACAAAAAAATTTTAATTTTTTTTCTTAAAGGGGCACTGACACCCCAAAGGTCGTATTTTTTTTTATTGTCTAGAATGATGCACGTTGTTGTCATAGACACGCAAAAAAATAAAAAACGCATTGCAAAAAAAATTTTTTTTGCACGAGCGCGCTTTTTTATTTTTGTTATTCTCCCGCTTTTTGCCTTCTCGCTTCTTTTGATTCGTGACGTCAAGAATCATGAAATATAGAAGCTTTATAGGTGACATTTCTATAACATTTAATAACGGCAATCGTAAAACATGTTTTTTAACGCAATTGCAAACGCACTTCGGCCCTTCTTTTTGAAATACCAAAAATCGGAGTTTGTTGCAATGTCGCCTTCTGGATTTGTATCCTTCCTCGGAAAACATGGCGGCGCTCGAGGCATGTAGCAGACGGTGATCGGTTAATCGGGGAATCAGACAAAGTGGTCTTTTTTAGGTGCCCGACGACCTCTCGAACTTTGAAAAGGAAATCGTCAAACGGTCAAAACAACTGCGTTTGTGTATCATAGTTTCGGTTGTGACATCGCCAGGGCATCGTCGTCTGCTCGAAGCGGTAGGCAGCACGGCACCCACGTAAGAAACCGGTTTCCCAGTACGGCGATTCCCGCGACGCCGGCGCCCTTTTCTCGCTCTTACCTCCTCGCTTTCGGAGCGAAGGCGCGAAAGAAACTGGACTCTCAGGAGCTTTCAAATGTTGACGTCACTCCACTGGCGCGGATCGCGCGGGAACTTCGAATTTGGCATTTGTAAATAGTTTTTTTATTTCACAAATACTAAATTCCCAAGTTTCGAATTTTGAGGGTAATGCCCAGGCATCGTTTTCAATCCTTTCAAACAATAAAAAAAAAAAAACATGATTTTGATGTGTCAGTGCCCCTTTAAGGGCCAATGAATTACTTTATAATGTGAAATCATTAAATTATTTGACACATGTGGCAACCTTTAATTTGCATTACATGTCCCGTTTTAATCACGTTCATTCCACGCGTGACGTCTCGTTTTACGTGAGCATCTTGGGTTGTTTGAAATTCCCAAATGAGGTCACGTGGCTCTGACGTCATGAGTCTATCGACCAATCAGGATTTCCGATGCCACCGACACCGACGCCGGATTTTCTACGACACGAGCTCCCAAACGCTGTCGCGTTAAAACTTTGTGCTGCATTCTGTCTTGCAACTGCCAGTATACACTGTAACTTTCATTCGTGTCACGCCAGAAGTTAAAAAAGTCGACCCTTTTGGGTATCGTCCTCCCTCAACTCCTGGCTTCCGAAGATTCCGTGGACTGTCAAGCTGTAGAACGACCTGCAGCGCAAAAGGCGTCTGCCACACCCACCACCGCTGCTGTGACGCCACCAAGGTCGCAATCGATGACGACGTGACACTTCCATTACGTCGTCGGGCATAAATCGAATGCGGTAAACACACCAGTCAGAGATGCGTTCCATGCACCATTGTTCCGGCGGACTTCATGGAAACCGGAGCAGGGCCAGTAGTCATCTGTGGTTGGAAGTGTTTCGAGACCCACTTGTCCAAACAAAAACGCAAAGGCTGTCAAAACCGATGGGAAGGACTCGAACGAGGAGCCTCCTCAAAGTCCGAGCGGCTACCGGTGTTTAGCCAAATTCTTTAGCTTCGGGACAACTACTCGACGCTACGAACAACCCAAAGCCCTTAGCAAAACGCGACACTACCCTGAGGCTTTGGGAAGGTTCTTTCTCGAGACTACGGTAAAATATTGAGCAAGTATCCAGCCAAATGATGGAGATAGTCGCGAAAGAACGCCAATGTGCGCTTGTTGGATCCGAGAGCAACAAAGCGGAAGGGGGTAGGGTAGGGTGTTGTTGGATTGGACGGAACGGTAGGGGAGCAGTATAGGGGTCTGGCAGAGACCCTAATTTTAAATACCTCGCTGCATGTTCGGACATATTGCCAAGATTCATACGAGTTCTGGAAATATGTCCGAACAAACGGCAAACATAATTCTTCTGTCCCGACCCTCAAGCATAACAATACTCTTGTCGACAGTGATAACGAAAAAGCAGAGCATTTTAATTTATAGTTCCAGTCGGTTTTTACACCTTCGCAGACGAGGGCTGTAGATTTTAACATTCCAGCGGCATCCAACGTTATGCTTGAAGTTGAATTTGCTGTTTTGTAATTCTTAATCAATTGCGTAACTTGGATACGACCAAATCGGCTGGTCCGAGTGATATCCCTGGGCGTGTTTTGAAATCTTGTTCAAGTTCATTGTGCCTATATTTCGACGTACTGTTTCGAAAATCGCTGCTTGAATCTTTGCTTCCTTTAGACTGGAAGCTTGCACGAGTAATGCCAGTGCATAAAAGTGGTCTTAGAGCCAGTGTCGAAAACTACCGACCAATATCTTTAACAAGTATTTCATGCAAGGGAATGGAGCATATTCTATATAGTAATATCATGACTCATCTTAATGCATCTAACCTTTTACATTCCTCGCGACACGGATTCCGGCTAGGATATTCTTGTAGTATTCAATTGGTTGAATTTTTTTACGACCTTTCTTTGGCAATCGACAAGCGGATTGATTGATTGTATATTTCTTGATTTCAGTAAGGCTTTTGATGTCCTTCTGCATAATCTTTTTATTTCTAAACTACGCGCTTATAAACTTAATGACAAAGTTTGTAACTGGATTTGTGAGTATTTGTCATTCAGAAAACAGTATGTGGTTTGAAACGGCTTCCAATCCCAAATGGGCGACCGCTTCTATTTCTTATTTACATAAATGATATTGCTGTTGATGTTTGTTCTGCCATTCGAATGTTTGCGGATGATTGTGTTGTCTATAGAGACAGATTAATAATGTGGATGATGGTGTGATTTTGCAAAAGGACTTGTATAACATTGAATCATGGTGTCAGTCATGGCAAATGTCTTTGAACACAAAACAAAATGTGCATGCCACCTTTACAAGGAAGGTTTAACGGCAGCATTTTGTTATTCGCTAAATGGAAAAGTTTTAGAAACCCTATATAAATTTAAATATCTCGGTATATACTTTACATCTGACCTGTGTTGGCATGTGCAGGCTGACTGTATTCCCTTGAAGGCCTCACGAATGCTAGGGTTTCTGCGTTGAAATTTCAGAACTGTACCTCAGTTGCTCAAGGAAACAATTTACTTTTCACACGTTCATTCTATTCTGGAATATGCTTGCATTGTCTAGGACCCCCGGTTGTCTGGTTGCCGCCATTGCTCACAGATGGCGGTAGCTGTCCAGAGTTTTGTGTCATTGTTTGTTCGCTGGCGGACACGATCCTGGGGAAACTAGCTTTTAACAGCTCTGCTGTAATACAAAATTTGGCTTTGAGGTTTGTCTTAAATAATTACGATTCGCGACTAATTATGACTGAGTGGAAACATAAGCTTAAGTGGCAGTTATTGAAAGATCGCAGAAACCACGCTTTAAAAATTGGAGAAATTCCTTTTAAGGGCGACGTACTGCGACACCCTTTTTTTTGTAGAGACTGCGCGGGATTGGAACTGCCTTCTGTCACGCGCTGTCTCAATAGCTTCCAATGATGCCTTTTTTCACGCACTGAATGTATGAGTTTTTTTGTGTGTGTCTGTATATTGTTTGTTTCTCCATTCACTGTAATGCTTGATAGCGAAGTGGGTACCTGAATAAAGATAAAGAAAAAGAGCCAACTTTGCACAGGCGCTCTCACGTAACTGTTTGCACCGGTGCACGCAAGTAAAGCTTCACATCCTCGCACTGACTTCTCGGGGAACCGGCCAGTGATTTTCCTACACACTCCCTAGGAGGGTTGTACGCCCCCCTTTTGTTTTTCCGAAGGCACCCTCTTTTTTCGCAACAACTCCTCTATTCTTAATGCCCCCTTCCCACTGAAAATTTAGACATTTCAATTCCTGGGGCAACCCCTGGAACCGGCTGATATGAAAGAATGCTCGGTTAGCTCAGTGGGCTCGCATACTCCCTAATGTACAGTACTTGACGGCAGCTCGTTGACTTTGCAGATCCACCTACGACAGTTCGAAGGGACGCGTCACTCTGCCCGCGAAAGCTCGGACTCTTCGGACGGCGAGCCCAGGCATCCCTAAGCAGCTGGATGCGGAACAGCCCTACGCCTGGCGTGCCTTCTTCGATTGCCCCGTGTGTGCTTATGTACAAATGCGACCCGAATACAGTTTATTTTGGAGACTACTTTCTGGCACCCTGTTTCGTCGCCCGTCTATAGTAGTCTACTTTGACTGTGTGTGCATGCTCGTTGCCTTCCACCTTGCTTTGGCTGCGCGTGCGTGGTCGAGGCTCCCAAGACGCCAAAGCATTGTTGAAGGCAGAACTGGAAGAACTTGCTGCCGTTTTCATTTTGTCGGTAGCTAGCTTCGACGATGACTTTCTGGCACTCTGTTTTGTCATCCGTAGCGAACCCACACGATGCCCGGAAATTCCGAATGGCGTGCCACAGGAGTGGGAAGGTAATTATATGGCGGGCGTTATTGAGCAGCTAGACTCACAGCCCTGCTCATGTTCTCATAACAGATTGTTGGGCAGTGGCAGCTTCTGCATTTTCCTTCTGGTGCCAGAGGAAATGTACAGAGTTCATCTGCAAAGAAAAAGATGAAAGAGCAAAATGTAATGCAACCGAAATAACTATACTCGTTTTTGCCTGAACAACCATTAAAAAACTAATTTGGCCCCTTGCAGAGCATGACTAATTTTCCCTTTTATGTAGAGAATTGAGATGTGTAGGTGCATTTAAGGTTACGGTAGGTATACATTATCAAGACATGCACGTTGCAAACACCTGAAGCATCACCCTTCCTCTGACATTCAAAGTTGGTAAGCACGGTGTGTGAACAATGCGCAAAACTTCCTTTTTTCTTGACGTGAAAACGAGAAAAATTTTTTTTTTACGTATATAAAATTGCAAAGCAATAGAGAGAGAAATTACTTTATTGAGGGTCCGATAATAAGCACACAACAGAATAAGTGCTTAACTGGTGAATTATTGTTGCCCATTATTTTGTACTTTTGACATGTTGTGTAATGAAATTATTTAATTCAATAAAGGTTACAATATAGCGAAACTGCCAACATACTAAAACATGCACTTGTACAACTATACATACTATTCCTTGAAATTGAGCATTACATAAGCTAGCGACAGGTCAGCTCCGTGGTGTGTTTTGCACGCGCTGCTGTGAAGCATATATTTAGTTCTACCAGGAGAAGGCATAATTTTTGGACAGGAGTTTTTGGCTAAAGGGTTAACTGCCGATAATTGCAACTTTGAGCACTGGAGGTACCACAATGCGTGAATTATGCTTCCTAGCTCCTGGACGAGTGGCTTCCGAATTGAAGCATTTGCTTACACCTTCCCGAAGTGAGAGTATCGGGTATGGTTCTTATATCGCTTGTTTCACAAAATTAGAATCGCCCGTCACAGACGCAACCTCGTGCTGCTACCCTAAGACGATCAAGATAATGGCTATTTTGATGAGAATTAAAAACGCTACTAACAGTGTGGTGCAAGCTGGCAGCTAATTTAAAGGATTCAGCTGTATAATAGCTGTACGCATCCACCCGTTGGCTGTGGTCATACTGCTGATACATCATATAAGATACTGTATAGCCTGCGTACACTGTCCGAGGTGCGTTTCTTCCTTGTACAACAGTCCTGCCACTGTGGTCATACAAAAACTGCAGGCATATTCGAAGCATACACACGTATGAAGAAAGTGTGCGCCAGGCATGTTTGCGGATAACCCCGTTATTACGTCTACAGCCAACACCGCTTTTGTATGACGTATAAACAGAGTGGTGCGACTCTGGGTTTAGGGATGCTTAATCTCGGTTTTCTGCAAGGATGACAGTCTTCTCAGTCCTCTCGATCTGCAAGGAGAGGAGAGTAAACGACAGAGAAAGAGCGTTAACAATGTAAATTTTTATATTGGGAGCAAGAAAAAAAAAAAGAGCAGACAGTTGTGGTTGAGATGACCTATTTAATTGGACTAGAAAGATGCGCTAGTGTGCCAAGACGTGTCGGCCCTTGAGGATCCGGCGGAATAGCACCCTCTTTCCCCCTGGCGTGGACAGCCGCTTCTTCAAGCCGTGCCTGTGGATCCGCCTGTGCTCGCTTGGCCGTGGGAAGAAGTGTCGCATCAGCCCGCGCACCTGCCGAGATTCCAGTGGCAGAAACCGCTGAAGCAGTTGGCACGGCTGCGCTGCGACTCCGGCATACCTGTATTGTAGTGAATAAGCCTCGTTGGAAAAGCTGTTCACTTAACTTGGGAGGAACTATATTGCACGAGTCAAAGTGGCCATTGGCTGTTTGAAGGGACTGCATAAATAGGTTTCTGAATGCATCCAGCCAAGATTGTGTACAGAGGTGGGCCAGTTGGACGCCTTTCATTAGCAGACGGATGCCATACAGACGGATGCCATACATTCGCGGGCATGCCAGTATTTTATACGCCGCGAGCTTTCGGTTTGCCGTGTTAGTCTTGCACCAAAGAAGTTGTAGATAGAAGAAACCATGAAGTAGAAATTACCGGTAGTACCCAGCAATGGCAATACTTGCAACCTATGTGTAGGTAGGAATTTCGGTTTTTATTTCGAACTCTACTCACTTAAGTTTGTTTGGTTAAATTTGGATACACTTCATGCATGTTCTTCGGCCACCTCTGTACAAAGTCGTTGCTCGATATGTTAAAAAAACCTATTTATGTGGTCCCTTCGAACAGCCAATGATCCTTTTGACTCGTGCTGTAGCTTGTGTATGAGGAACAGCAAGGAGGTCTTACAGCCGTTCCACTTAAAGGGGCCCTGCAATCATATTTAAGCGTCTACTTTTTTTTGCGGTTTCCACGTCTCTTGTGGTTCGGGCAAGCCAGCGGGCACGGAGAGAGTAACTAAATATTGGTGCGTTATATTTTAACCGGACGACGCGGAAACTTCCACCACCGACGAGGGCGACCCGCGGTACCGAAAGCGCGCAAAATGTGACGTATTTGGTCCTGGGCTTACTACCGGTCAGAGCCGCTAAAAGCTTCTTTTTAGTCGAAATACAAAATATAAGTGGTGCAAAACGTTTCAAATGTTTATAAAAGTAGTTTTTCTTCAGTATTTTAGATCAGAAAAGAAACAAATGCAGTTTATAAAGTACGGAAACAAAGAAATGACCCGTCGACATACCCGCCACCAAGCGGTGGAAAAGGCGGCGCATACTAGAAAGGAGTACCGTAGTGGGATCAGGCGCCGACACGGAAAGGTCCCGGATGTACGCGGCGGCGGCGCTGCGGTCGTATGGACAGGAGGATCTGACCGGCTTTGGAGCATTCCGAAGGCCTTCGGCAAGAAGCTTTGTTTTGCGGTTTAGCCGTTTCGCGTTATGGCAGCGCGAAGTGGCTCCCATTCTGAACTGATCTTAACCCCGTGTTTGCTGTCGTTTGTGGCCAATGAAGTGTCATGCCGAATTAGTATTTAATCGCGCAGCAAATGCAATGAGAGCCGCTTTGGCTGCCCGCTGCATACAGCCTATCCAGAACATGCTTCAGTGGCGCCGCCCTCTCGCGCCGTCGACACCGAGTGCGGCAGCCGTGAGCGCTTGCGATGAGCCCACTACCCCTCCTCTAGTTCACGGCCACTCAGGCAACCAAGGACGTCATGAGGGAGGTTATTTTCTGCTTGTTTCTATAATTTTAATTCGCCTATAACTTTTAAAATAAAGCAAATTTCGAGAAAAAAAGCTTCACTAAGTTACTTCGTTCAGTGCGCTCAGGTTCGGTGCAAATTAAAAACCAGTGAAAAAGTCCTTGGAGGGCCCCTTTAAGCGCGCCTAGAGACCGACGAGCAGTTATCGCTTTCCACTCTTCCCCTTCTACTCTGCCCAATGTTGCCTGTTTCCTCCTCCCCCATGATGACGAGGATCTTCTGCCTTGCAGAATCTCGAGTCTGGTCATCGGCCTTTAAGCACGAGCTTTCTACCTTCGATAACACTTAGGCATATGATGAGCTTCGAGCGTGCGTAGCTAAAGCATGACGGAAGGCAACGGCCGCATGTTGGACGCCGGGCACCAGAAAGCGACAACCTGTCGCGAGATGCGATCCGTCCAAAAAACGGAAAGGTCAAGGGCTTTGCTGCACGTGATTCTGAGCTTTATAATGTTACGTTGAGCTTACATGCTGGTGAAACACCGAGTAGCTGTGCCAACGAGAGATCTCAGAGCAGACATTTTCCTAGTGCCAGTCGATAAATGTTTGGGGCGGACTACAAGGCGGGAGGAATCGAAAATTAGCAAGATTTTGTCAAAATTCGCAATGGAAACCACCGAAACCACCATTGCGTGATGTCGATCTTTCTAATCGTTTCGGGCTTCCTTGTTCGGGTTTCAATTTCTCGTCGGGTCCTTTCGGGTGTTTCAGCACCCTTTTTAATTAATAATGCAAATTCAAATGTATATTTTTGTTTTAGTTAAGTACACATTATGCAATAAGAATTTTTTATTATAAGTTCAAATTAATATGTGTGCAACACAAATTGAGGTTAGAACCGTATGTCGTCTGGCAACCCACCTTTAACCTCGCCGCCAGCGTTCCCTTGCAGCGGTCCTTTCCCGAGTATCTGCCATAGGGTGACGACTGAAGTTCATTCCATTGAGAGAAAAGTTTAAAAACTCAAAATGGTAAGTTACATCCTGTTTCAATCCTTATCAATCCTTGTTCTAAATCAGTTACCGCATCTGATGGCACCTTTATTTCGTTTCCATGCCGCCCAGTAATCCGATACAACGTCTCTTCTCTTCGTCCTGATGTGGTCTTGTCCGCCGGCATTATGTCGGTCACTGTAGAAGACGTTTCGCCGATCCATATTCTGTTTCATTTAAAGTCCGCTGTACGCGTTGTAAAATAGTAGTATTCTTGTTCGCTCAAAACAACTAGTCTCGCGATTGAAGTGACGTATTCATTGACATCCAGCTGATGGCGTTATGCCTCTGAACTAAAAAGAAGAAAAAAAAAATGTCATCCATTCTCCGTTCGCTGTAAAGGGCTAGAATGGCGTGACTCATGATGTAACGGGTATTCCATTTTGTTTCGTAATTTATTTGTCGTTAGGATAGGGAAAGCTCGTGCAGCATTTTCACATACATGCAAATGCGGTTACCGTATTGTGGCATCCTCAGCCTTCTATCCAATCAATGGCCGATTGCGACACTTCTGGCAATGGGACATTTTTCTCGGGACGGCCGTATTTTTTCCTCGGTTAAACTGCGACGTTGTAATCAACACTATTTTTTTTTTTCTCTCGAATAGCTGGGTAGCTAGTAGTCTGACATGTAACTAGGTCAAGGTAGTCGCTGCTTGTGGACAGACACGTGGCCGGTTTAGTTTTAACGCAGCGCAAACTGGATTTGACGGATTAGATTTGTACCGAGCTGTTCCTAGTGAATGACGCAAGGACCTTTTCTTTATTTTGTGCGCCAAATGGTCGTGTTGCGTCAGAGCCGGGATGAGAGTGACGAGTTAATTAGGTTACCACCGGTACCGACGTTTGCAGCATAAAATACGCTTTTCCCAGCGGAAATATTTAAGAAAATATGCTTGAAAATAAATTGTGGTTAGTTTCAAAAGATGTATGTTCAGGATATGTGTAAGCACGTCTTTGGGCACAATCTTGTCACCTTTTTCCTAGCGTCAGTGGTTTATGGAACTTGACAATTACAATATTGACGATTTCTTTTAGCTTCACTTGGCTAATATATGACCCAATATGGCTTTTGAAGCCATCTTTCAGTTCAGTCGTGGTAATCTTGTTGCATGCTGTCAGGACGTGTTTAGACCTGCTATGCTGATTGCAGCTAAAGAGCAATGATGAGGTTTGTAAGGAAGAGGAACTGTCTTTCAGGCTTTCTGATGTGTGCTGTACATTTTTGGAGTCTGTTTTTCCGTCAACCTTGTTGATTTTAGAGGGGAATGCCGGGGTATACATGGCTTACACTGATCTCACGTCAGCCGCCATTGCTCTGTACCATGTTCCAGTGCCAATACTTCCTGCAGCATACATTTGGCACCTAGAATCTGTTTTTCTCCGCAAGGCATGTCAAGAGCAACAAATTTTATTTTGCGAAATGTATGCTGCAGAAGGTATGGGCACAGGAGCAATGGCGGCTGGTATGGTACAGTGCTACTCACACTTGTTTATAACGCGCGAGCTTGCGGCTTTCTCCGGGGAGCGCTAGACTGGTGGCATTCACGGAAGCTAAGCTAGTCACGTGGCGCAGCATTGAAAGGTCCGCTGGGGGGGGTGTCCTGCCCACCCTATCAGCTGGCGGCGAACTCGGAAGGCTGCTCGCACACTTTTTACAAACATCATTGCTCGAACAATAAACAAACTAAACCATGGAAACGTATCAGTGATGTCGTCATCAACAATTGGAATTAGAAAAAGAAAAGACCCCATGCGGAAAAAAGAACACTGTTGATATGCTCACAACAGCACGCAAGCGATAAACGGTCAGATAAGCGAGCGTGAAGCATGCTGCGAGCAGCCTTCCGTGTTAGTCGCCAGCTGATAGAGTGGGCAGGACACCCCTCGAGCGGGCCGTTCCATGTTGCGCCACGTGACTAGCCTAGTTTCCGCAAATGCCGCTAGTCTAGCGCCCCCCGAAGAAAGCTGCACGCTCGTGCGTTATAGACAAGTGTGATCAGCACTGTACCATCAGGCGTCGCATGCAAGACACGTATAACTACCGACATAATCAACGGGGTTCTAATTCATTACAGCTTGTCTTTGGCATCTGGTTGTCACCTGGGGGCATGTCCCTCTGCCATGGAATTTACGAAATGTTTTTTTTTTTATTTTCAAGTCTGTTAGCGGGTAATGCCAGAGTAAAGCTGCCTGTAGGACCTAGAGATCCCGTGTCCAAGACATGCCAACTTAACCGTGGCTCTGTACCATAATTTTCTGGGAATGAGTCCCCCCTTTGTATGCGTCATTATGATGTTTTGATGACTGTCAAGTCTTTATGAGCTGTGAACGCCAGGGTATAACAGGCGAGATTCCACATCCAAGACATAACGGCTTAGCTGTGGCCTGTTGCCATGCGGCTATCTTGTGGGTCATGTTCAGATTACTGAGATGGTAGGTAGTGTGAACAGCCAAGGACACTTCTACAAGTTTGTCGTGACATACTTGTGTGGCGGCCATTCGCAGGTGAACTTCACGGTGGACGAGATCCGTGGGCTGATGAACAAGAAGAAGAATATCCGGAACATGTCCGTGATAGCCCACGTGGATCATGGCAAATCGACTCTTACGGATTCTCTCGTGTCCAAGGCCGGCATCATTGCCGCCGCCAAGGCCGGGGAGATGAGATTTACGGACACTCGCAAGGATGAGCAGGAACGCTGCATCACCATCAAGTCCACGTGAGTGGGGTCTCTTTTTTTTTGCGGCGACGCTAGATGAGGTTTTTGGTGGGTATCTCAGTTCTCTCTTGCGGTGTGGCACTGGGGTACTCTGTTACACTTTATAGTGGAGGCCCAGCTAATCCATTTTTGTTGTGGACGTATCACGGGACTATGTACCCATCCTGGAAATCGCGTGACACTTGGACGATAGTGGATTGGCTTCGACGGCTTTTCGGGTCCTTGGTGGCTCTGTGGTGCTAGCAGATTTCTCTGCTGGGTTTCATGGTTGTTGACAGAGAACGTAAGGCCGTGCAGGGTTTGCACGGACCCTTGAAAGCATCCAGCCCTTAAAATTTCACACTGGAATTTCCAATTTTTTTTGTAAAGGGGCCTTTTTTTTTTTTTTTTTTTGCAATTGAGAAATATTTTTGCAATAAAATATAATTATTTTTTGAGTGTTTACGTTAGCATAAATTTAAAAATTTCATCGAGAAAGTTTTTTATATGGCACATTTAGCGGATGTCCGTTAAGCACCTGGTCACAAAGGCAGCATCCCGGCGGTTCTAAATTCGGTCTCTCCCGTCTGCCATTTTCCAATCTTGCCCCTCGTTAGCCTTGTTCTCTCGCATACTGTTTACTAGTTAGTCCTAGTTTGCGTCTGTGTTATGCTACACAAGTTGTGTGCAGTGTAACGGGAGGTACAACTTTTGGCGCTCGTAGCTGGGTCACGACAACTACAGGCACCGACGTCACCTACATTGTGAGGTCAAACAGTCATGAGGAAAACGAGGATGCAACAACTTCTAAACATCAACCCGCAAGCCAAGGAAAAGCTGCAGGAGCTCTACTGACCCCTTTACTAGCACCCCTTTGGCTAATGCTCCTTTTCATAGGTATCATGCATTAAAGTTGTAAATTTACTAGACAGGGTAGGGGGGTCCTTGAAAATATTTTAACAGGCCCTTAAGAGTCCTTGCAAACCCTCAAATTTTCTTTGAAGCCCGTAGGAACCCTCGCCATGTCCTTTAAAGGCCCATCCTCGGCGCTTGCTCCGGGCCTTCTGTCACGCAGCGTCGTCGAAGGTGTGAAGCTCGCGCTGGGAGTGGGACGGCCGAAGCTCCTCCCCTTTCGTTCTCACCTTGTCAGCGACTATGGAGGAATCTTTTGATCGGTTTTACAGATTTCTCTCTGGTGTAGCAATGCTAGATAGATTTTATGACCCTCTCTCTGCGATGTAGCAGGGTGATATACGCTGCGCTTCTCTCCATCGCACAGGGCGGTGTCCATGTACTTTGAGCTGTCGGACAAGGACCTTGTGTTCATCAAGGAGGCCGACCAGCGGGAGAAGACTGAGAAGGGCTTCCTCATCAACCTGATCGACTCCCCCGGCCACGTGGACTTCTCCTCCGAGGTGACGGCCGCCCTCAGGGTCACGGACGGAGCCCTCGTCGTGGTGGACTGCGTCAGTGGTACGTGTGCCACATTTCTTGTTTGAGTTCGAGGGATGTAAATGCCCTCAGTTTACCTCGTGTGTTCTGGATTACCTGAGAATCTGTCGTGTTGGACTTCAAAGTTCAGGGAATATGAATGCCCCCTGTATTTTGCCTCGTGACTTCCAGCCGATTTCCACCTGATGTGCCAAGCATAAACCAGTGCATGTTGTGTTTTGTTTTTAGCCTTCTTGAAGGGGGAACACTGGCTAGAGATTCAATTTCTGAACTGCTCTATTGATCGGAATGAAATTTGCAGGGGAGGTTTAACATCAGATGTAGGTGTACTGTGCAAACTTTCAGCTCTCCAGGACAATTTTACATGCCTGCATAAGATGTGTCACACTTTGTTAGGAAACCTGATATGCAGATGAAGCTAAGCATCGTTTTGACTTGAATATAAGGGGGGGGGGGGGGGGAGTAATATGGGACTTTAGGCTGTCTAGTCTTTTTTTTTTAACTCAAATGTAAATATTTCAGGAAGAGTTATTACCTCAAAATATGAGATACATATCTGGCCTATGTATAGTTTTGAAAACATTGCTTTTTTCTCAATGAGGACTTCAACTTAAAAGAAAGTGAAGTAGGTAGTCAGATTCTCCAATAAATTTCAGTTCAGAAACAGCTTGATTTTGGTATCGGAATACTTTAACCTTCAAACGAAAGATTCCTTCGTATGAAATTTGCAGCAAAAAGTGGAACTGAAAAACATCCATTCAAACATTGAACTTCTTTACTTTGTTACTGCCTCACAATGCATTGAAAATATTTTATATCAATATAGCTATTTGGCATATGGTTATGAAATTTGGTTCAAGTGTGTATAATGAATTTTTAAAACTGAAAACCTCGAAATTGAAAATTGACATTTTTCATAAAATTTAAAATGTAGGCCCATGTCCCCCCTTAACAGCAATTACGTGACTGCGTGACAAGTTTATGTATGGCAGTAGAAACATTGCCTAAATGTGACCAGTGATTTTTTTCATTTTGCGAATGTCAGAATTGAACGGAGCACATTTCAGCGTCTGCCACTCTCTGTTCCTATGTTTAAAAGTGTTTGGGAGGCCAGCTACACTCACCATCGTTGTTTCCCAGGAACTGTTATATAAGTTGTGCAAACAAGTAACATGCCTGATGGGCCAGCCAGACTGACCATAAGAGTTTCTTTGCTACTTACCGAGCATTTCATGGCAGCGGCTCTATATGTTTGCCGAACGACTGCATTGTTTTTCTCTTCTGACTGAGCTGCTGCTGCTTCTCGGCAGGTGTGTGTGTGCAGACGGAGACTGTGCTGCGTCAGGCGATTGCCGAGCGCATCAAGCCCGTGCTGTTCATGAACAAGATGGACTTGGCCCTGCTCACCCTTCAGCTGGAGCCCGAGGACCTCTACCAGACCTTCCAGCGGACGGTGGAGAACACCAACGTCATCATTGCCACCTACGGCGACGAGACCGGCCCCATGGGAGACATCAAGGTTTGCGCTCGTTCAGACTATATCTTAATTTGTCCAGAAAATTGTGAGAGAGGAAGGCCATTAAAGTGAAGTGATGGTGCTACGAGGATCGGATTATAGCAAGGATGCCGTTTCTCGGAAGAGGTCTGGCCCTGTCGTTGTTGCGTCTGTAGATGTTGGTTTTTCGTTTTGGTGTGCTGAGCAAGAAGCCATCAATTGAAAGGTATTTTTATTTCCTTTGGTGGGATTTAGCTGTAGTTGCAGTTTATTTATGTATGTGGGCGTTTATTCTGACGATTGGTTTCCTTCGAGCTTGAATTAGTCGAGCGTATGTGAAGTGTGGTGCCCCCTCTGCCTTGGCGGCCCTCCCCTTGCTCTGTGGGGAGGGATCGAATGCTTGCAGAGGAACATGAAAGGACGCTTTTTTGGGCCCCAATGCCTTCGGTGCCCGTCCCACGCCCTCCTTGGGGATACCAGGGCGGGTCCCATCCTCGAGGGGCCCCACAAAGTTGACTGCTTGTCTCGACTGCCTGCTGGCATGTTTCTGGGCTGTTTCACAGCTATGTCTGTTATGGGCTCTTCCCACGACTGGAGATGATGTTCGTCTTTGATGTAGTAGTGGTTCTCATTGTCGATGTTGTAGTTGGCATAGCTGGGTGTCTTTTGTTGATGTTGCCAAGTCGGTTGCATGGTAACGGAGCGATGGCTGTTGCATTCACTCGAGAGTGTCGATCCGGTGTTGCGGAGAGTATGTGTCTGACGCCGTCTGCACATGCCCCACGCAGGTGGAGCCGTCCAAGGGGAACGTGGGCTTTGGCTCCGGCCTGCACGGCTGGGCCTTCACCCTGAAGCAGTTTGCCGAGATCTACTCGGAGAAGTTCAAGATTGATGTGGAGAAGCTGATGGTCCGGATGTGGGGGGAGAACTTCTACAACCCAACGAGCAAGAAGTGGGCCAAGAAGCCCGACCAGGGCTACAAGCGGGCCTTTACCATGTTCATCCTGGACCCCATCTACAAGATCTTCGACGCCATCATGAACTACAAGAAGGAGGAGACCAGCCGGCTCCTCGAGAAGCTCAACATTGTGCTCAAGGGGGACGACAAGGACAAGGACGGCAAGAACCTTCTCAAGGTGGGTGGGGGGGGGGGGGGGGGGAGGAGAAATTGAGTGCTTGTATTCCTGCTTTTTGCGGGGATTGGCTTAGAGACCCAGTCCTGTGGGGAGGGGGGGGGGGGGGGGGGGGGAAAGTGAGTGCTTGTTTTCTACCCAGTTCAAGGCTATTCTGTAGGTCGGCCTCTAAGGCCCGGCCACACTCTTCGGGAGGGAACACTCCGGTGCCATCTATGACCCTGGAACTGACTAGAACGAAGGTTTTGCAGTATTTGCGAGATGAAATGTTAGCACTATTTGTAAGGTCGTTTATAAATGCCGGATGTTCCACGACCACCCGACAGACTGCCGGCGCATTCTCTCGTCAGTGGCACTTTTAAGAGATTTTAAAGGAGCGCTGAAGTCTATACTGAAATCGTCCTTTTGTGGTGACAGCTCAGTCTAGACGCTTTAAGCATTCCCAAACCCGAAATCAAAATCATGTGTAGCCTGTTCCCTCGTTAAGTCTGTTCAAAGATCGGGACACACCCTTTTTGGGAAGAAATTTCTTGAGTGCGAAGTCGTCGACAAAGAGCGCTTGTCGGCGAGGGCTTCGCTCTCCGAGAAAAAGAGGGGTCTTATCCAAATGTGTACCTATCGGACTCTCTTCGAAACGAGTTATAATAAAATTATTTGGAATTTCTGTGTATTGTAGGGCTTTCATTGGTCCACACATTGTAGTCTGCAAGAAAATTTTCTATTGCCCCGAGATGAATATGTGCTTTTGTAATATAGGACTTGGTATATGTAGGGAACTAACACATTTTGAACAATATAAGATCAAAAATGACCTTTTTGGAAAATGACTTCAGTGCCCCTTTAAGGGACGCTTTGATCGGCAGTCACAAGTTCAGTGAAATAGCCCTTACTTTCTTTGGTATCGGGGTACCACTGGAGTTCACGCTTGCTTTCTGATTTGTCCTGCAGTCTCATTAGCTGGGGCGACCGTAGATCACCAAGTCGTAGTGGTAGAGTTTCTACGTTGCCTGCCAGGAGCCGGCGTGGGGCACGTGTCGTGGCTGAATGCTGGGCCAATGCCGACTTGGCGCCGGTGCCCAGTCTGTGCCCCTCGCCGGCCTCTGAAAGCTGCGTAGAAAATACGGCCTTGGGGGTTTGACCGTAGTTCTTTGAAATTTAAGAGGTGCCATTGGAAACTGTGGAAGCGTGTACTTAGGCTGGTCGATACTGCGTGCCCTTGGGTACATCGTTGCTCCCACCGTCTTTTATTGTAACAGTCTGTGTATTCGTCAAATGACCCGCAAAGCTCGTGGGTCATTTGGTGCACGTGAGTGTCTTTGCTTGTCCTCTGGTAACGAGAAGGTCTCCTCCTTGTTTTTCGGTGGGGGAGGGCTTGTAGAGCCAGAGGTACAGAAAAGCACTACCGCCAATTGGTGGCCCTCACAAACAGTTCCTGCCCGTCTCTGGGCAGGCTCTGCCCGCGCGGGCCTACAGGCAAACTTGCCCCTTTGTTGCCTCGCAGCTGATGCCACCGTGCAGAGCGGGGCTACAATCGCTCTACCGTTGTGCACCTTAAAATACCTGCGCAGCCAAAACACTGCAAAAGGCTACGAGCACGTGTTGGAGGCCGAGCTTCTCGGTGAACTGCGGCACCATGACGTCTCGTCACTCGACGGGCTAGGGTTTCTCTTTGGAAGACTTCCGTTCTCAGCGATTGGTCTCTGTGCACGTCACGCAGGTGGTGATGCGCACCTGGCTGCCGGCGGGTGACGCCCTGTTCGAGATGATCACGATCCACCTGCCGTCGCCGGTGACGGCCCAGAAGTACCGCATGGAGATCCTGTACGAGGGGCCCCTGGACGATGAGGCGGCAGTGGCGGTCAAGTCGTGCGACCCAGAGGGACCCCTGATGATGTATGTGTCCAAGATGGTGCCCACGACGGACAAGGGGCGCTTCTACGCCTTCGGCCGAGTCTTCTCCGGGGTGTGTGCCTCGGGCCAGAAGGTGCGCATCATGGGCCCCAACTACACGCCGGGCAAGAAGGAGGACTTGGCCGAGAAGGCCATCCAGAGGTGGGTTCCCCCTGTCCTACGACGACGGATCGAACGCCTTTTTCAACACTAGGTGGCAGAATCAATCGGAACAGATTAGATGTTTGGGCAGCAAGGGGGCTGCTGATCTTGTTCTCGTGACAATGTTGACCCTTTCTGAAATTTGGTGCTGGGAAAGAAAAAAGCTGGTTGTGTAGTTGTTGATGGAAAGAATGGCAGGGCATGCCTTTCCACGCCCTCTGCCGTGCTGTGGCTGCACGCTTGAGGCGTGGAGACGTCGAAAGTAGGAAACTTGTTGGGGGTGGGGCAACAGAAGCCCCTGCCTGTCATTCTCACCTTGTAAGTGAATATAGTCGCTAATGATAACAGAATCACGAGTGCTGACTGACGACTGAAATTTATTGCAAAATGAAGCCCAGCAACGACAGAAAATTGATGGTTTTGCTGATAGAAAAATTATTGCTTAGCGTTTAACTGTTTTAGTAGTAATACGGCAGTTAAGCGTGAAGTGGCTCGTGAGCGCAGGTCATGGTTGCACCCTCTGCCGCGTCCATACCTGCCCATTCAGAAAGTAAGGGTGGGTGTTTTGCAAGCAGAGGGACATAACGTTGGTGGGTTAATAGCAGGGTCTGCTACTTGGCCGGCTCTGAGCATTGCCCATCCACAACGGAACCTTTCTGGGCCTGTGGGTGTTATGTGCATAGGGCTATCCTGGGACTTGTTTTGTGCGAGCTTTAGATGTTAAAACACCGAATTCGTTGTGTGAACAGGGATGTTATATGAACTGTTTACAGGTGACATTTCAAAATTAAAAATTTATGATGTGAATGCTTTTTTTCTATACGATTGTTGGACTTTGTGCTAATTGTTGAGTCTTTATGGTTAACAAGTGCATACCTTGGTTTTTGCAGCTGTATGTTTGATGTTTGGATTCAAGTCTGGAGTGTAAAGAAAGTATTATGACATAACTAGTTGTCTTAATATATATATATATATATAAACTAGGAATAAATTATTTTTTTGATACCTCACTCCATAGTCTGATACCCTATCCTCTGGGCTAGCAAAGTGGCTTTCATTAGCACGGTTCTGGTTAATATAAATGTACTCTCTTCATTGCCCAAATAATTAGAGGAGCTTAAAACATGCTCCAAATTCATCCATAGAATTCAGATGCAGATAACTTTATTGATTACTGCGAATAGACAGTTTGATTTCTTTCAATAATCCCTTTGCTCATGAGCTTTGTGGGATGTCCGTTCAGGACGGTGCTGATGATGGGGCGCTACGTGGAGCCCATTGAGGACGTGCCGTGCGGCAACATCTGCGGCCTGGTGGGAGTGGACCAGTTCCTGGTGAAGACGGGCACCATCAGCACCTTCAAGGACGCCCACAACATGCGGGTGATGAAGTTCTCCGTCAGCCCCGTAGTGCGGGTGGCTGTGGAACCCATGAATGCCTCTGACCTGCCCAAGCTGGTGGAGGGCCTGAAGCGCCTGGCCAAGTCGGACCCCATGGTGCAGTGCATCATCGAGGAGTCTGGCGAGCACATTGTGGCCGGTGCCGGAGAGCTCCACCTGGAGATTTGTCTGAAGGACCTGGAGGAGGACCACGCCGGAGTGCCGCTCAAGAAGACTGACCCCGTGGTCTCGTACCGGGAGTCTGTGCAGGACGAGTCATCAATCATGTGCCTGTCCAAGTCGCCCAACAAGCACAACCGTCTCTTCATGAAGGCGGCGCCCCTGCCAGACGGTCTGGCCGAGGACATCGACAAGGTACCGTTGGTTGGCCCTGCCCTCTTTAATAAACGGTTTTCTAGATTTCATTGTTTCCTATCTGTGATCAGCCCATTCTTTGTTTCTTAGACTGCAATTTGTGGCAGCTGTGCCTGTGCACAGCTGCCTTAAAGCATTGATAGCACTTGTCTGGTTTGTTCTTGGTAGACCCTCTTTATCGAAATGCACGTCATCTAGTAGCTCACATCCAATTTCATGCTTTCTTGCTCAAGAAACGGCGACCGCCAGTGTTTCAGGGGTTTATAAAAGGGTCTGTTGCGTAGGTGCTTAGTCAAGCTCGCACGAGTTGCGTTTGGTTTGCATGTATGTTTGGGGATACGGTATGTGGTGTTCCCTCTGCCTTGGCGGCCCTCCCCTTGCTCTGTGGGGAGGGATCGAATGCTTGCAGAGGAACATGAAAGGACGCTTTTTTGGGCCCCAATGCCTTCGGTGCCCGTCCCACGCCCCCCTTGGGGATACCAGGGCGGGTCCCATCCTCGAGGAGCCCCACAATACCCTCCGGAGACAAGAATTACTTTTTTTGCTAGGTCTTTTAGTTTGTGTATAGCACTCAATTTCTCGGGTATCCTTGGGTTGAAGCATACGCGAGAAACTATGTAGTGCAGTGGAAGGGTTTTGCGCGTTCAAAACGATTGCTGGAACCTGCGAATGGGACACGTTGTTGACACCACCTTCGCTGTACCACAGGGCCAGGTGAACCCCCGCGACGACTTCAAGGCTCGCGCCCGCTACCTGTCGGACAAGTACGAGTGGGACGCCACAGAGGCCCGTAAGATCTGGGGCTTCGGCCCTGAGGGCACTGGCCCCAACCTGCTGGTGGACGTGACCAAGGGTGTCCAGTACCTGAACGAGATCAAGGACTCAGTGGTGGCGGGCTTCCAGTGGGCCACCAAGGAGTCGGTGCTGTGCGAGGAGAACATGCGGGGCGTGCGCTTCAACATTCACGACGTGACCCTGCACGCCGACGCCATCCACCGTGGCGGCGGCCAGATCATCCCGACGGCCAGGCGCTGCCTGTACGCCTGCATGCTGACTGCCTCGCCCAGGCTCATGGAGCCAGTCTACCTGGTGGAGATCCAGTGCCCCGAGAACGCCGTGGGAGGCATCTACGGGGTGCTCAACAGGCGCAGGGGACACGTCTTCGAGGAGTCGCAAGTGACCGGCACGCCCATGTTCGTGGTCAAGGCCTACCTGCCCGTCAACGAGTCGTTCGGTGCGTTGGCTTCTCAGTTTTTGTTGCTTCTGTCGACTTGGCTCAATCTCACTAAGCTTGGCCCAGATCATTTGCACCAGTTTGAGTGTTCGAGTTCATGAAATATAATTAGGGTGTGTATTTTCCGGTTTTAACCGAAAAACACCGATAAACATCCGTCGGTGACGAAAATACAAAATCGGTTAAAACCGAAAAAGACCGGTGGTTGGATATTTTCGTCCTGGTTAAAACCGAAAAACACCGGTCGAAAAACACCGACCTAGCGAAACCCTTTCCCCGTAGAGGTTCGTCAAACGTGTTATCTCGTGGATCCAGTGTCTATACATGGCTTGCACGTGGTGTCAGTCCGCCCTCCTTTCTGTGGGTCAAAAGCGTCTAGTTAACGCAGTGGAAGCTAAGCTTTCACACGCCTTTCCCCCATTGTGTCTCCCATGGCCCCCTTTTGTGGAAAAATTAACGCAGTGGAGGGTACGCTCTCACGTGCCCTTTCCCCATTGTGTTTGGCCAAGTGATGTCGGTGCAAGCCATGTATTCAGAGGTTGCTCTGGTTCCTGGAAGACACTGCCAACATCCGTGTCGTACAGGGCTACTGACTTTTGAGAACTGAGATGCGTTCATTGTTATCCGTTTAGTTTCCATGGGCTTTTGGCGAAACGGAAAAAAGGTTTTGTTGGCGTGGGGGTTTTCATCATTCATCATGGAGGAATCGTCGTTCTGGTTCCACGTGCAAATTGTTAATCCGTGCATAAAAGTGGAGCTGCCAGAGGGATTTGTGCCCTATGAAAGTATCTATCGGCTGGTCCTCCGAGACGAGCGCAAGCTGAGTGACCTAAAATCAGGGTTTCTTTGTTACCGCCAGTAGGCTGTGACTAGCACCGTTGATCCAGTGTTATTTTGGAAACTTTATTTACCTGACTGGCCACTACTGTCCCAAGCCTCGCTAGACATTTTGGGATTTCCTGTGTCCAGCGCAAATGTGGAACGTGCTTTTTCAAAATTGCGGGTTGTGAACCGCAAGGAACGTGCTGCCATGACGGATGCAAGCCTCTCGAAGTATGCTTGCATCTACTATAATAACCAAGCGTGAGAAATAGATGCTTCCTCGACAATAAGTGTATAAAATATGTGAATAAAATTGGAACTCTCTGTCCGTGATCAATCGCATTTTTTTTCCACCGATAATCACAGATTTTAGCCTTGTCGTGAGACGTTCCACCGAAATACACCGGTGTTTCGAAAATAAATAAACACCGAAAAACATCCGCCGATTTTTCCCACAAATAAACACCGGAAAGTACACACCCTAAATATAATTGAGGCGTGTGGGCTGAAAACTCGCTGAGCAAGTTCATTTTCTTCATTGAAGCCATTAGACTTTTTTAGTGCCAATTGCTTTATTTGGGTAAGGTAACATAGTTTGCTCGTGCGGCTTTTGGTTTCTGGGGTTTGTTTGAAGATGTGGTACTTGTGCAAGGTTTTCCCTCTGCCTTGGCGGCCCTCCCCTTGCTCTGTGGGGAGGGATCGAATGCTTGCAGAGGAACATAAAAGGACGCTTATTTGGGCCCCAATGCCTTCGGTGCCCGTCCGACGCCCCCCTTGGGGATACCAGGGCGGGTCCCATCCTCGAGGGGCCCTACAAAACTCCAGAGATAGGTTCCAGCCATTGTAGTCAGGCAACCTGTAGCTTGCACAGGGTCATGGACGTTTTCTTGTAAGATTTGTAATGTGAGCGTTTACAAGAGTTTGTTTTAGTAGCAATGCCTTCGTATCGCAGGCTCAGCAGACTGTCTGACTGTGCCTTTTCCATTTGTCTTGCTGTTGCAGGTTTCACGGCTGACTTGCGTTCCAACACTGGAGGCCAGGCCTTCCCGCAGTGCGTGTTTGACCACTGGCAGATCCTGCCCGGTGACCCCCTGGACACCAAGACCAGGCCCCACACTGTCGTCATGGAGACGCGCAAGCGCAAGGGGCTCAAGGACTCCCTCCCAGACCTGGACCAGTACTTCGACAAGTTATAATCGCTGGCCCTGCCTACACACCACTCTCCTCACTGCAGCAAGCCATTGGCCGCCCAGCTCGTTCCCCCCGCTCCTCTACCCAGACCTTTTTTTTTTTTTTTCTTGTAAAGGTTGAGTTGCCAAGGAGGCCATGTTGTAAAGAAAGTACCCACGGCTCCTTTGTCCACTGCAACTTGGGGGATATTCCTTGTTTTTATTATATTCTTGCCTCGTGATGAAAAGGAAGTGTTGAGGTTGGGACGTACGACAGAGCTGTTCCACAAATAAAAGGACGGAATTGTGGAATTTGAAGTGGTCTTTGTCTGCCTTCTTTGGGGACTAGTTTACACATTTTGGTGGCCTTCACTGAACGGCATATGTTGGAGGGCTTTCCACTTGCGAAATGATCAGTGAGAAAATTGGTTTTCTAAGCATGTAGCAGGTATTACGTCATAGATGGTAATACAAGATGTGCACTTTCAGGTGAGTAGTGGCATTAATGAAAAACAAGTAAACGAAACGGTCGTCAGTGTTTGTTTTACTTTGTTTTTGCACGCGGTAGCGTGCCCTCTGGCGGCAGTTTCTCACCGCCGTCTTGGTTTCAGTGAAAGTGGCTGGGTTCGAGGCTTTCACTTGGGGCTTGGTTGGCGATGGGCGAAAGTGTGGATTTACGATGCTTTCGCCGCATGCGCTTAGCATCGGCAGGGCAGGTTTACCGACTGTGCTGAAGCACTCCTGACCCTTAGGAGAAGAACAATAACTGCTTTCGGTGTTTTCGCACATCCATGTCTTCCCTGGAAGCCCTGCGAACGGGGGCTGCCTACCTCAATGGTGCGTAAGCCTAACTCGTCTCCCCAGCTTTTTTTTCTTGCAACTCGCTTTTGGTTTCGGTGTTGCTCGCCTCATTCGTGCTGTCCTGGTTTTATGCAAATGATGCTCCGCTTATTTTTAGAGCCTAGTTTCCTTTTGCGGGCATGAAAAGACGTTCCTTCTGTGGGAGCTGCTTGAGAAGTGCGCGTAGAAACACACCGGCCCTTGGACGATCCGTAATTCCGATGTGGTGCGAAAAATGCAGACTGCTCCTCAAACTATCGCGTTTTGATGCGTTAAAATCGTTTCGAGTGACCAATACTTTCGATCCCATGCGGGGGTGCGATCAAAAGTTGGCAGAATGGAGTCATTTTCTTTTTAGCGTGAATCATCTGTTTCAATCGATCGAGGAGTGTCTAGCTTGAACAGCTACAACGTCGTAGTGCTCGTGCTCGTTTCTGTCTAGTCTTGAAACCAACCTGTTCCCGGCACAGAATGACCGCTAACTTTGTTTTAAACATTAATCCCATGTTGTTCGTGGCTGTGATCTCGGAAGAATTGCAACTTGGTGGTCCATGTGTGGATATGTGGTGTACCGCTGCGATCTTAAGTAGCAAGTATGGTCTGTGCCGGCATGTAAGGGAGTGGTCGCAACGTCGGGGCGAAAATTGTCTCCAATCCGTGCTTATAAGATTCGTTCTGAAGCTCGGATGAAAGCGAGCGATCTAGAGAAGTGCCTTGCCGTTGGTGCAGTACCCGTCAGGCAAACAATAGTAATTGTGTAAAGAAAGATACGTGACAGATGGACGCTTCCGTGGAGCATGCATGTTCAGTACGCACTCAGGTAGCAGACAGAGTCAAGATGAAAGGCTGGTGACCTAAATGCAGCGGGGCTACTTTTTTCATTCCTATTCCTGGTTTATTTCCTGTGCTTTCTTCGTTTCATTCAGTTCATTCTGTTGATTGGTTGAAAGTAGTACATATGTTCATTACCTGAGGCAAAATAATATTTAAGCTTGCGGTTTTTGACATTTTTAAATTCAGGCATTGCAACTTGGTGTGTGTGGCTGGCTCTTGTAATTGCAGTGTTATTCTAGACATGGCACATTTAGAGTATTCTGCAAAGGCCCACTTAAAACACAAGCAAAACAAATCTCCATGCTGACTGAGGAGGCACGAAGAGAGCGAGTGGGCTTGACATGTGCTCAGCCATAGCAGACGTCATTCTCTTTAATGGGTAAACACCACATCAGCTGGATGCGAGTTCCTGTTTACCATAGCGCCCCTGGTGGTTTTTAGTTGACAAAAAACAGCGTACCCTTCGAAATGCTTCATTTCTCGAGGGTTGCATCCTTTTTCGTAAAGAAACAGACAGTCGCATAAAAGGCAAAGGAGCCTTTGCTACAACTAGCAGACGACGGCTTCGCCAAGGCCGTTGGCACCCACCCATAGCAGCCCTCTAAACAGAGCTCAGCACTGTGACTTCACTTTAACCCTCTGTGTGGACGAGCATGCTCGTTGTATACCAGGAAGGAAGAGAAGTGTGTCTGAAAACTTTGGTCACCTGATCTGAGTGCACGAGATACCTAAGATCTCTTTTAGAGCCTATTAGCTCTATTAGAAATGAGCCACATCTTATTGAAGACTGCCCGAATGTAAGCGCTGCTGAAACTAGCGTTTAAGTGCAGTAGAATGTGAAAGTTGCATCTCGCACTTGCTCGGTAGAATGTGGCGCTTGTGTCTCATGCAATAGCTTTAGTGCATTCTGTTACATGAATGACTTCAATACTTTTCAATCTATGAGCCACACCGTTGTATGAGTCCCCCCCCCCCCTCCCCCTGCCCTCTTTTAGACAGCCGTTTTCATTTTTATATTTGCAACTCCAGCGACCTATAGGGGGTGCCACCGCCAAACAAACAGGGCGGCTGAGTACAGGTCCCGTCACCTCGGCCGAGCTGCCTGAACAGGTGGCGCGTTCAATTTAACAGATTTTCATTTGTTTAATGCCCTATTTTATATGTATTTTAACTGCAACGGTTAAGGGTACCGGGTGCATATAAACTCGCAGAGCATAGTTGTGTTTTCCCGGTGCTTTTTGTTCTTTTCATGTCAAAGTTCTGTTTCAGAGATTTCGTTCAAAACCGAAACCATGGGCTCCGGAGAGACGGTAATAGACCCTAGTTAGTTTTGATCAGCGGCGATGACTACAGAATTGTTCCATCGAGAGTAATTTTCAGCTAACTCGCATGCCTCGACTAGGGTGACCACCTTCCTGCAGGCGAAGTGCGGGACACCCTGACCGGGGGGAGGGGTGGGGAGAGTGAGTAAGAGGAGGACGGTATTTTCCCGACTCAAGATAAACATATTAAAAAGTTCACCACCACGCACTCCCCGATATCCTGTGCTGTCCCAAAGCATATTATACACCTAAACTTGTGTGGCGGCAATTGAGCTAAAATTATTTTCAGTCACAGTGATACATTTTGTGTGTAATTGTAATGGCAATTATTTTATCACGGTTGTATGTCTAAGTTGTAAGACTAAGTTGTATGTCTAAGACATAAACTTAGGCATTAGCGTGTCTAAGTCGAGAACATAAAAATCGACTGCAGCAGACCCCAATGCATGAAAGGGAAATAAGAAACAGTAAATCTTTTACGGCATTTTGTTTGCTGACAATACTTTTTCTTATACTAACATGCTCTAGCATAAAATTAGAACCCTGTGTTGTTTTTTCGACTTTTGTGAGTTGCAGGTTTTTTGCCTTGTGTGGCTGTCTTCACCAAAAAAAAAAAAAAAAAGCTTTCCAGAACAACGCTTTTGCATTGCACAGTATGATTTGCATATAATTACACTAGTTAATTTTAAACTTTAGGAGAGCAGTTTTCGCTCGCAATATTTTGCCATCAAGGGGAGAGGCGCAACGGCACATGCGCGTTCGTCTCCTGCAAGAACCATGGTCGCTCTCCGCAACCATTGAGATTCACACGTTTATTACTCACCTTCGCGCTACCCCGTGGCCCGCTCTTCAGAAGCTCCATAATTTGCGTACTGAATGCTACGACAATGTGAAATGCGGGACATTTTAAAGATTTTGGTATTTCTTGCGGGACGCGGGACATGAACCCTCAATGCAGGACAGTCCCGCGAGTCGCGGGACGGGTGGTCACCCTAGCCTCGACCAAGTGACTTATCCGTCCGTGAAATCGAGCTTTTATGTGTATCTGCATTTAAGAAACAGCTCCAGTAGTCTGCTCGGTCAGCAACACAGGCTGCAGGAAAATTACGAAAATTAAGCAAGCGCTTCTTGAGCCAAGGAGCATTTTAACCCACTCCCCACTAAGCAGCTGATACTTGTATTTCAATTTAGGTTTTAGCGGCAATCGAGAAGTCATTTTGACGATTAAGCGCGTTATGTATTATATTACACACTATATCTCACTAAAGCGATATTAGTATATTCTTCGGGTTGAAATATGAGTTTAGTTGGCTAGCTATTAGGTGAACTGCTGAATAAAAGTATATTTGACAGACAGAGAGATACTACTTAAACTCAGCCAAATTGTTCTAGCCGGCAGCACGGAGGCGAATGCGGACAAACTGAAGAGTGTTTTCATCGGAGATTCACGTAGAACCTATCTGGGCATTGAACTTGACTTCAAATCCTGAACAGAGAAAATGAGTATTTTTTGTGGCCGGACAACCTGAGCATGTAGACGTATATTGCTGCTTGCTTCAATGGGGGTATAATATAAATATTGGAGGCGCGATAGGTCATAATGTCGTGATAGCTTCTAACATTGCAAGATGCGTCCCCCAGCTTTTGAAAGCAGTCAATTTCCCTCATTAATCGTATGCAGCGAGCAAAATTTCCGGAATCAAATAATTGCGAAATCAGCCCAACTCCTTCGGTGTGGTCCAGAGGCTTTTTCGGCAAAAAGCAGCCAAGATGAATAGCCAACGCACCGACCGGCGTGGGTGGCTCAAACTTGAAGCTAATCGAACACAACCAAACTAAAAAAAAAAAGCAGCTATCGAACCTTCCCGTTCACTTGGTGTTCCCTCCAGTGAAACACCTTGTTTGTCGTCCTCAGTCCACTGTTCTACATCCTTATAAATGAACCACTTATCAGTTACCAAGTAGTCGTCACTTTGAATGTGATTCGAGACAGACAAGAAATCGAAACGTTTTTTCGTGATTCCTCCCCATCCAAGAAATCCAAACCATGCGACCGTGTGTTGTGAAGTAAACAAGCTTTCAAACATGTGATGGAAGGAAAAAGGTGCAAAGCAACGTGTTCCGGATAGTTTCCGGTTTTCCCGCTTGGTGGCATCTGTTTTGCCGGAGTTGCGAATATACTAAGTTGCTCTTCTTGGAGCGGTCAGCAGAGTCGCAGCAGCCGTGGATCTATGCCATTACGCTTCGGACCGCTGGAAGAGCAGGCGATCGGCGGTTACTCAACCATTTTTCATTTGTCGTAAATGCCAATGTCTACATCTTGCACGGCTAAGATCCATACTTATGTATAAGTATAGATCCGGAGAATGTTGTATTTGTTTGAAATTTAGTGAGAAAAAAATATTCTGCATTGTAGAGGGCTAAGCTACCAAGTGAAAAGCGTGGACTTTATCCGGTAGCCCTTTGGAAGTAAAGGAAACTCTATCTGGGCGACTGGAGATCTGTGTCGGAAAGAGGTGCCAAGTTGCTCTGCCACGGTTTGCAGGTGGCTGATTGGTCGCCCGCGGCCGCCGCAAGATGCACCCGTCGAGCGAGGCGAGCAGCGACACGGAGGAAGTGGCGCGGCTCTTCCCCAAGTGCCGCGGGCGAGGCCACTCCCAGGAGGAGGACGACGACAGCCTGAACAACAACCACCCCATGGAGGACGGGTCGGTGGTGAGCGCCTACGACACGCCCTCGCGCATCGAGATCGCGGGGGGCCGGGAGATCTTCTGCAAGAGCCGCACCCGGCCCAAGCGCCGCCAGCGCGACTCGTGGGGCGCGGACAGCGACGAGTCGCCCTTGGTCTACGAGGACCCAGTGTGCGGCACCGCCGAGGTGGTCTACGACGACATCGACGACCGCAGTAACGGGCCCCGGCTCATCGGCAACTTGCCCATCGCCCAGTACGAGGGGTCGCCACGGAGGTACGGCCGGTGTTTTTTTGGTGATTCCCCCCCGAGGGTCTATGGGCCAAGAGGGACTGGAAACGAAGAGATATTGGGCTATGTCTCCGACTGGTGTGCTTACAGCGTCCTAAAAAATAAGTGGTTCCTCAGTTTCCACCTGATGACGTCGCGGAAGTGTCGTTGCCTGTTGTCATCCTGGCGGTGGTGCAGCGGCGGAGATGAATACGACAGCCAAAAGTTAGAGTGCCGCAACAACCGCAACACTCGGTGTCACTCCTACTTTTTGCAGGAGCTTATCCGACCAACCGCCAGGATTGCAACATCCGACAACATGACGGGCCGCCTCACGTGACGTCATTTGTGTTCCCACTTGGGGACCGTTTTCGATGCAGAGACGGTGTAGAACTATAAACACACCGGACCGAGATGCTTTCCAGACACTATAATTTTTATAAACGACCGCCAGGCAAAAAATAAAATGTGGCTGTCGTACGGTACCGATCATGCAGGCATCCTTTTGTGTGTGCCTGCTCTGTTTCTCATAAAGTTATATAAATTGCCCGTTTATGCAAGTTAAGTGTAGATCTGGCTCATGCAATATTTTACTTCTGGTATTTATGCAATTACCTTCCAAAGTTTTGTGGGTGCTCGCTTAGTAGAAATGTGTGGCCAATTAACCTGCGCCTTCTGCCCTGTGTCAAAGAGTTTAGTCCAAGTTTCGAAATGTCTTTGGTGAATTGTCGACCAGCTTATTCGCAAACACGTAGAGAACCTCACATGATTTTTGTAGTTACCCTGGGGGACCAACTCTTTGCTAGTTTAGCATGATAGAGTTTCTTCCTGAACGTGCGGTGTCCCATTTTATGCACAGCTGAAAGTTTGTTGCAACACTTCTTGTTGCAGAGTAAGGTATCCTGTAGCATAAGCTTAGCCGGTAAGCTTTGGGGCTTAGCATTACCTTCTGTGAATGAGGTGCTGATACCACAGCTGGACTGTGGTATACTAAGTAAAACTGATATGCTGTATAAGTATGCACATGTATCTGGTTATAACAGGTTGGTTTCTTTGTCATTTGGCCAGTTCATATCTGATAAAGCAGCTTCGGTACTTTTGGTTGAAATATTTAACCTCGAAAATATTCAGCCCAGAGAAAGAATATGTATCGAAAAAGTGGCTTTTCTGGTTTCCACCCTTAACTTTCCTGAATACAATAGGAATTCAAATCTTCTTTGTAGATACGGTCCTCGGCCCGGCTATCCACAGCGCGTAGCCGCCGATGATGCCGCGGCAGAAGAGGACGACAACGCGCTTTGCGGGAGTTCGTACGTGGGCCAGCGTCTTGCTGGAGCCACGCCCAGCCCCCGAACCCCCCCGAGCCCACGGCCGGCCAGTCCGCAGCCCGGAACCCCGTCTGCCATCAGCCCCGAACCCGCAAGCCCCGAGCCAATGGGGCCGCGGCACTTCTCCCCGCGACCGCGGAGCAACAGCAGCACGGAGACAGGGGAGCAGATGGACGAGCAGACGAGGAACTTGACCCTGTCTCCGGACGGGACGGATTGCGAGTCGGCTAGCGAGGCCATGTCGTTGGCCGGGTCGGCCGAAGCACCGCTCGCGATGCCCGTATTGGAGGACGGGCTGTCGAGCGGGCACCTGTCGGAGACGGAGGGCTCCGTGGGGGGCGGAGCGCCCGCGCAGGATGACGTCGTGTCGGACGCGATCCGGGAGATCCAGCAGGCGATTCAGCACAGCAAGCGGCTGGCGCTCAAAAGCTGTGGCCCGGCGGAGCGGGGCGACGCACCACCAGTATGGGTGCCGAGGTCGGCGGCATCTGCTTCCTTGTTTTTAGCATTTGCTGTTCTTGTTTCTGGCGTCTGCTATTGTTTCTGGCATCTGCTTTTTTTGTTTTTGGCATTTGCTAACTTTGCATAGACTCCGTTTTGGAAGCGTGAGGAGTTGCTGGGTCTTGGACATACCTTACTATTATTGTTTTGAGTGTGTAGTGCAATGAACATCATCATCATCTCTGAAAAGGAAATAATAGAAAACATGCAGATGAATGAACCATACTGATGGAATGAAAATTTTTTTATGAAGCTGCCCCCACCAAAGATTTTGTCTTTGGGCAGCTTCTTAGTTCATTGTACTCTTCTGGTAGTATCATTCTACAGTAAAATTCAGTATCATACATTGTGCTTGAATGTATTATGGTGTATGTTCTGAATGTGAATGAATACCGAGGTCAGTTTAACCTGGCTGAACATTGGGCTCAGAGGCAGAGGAAAAAGCAGTCACCATTTCGAGTCTTGCACTTGCCTTGGTTTGCCTATCCCAAGTGTTCCAGTCTCTACCCCCGCATCTAATCCTTAAAACATTTTCAGCCTGCTCATCTAAACCCTCATCCTCATGTTTCAGCCATGTGATATTTGCCATAAATCCAGATTCACTAAACTTTCAACAGGATTTTTTTTTTTTTTATGGGAGGTTAATTGGTTTTAAAACTTTTCTTGTTTGCTTTCTCTATAAAAAAAAACACAGACGCACACTTGGGTGTGCTTTTTTTTCCTGTACAGAACCTGTTGTGAGTTAATTTTGAACCTTAACTATTTTTGTCCATCAAACATTCAGAAAACTTGCTCAAAGTGCTTGTGTTTTATTATTTAGTACAGTATATTATAAACGGGTATCACTCGGGAATTCTCTACTTTTAATGGTTCATATGCTTTTTTACTGGATCTTTTTAGGCTCTCCCAATCTGGCAGGGAGGACCAACCACCCGAAGAGGGTAAGTTGGCATGGCATGCTGTGAGGTGTGTACCTAATAGTAAGAATTCGCTTTTCTTAACTTTGTTACTAGCATCCTATTCAAGGTGAAGCCTCATAACCAATCTCATTTTTGCCATAACTAATAGGAAATTCGGTAGACAAATGCTTACTCGAGAAAACTAGAACTCGGGCCTTGCTATGTAAGGATCACAATAGGATCATGCTGGTAGTCAGTCCTAGTTGCGTTTGCTGAGAAAATTTTATTCGGTAATGCGAAAGGTACACTGCAGAAGGTAGGCACTCAGCAGCAAGACTACCACAATGGCATCTCTTGGACGTCGGTGCAAGCCATGTATTGGAGTGAAGTACTCGAGCAGCTTGAGTATTTACAGATCAGATCTCGGAGGGCTATTAGCATACACTCGGAAGATTTCGTTGGCACTCCGAACGCAGCCAGACAAAGTATGCCAGACTTTTAAGAAAGGTGAGAAGGTTCAGCCACCGTCGTGGAGTGAGCTCGTCAGTTTCCAAAGCAATACCGTAGCGCCCTAGATTAAGGAATGGAGCGGGAAAGCAAGCCTTAAACTGCGTGCCGCTAAGCTAACCCAGTGCCCTAACGGTGTGTGCAAACTCGCCGCCATTCTTTGTAGACTGCGACACAGATCAGGAAACTGACCGCCTGCTCGGTGCTCAGAGGTCGGACGACCGGGGCTTTTTCGAGGACAAGGTGAGGACCGGCGACCCCGCCCGTGCACGCCCGTGTGTTGTCTGCCGCCCTGCATTGTCTCCCCACTAATCTCTGCAGGCCCAGAATTCCTCGGGAAAAAAGAAAAACACCTCGAAAGAAGGTAAGGCAACAACGGGAGAACTCCGCGCTTTGCTTGATGCGCACTCTCCAGCCAGACACGCACTAATTTCCGTTTCACTTTAAGTATGGTGGCTGGAACGTGTCTCCAACTGGCGTCTTTAACGTCCCGTACCGTCCAGGCGTAGAAAGGGGTACCGAAGCGGTGAGAAACGACGTAGGAGAAGCCAGTGCATCACGTTGTCGGATGTCGCTGTCGTAGAAGTTCCGGCTAAAAGTATGAGTGAATGCGAGGGTTGCTATCGTTGACGGGTTCCGACCCCCGGGTGCCCAAGTTTCCGTGGACTGTAGAACCGAGAGGGACCTGCGGCAGAACCGTAGTCTGCCCCTTCCATCTCCGCCGCTTTGCCAGCAGCAGCTAAAAGCATGATGCTTGTGCGACGTCATCGAGTGGAAATCGAGGGACTTCGTTCGACGACGCGGTGAACTCAATACTCGGAGACACGCTCCAGGCACAATACTCTAAGTGCGAGCGTAGCGGAAGCTACAAGAGAGAGCTCTGGGCTTTCTGCACCCCTGCGGAGCATGAGCGCTCGTGGAGTGCGAGCATTGTTGGGGGAAATGTACCCGTGCCGGTAGCTTCGGCGTTGCTCGCACTTAAAGTGAAAGGAACTATGGCACGAGGCTGGCTACTATATGCAAGAACACTGGCACTGGGAGCGCATTCTCACGCAGCAGTCGCCCCCTGCCAATGAGGCTACGTCGGATGGGGCTCTGTCGTGACGGTGCAAAGGCAGTCGTTCGAAAGTCTACGAACGGCTTTGTAATTATTGATGCTCGGCTCTTCGTGGGCGCATTTGTAGACCTGTTTGTGCCGCTGTACCAAGAATCCTCATTACTGCAATTTTAGAAAATTGTAAGAAAATAATGGCACTCCACTACATTTTAAATACTTGACGGTGACGGCGCAGGAAAAATCAATCTCACACCAGACACTCAGGAAGACAAGCACACGCGCTGAAGCGCGTGTGCTCAGCGCGTGTGCTTGTTTTCCTGAGTGTCTGGTGTGAGATTGATTTTTCCTGTGCCGTCACCGTCAAGTATGGTTCACCAACTCGCCCAAGCTTCCATCCTATCAAGTTACATTTTAAAATTGTTAGAAAAACCGTAGTAAAGATAAGTCGCACGTTTGGCAGGTTCTGTAATTTTTAAATGGTACAATTTGCTTCTGTCTGTACAACCGTGCCTCGTTAATATGAACACTTGCCCCCCCCCCAAATTGTTCATAATGAATCGTCCATAACAACTCGACAGAAATGCATGCATTTATACCCATTTCGTCTATGTAGCGCATTGTCCATATTAACGCATTCATATTAATGAGACACGACTAGATAGCTGTAGTTCTTCCATTACTAGCCTTCTAATGGGCCAGTGGAAGCCGTTCGCTCACATGACACCTGCACTGCCGTAAGCATGTGCAGCAACTATACTTCACGTCGGGATTGCTACGCAGCCTCTCGCGAGAAACGAGGAAGGGGCGCTAGAAAGACCTTTCCTGATGTCACTGCTTGCTCTAAAAGTCGTTTCGCACAGCTTAGCTCCGTCGCCCGTGCCTTTGATAGTGCTGAATGCAGTTTGGGAGACCGACAATTGTTACATCTCACTTAACACCTCGCTTAAACACCCTTTGTCAGGCCGTCAACCTAACCTAATCACTACTCACAACCGGGAGGGGAGTGAGCTGTTGGTGAGAGTTGTCACCGCTCTACTTATCTGCAGGGGGCTTTAGTGATGTCTGGTGCTGGCTTTTCCTCTCACCTTGGACCTATCTCTTCTTCTTTTCACTTACCACTCACTCTCCCTCACACTGCCTGGACTGTGACTGGTCTCCTGCACCTGCGGTGAGTTTCGGACGCACCTCACTCGTCCAGTTTCGGATCTGCACGGTGTGGTGCTCGGGCAAACCTTTTGGGCAGTGTGGCGACGTTGCTTCACCGTCTCACCTTTTTTTTCTTGGCAACAAGCCTATTTCACGGCCTCCATCTGCGCACCATTGCTGTTCAGTCCTGAAAGCGATAATGGCAATGATCTTTGTGGGAGTTCGACATGTGGCGTATAACTTCTTAACAAACATTTCTGTATATAGATGGACCATAGTGTCTCTACGGTCCATCGCAAGGTGCAACATAGTATAGTGAAATCGCTCTATTACATGTATATTGTGAGGAAAATTGTTTCTTAAAAGCTGAAACACAATTTTTTGTTTGTTTTTGGACGGCAATTAAGAGGTATGAACCACTTTCCTCTGCTCTACTCTCTTGCAGGGAGGGCTTGACTTGTATCTGTCGCGACTTTGCTGCTACGCCGATGATTTCATCGCATTTGCTTGCTTCATTGTTTTGGATTTAGTTTTCTCGTTGCAGTCGTGCTTCTAAGACAAGACCAATTGTCTCGCAGCTTGTCTTCGAATGTAGCCTCCATTCTTATAGAATATATACTAGGTCACCATGCACTACGAAAAGAAGCTAAATTAGAAGGAAAAAGAACCCGGTTTATCGCAGACAGTATGGGTTGGAACACTGGGCCTGGCCTCCTGCTATGCCCGTGGTCACCACAAGCCTCATTATATCTCAATTTGTCAAAGAGTTGGAAGAATAGAACCTAAACTTTGTTTCACCCGTAGAAAATCGCCGTAGGAAACATAGTATCTAAATGAATAATAAATAATAGCCCCAAGCAAGGCATCTTCTAAAGCAGGCAGATATTCCAAAGCATGGAGGGCCATTGTACCTCGTAACTTCCGCGACAGTAGCTCTTTCGTACAAGACATTTTCAGTGGTGCTATTGCTATCATCTCTCATATGGGAAATGTGAGAACATAAATGCTTTTATAAATGCAAAATAATGACCAGAACACAATTTAGGAGTACTAAACCGGGCCATTGCAATCCTGCCTTCAAAAAACATTGCATTTAAAAGAGCGTCGGAGTGGAAAACTGGAGGCGACGTCTTTGAGATTTATGGATGTCTTGTGGTGGGCAGTCTCTGCTTTATAACAAATATTCTCACGTAAAATCCTGTAGCTCTTCGTTCTCATCGAGGCAAAAAATGAGGGATTGGCCATGTTTCATCGGGCTTTCGGTTGTTTCTTGAGCATTTCTTGTTCTGAGCCATCTCCGATGTTGATTACAGTGTTGGTGCACGAACCGGCAGTGCTCATCGAAGGGGTGCTCTTCCGTGCTCGCTACCTGGGATCCACCCAGCTGGTGTGCGAGGGTCAACCTACCAAGGCCACCCGGATGATCCAGGCAGAAGAGGCGGTCTCTCGCATCAAGGTAGGCTAGAGCGCTGCCTAGCTTGCATCACTGCCAGCGTGTCTTGCAGCGTTTGACGACGAGCGCGACACTAGCACGCGTCTGCCACCTTGCGGCAACTCTCGTCGAGCTTAAGCGTGTCTGTTGCTGAAGGCAGTTAGTTCGGAAGTCCGTCGAGTCGCAAGATAACTCAGCGGGAAACGCAGAACATGCAGTGCATTTTGGTGATTGTCTGAATTCCAATCTGCCAAGAGCTCATTGCAACATTGGTGCTATGTAACGGAGGTTTGAGTTGTAAATTCAAGCGCCCTCGCGGTTTGAACAGTGGTCTAACCTTCACTGGGATGCGCTAGTTGCACATTGCTAGTTTGTCATGCAGAACCCCATATTTGGCATTCCGACAAGACAAAATGGGGTGAACAGTAACCTTTTTTTTTATTGCCGGCACGACTGTAATTGATGCGGTAGTGGTGTCCAGCAGCATTACTTGCCTAGTTCCGATTATATTCTGCCAACCCTATGCTCGGCATCAACTATTTCGTGCTACGTTGTCAAGGCTAGCTTCCAAAGTGCCGCAGCCCCTCACTTCTGCAAGAGCACATGCACGTGACTTGTTGCATTTGCACACTTTTTTTGCACAAATAGCTCTGACAGCGTTTGAGCATTGTTATGGCAGCCTTGACAACTTGCACAAAATAGTTGACACCAGGTATAGTTTGCATGCCCAACTTTGAAAACCTGCACTTAGGATGTTGGCTACACTGATGTGCGTCCGCATGTCAGTTTTGCAGTGTGCCGTTTTCTTACTGGTTGACAAATGGGTCACTTCATTGTGTATCGTTGTATACGAGTATCTTTTTTTGTCTTTTGCAATGTCTCGACTCTTGTCTCTTTTTATTGCTGCTTTTCAATGGGAAGTCCTTGGTAAGTCCTCACTTTTAGTTGTGGATCTTTCAATTGGTTCATTGTATCATTTGTTTAAAATGTACTCCCAGTTTCTAAATTTTTGCTCATTGGTAGCTCTGTGCGATTTTCGTAGGCTTTAGGAGCAACTTTTTTTATCTTTACTTTACTTTAGTAATCTGGTAGACGTAGCGACTGTTGAGTTCAATTCGTAAGGTATTGACAGCGGCGTTCCGTATCTAAGGGGGATACTGTTTGTTTTGAAGATATCCAATCGAATAATCTTCTAGCTTTAATTACAGTATTTTTTCTCGATTGTAACACATCGCTCTCAAATGCTACCACTAGTGAATTTTGTGCAGATCTCGTGCAGTGAAGATGTTAACCTCACATGCTGGATATTTTGGGAATTCAAAGCATGCGTCCAAATACATACCAGTAAAGTGAGGCAAGTAATAAAACCCTCGTAAAGGAACTGAAAATTACATGGTCTTCGTAAAGGAGGTTATTTATGGCATTCAATTAGAGCGTAATTAATGGTATAGTTATTGGTCTTCATCACATCCCGACATCGGGAGTTTTCTTATTGGGTAATTGACCTGCGGTGCAACCTTGCCTGGTACTTATGCGTCACAGGGTCAGAGAGGTCTAGGACAGCACAGGGGGGCACATAGCCTAATAAAGATACTTATATGTAGACAAAAGACGGAGCCAACCATGCTATACTCTCTAAACATGGCTGTTTCTGTAAACACCCCCAAAAATATTGTTAAACTGTGTTTGCTCAAGAGGGATTTTTGCCGAGCGTATTGTGGTTTGCTGGAGAATACGCTTCTTGCGGGGATCAGGTTTGCTGTGGCACTTAGGTTATGCGTCTCTTTGTGTGCTCCTCAAGGCACCGGAAGGGGAAGCCCAGCCCAGCACCGAAGTGGACTTGTTCATCTCGACAGAGAAGATCATGGTGCTCAACACTGACCTCAAGGTGAGCCTTGTAGTGACCAAGCTCTGCTCACCTTGCTTACAACCAGTTATACTATGGTGCCTGGAACGAGTCTCCGACTGGTGTGTCTAGTTACTCCTCCGAAGTGGTCTCTGGATTTCTGCCGGTTGATGTTATAAAAGGCATCGTGCTGTTGCCTGCCACGATCCTCGAGGTGGCAGACACCAGTTTTGCTGCAGGTCGCTCTGCTGTCAGACGGTCGATGAAGACCAAAGCAGACACGAGAGGAGACGCAATTGCCTATCTGTCGCAGATGCAGCCTCATACTGCCGTTCTACGACGATTATCCAGATGACAGCCATTCTGATAGGAACTAGTAGGCCGTGGCACTCAACTGGCACGCTAAGCGTGCCAGTTGAAGACGCCTTCTTGGCGCCGTAGTTAAACAGACATTTTGGTCGTGAGGCTCCGAGCGAAGGGGGTGCGGTATCTTGACGGGTTCTTTCGTCCACTGCAGGAGATAATGATGGACCACGCCCTGCGGAGCATATCCTACATAGCAGACATTGGGGACCTGGTGGTGCTGATGGCGAGGAGAAGGACCCTGGAGGACGACCCAGGAGGGGGCAAGCTCCGCCGTACCCCCAAGATGATCTGCCACGTCTTCGAGTCCGAGGAGGCACAGTTTATCGCCCAGTCCATAGGACAAGCCTTCCAGGTGAGGCCCCTGAGGGCACGTCACCTTTTCGCAAAGTGTGGCGAAAATATGCTATACTTAGGGAGAAAAAAATGTTTAGAGACGTTACTTTCGTACTGCCCCTCATGTACTTCGAGAAAAAGTTTGAAATGCTAGCTTGTATCAACTGGATCTTAATAGAACCCCGCTGTGTCTGAGTTTACCGTAAAATACCGAAAGGATACCCATCTAAAATGAAGAGATAACGGTAAGAAGTGTGGGACGCAACATCAAACTTTTATCCAAAAAGTTGTAAACACAGACGACCCCCTACAAACCATGTGATACAGAGACTGGTACCGCAGGTTGCAGGCACGACAAAGTCTCGTTCTACGGTGCAATAAACATGCGGGAATCTGCTACAAACTCTGGTGTCACGGGAACCGATGTTGCGCATGCAGATTGAGAACAAAAAACGCAAGAACCCGCTACGAAGTTGCCTGACATAGGAACGAATACCGCAGATTGTGGATGCAGCAGATTCATGTGTCACAGTGCAGTAAACACGCGGGAATCCGCTACAAACTCGCCCGCATGTCGCGCAGTTAATGTGATTCCCATTAGACATCTCAATGCCCGACGAAAATCAGTTGATGGGCAATGTTTCGGAATTTCGATGTTATAAATTTTTAGCCAGAAAAACGAGATGGGCGATTTTTCGGGGCTCGGGATAGGGCATTCATAAGAAACTTTACGGTACATGGTGATGTTCACAAGAACTAACATTTCGACCCCCTGGCAGGTGGCGTACATGGAGTTCCTGAAGGCGAATGGCATCGAGGACTCCTCGTTTGTGAAGGAGATGGACTACCAGGAGGTGCTCAACAGCCAGGAGATCTTTGGCAACGAGTTGGAAATGTTTGCCAAGAAGGAGCGGCAGAAGGAGGTGGTGGTGCCCAAGCAGAAAGGCGAGATCCTTGGCATGGTCATCGTGGAGAGCGGCTGGGGCTCCATGCTGCCCACGGTAGTGGTGGCCAACATGGCCCACAACGGGCCGGCCGCCCGCTGCTCCCAGCTGAACATCGGGGACCAGATCATTGCCATCAACGGGGTCAGCCTAGTAGGGCTGCCCCTGTCCACCTGCCAGGCGTATGTGAAGAACACCAAGCACCAGAACGTGGTCAAGCTCACTGTGGTGCCCTGCGCACCCGTCGTGGAGGTGGGTGTGTTGGCTTGGTCGGAGCGTTGAGTGGGGCCACCGTCGTGAGTAATGCCACGAGTGTCACATGGGGCCACTGTCACATATAACATCTTCAGTGTCGCACGGGTCCGCTGTCATAAATAACATCTTCAGTGTCACATGGAGCCACCATCATGAGCAACATAAGTGTCACGCAAGACTACTGTTGTAAGTAATGTCATGAGTGTCACATGGAAGTGCACCGAGTAGCATCGTGTCACATGGAACCACTGTCATGAGGTGTTGCAAAGTCTACCGTTATGAGTATCGCATCAACCACCATCATGAGTGTTGCATGAAACGACCATGTGTAGCATCACCAGTGTCCCATGGGACCACAGTGATGAGTAACGTTATGAGTTTCACGTGGGTCCACCGTCATGAGACCACTGTGATAAGTAGCATCACAAGTGTCGCATGAGATCACCTAGTGTCGCTTGGGACCACCATCATAGGGTGTTGCATGAGGCCTACATTTTAAGTAACATCACGAGACTACCATCATGAGTTTCACAAGGAACTACCATGATGAGCCCTAATTTTCAAGAACAGTGCCAAACACAACAATGTCAAGTTGTATTCAAATATGGTAGTAACAGTGGCAAAACAATCACTAGGTAACTCACCTAAGTAATCGATTAATAATACTAGCACTATATTTGCTTTTAATGGGCACCCTACAAGTCTACTGGAGTGTTTATAATGACTATCCGAAGAAGATCTGGGAAAGTCGTCACTTAAGCTGTAACCGTAGCCCAAGCTACGGTTACAGCAAAAGCAAGCTCTGACCTTTCAGTGTTCCCGGCAAGCATGCACACTGCCGCACTGCAAGCATCGCTCGAGGCAACATGCCCATACTTGTGGCTTTGGCTTTGCTTGCCCATAAAGTGGAACAAACTGCCATGGGTCGCAGCACAAACGGCCGTTGTGGTCTGATGCAGGTGAAGATCAAGCGGCCAGACACCAAGTACCAGCTGGGCTTCAGCGTGCAGAACGGCGTCATCTGCAGCCTGCTGCGCGGAGGCATAGCAGAGCGGGGAGGCGTGCGCGTTGGGCACCGCATCATCGAGATCAACGGACAGAGCGTGGTTGCAGTCCCTCACGAGAAGATTGTCAACCTCTTGGCCACCTCCGTCGGGGAGGTACGGGCTAGCCCATTTATTAGGGTATTGCGCATGGAAGGTGCCTTTGACTAGTGTGTTTAGCCCCCCATGTTACCCGTGCATCGAAGGTGGTGTTTAGGTGGCAACAAATTAAGTTACGGAAGCCAGCACATCATGCTCTCGTGATCCTGGTGGTCTAGGCACCACGCTTGGAGTGTGCAGTGTTCTGTCGAACAGCTTGTTTAGCGACTAGCACGACAGTTCGGAGAGTCTGCCAGATTCCAAACTAACGAACAAACTCTGGGGCAGAGAGGCTCCGCTTCCCGAATTCCCGGAGGGAAAGGGCATTGCTGCACCACCCGGTACTAACTCGCCAATTTTGTGACACCGAGGAACAAGCAACAGTCAGTGGTTCCTTTATCGGGATTGGTCTCGATAAAGAGAAAGCTTTGCCTCGGTATAATTTGGCATGTTCGACATCGAGTGGAGCATTGTTTTTGTTTGTAAGTGTAGCCTCTTCAGCAATTTCTTTGTCGGACAGAGTATAAGAGTACCTACGCTTGTTTTGCACAAGGTAGTGTGCGTCTGCCGTTTCATATTTTTGTAGTCTGCATCAACTTCTTTTCTGCTACGTCGTCGAGGCCAGCGTAGTAATTTCCCCGGCGCTGCAGTCACGCCCTGCTGCAAGAGCATGTGGCTTCGTCTTGTGCCCCATTCACACGTGCTCTCGCACGGAGAAGACACCGAGTCAAAGCTACGTGCTCGTGCGAGTTGCTTTGCAGTATAGGAGCGCTACGGAGGCTACGCTAGCTTCAACAGCATAGCACAAAAGCATCGCCCGTTTCCCTAACGTCGGCCATTCGCTCGCAGATCCACATGAAGACGATGCCCACGTCGATGTTCCGGCTGCTGACAGGCCAGGAGACCCCCATGTACATCTGAGGAAGGAGCGCCGTGCGTGTGTGTGTGCGTGACGTCCCCCTTCCCCCTGCCGCGGCAGCAGCAGCAGCGTCATCTTAGTCCCCAAATCTAGTCGCGACCTTTCTCTCTCGCCGAAACGGACGCTCTGGACTGATCTTTACTCTTGCCAATCCGCAACAATGCACGGGCGGGCTGCAAACGCCCACCGCGCGTCAGAAAACCGCGCGACGCCTTGAACGGCGGCGACGCAGGTCGACGAGTCCCCCGCTCCCTCCCCCCATCGCGAAGCTCACCGCACTCACTCAAGCCCTTTCCGCTCGGAAAGACCCGCGGCGCTTCGGGTTGCAAGTCACCGCCGCTTCGCGCGAGGGTGTCGATCGACACGGTACCGACACCGGCCGTGGAACCTATAGAGTTGCCGGTACTGTGAAGTTGTACGGACGCGGTTGTCGCACATTTTACGCGCGATGCGATCGCGTTCGTTTTCCCAACTCCTTTTCGTTGGAACCGGCACAGCTTCCGGACGGGTCGCACCTTACCTTGTCGGGTCTTCTGCGGGGGCCTCGCACCTCACCTGCCGACAAGCGGAAACGTCACGTGCACTTTGGGAATGCTGCAACCTCGATAGACCGGCGTCACTTGCCTGAACTGCGGTCGACGAGACGTTGCACGCCCGCGGAGCGGGGGCGACATGGACCAAGAGATTCAATTTTTACATCCGCCTACGTGGACAGTGGCCATGTTTGATATCGGAACGGCGACAACTTACGTGTGAACAGCAAGTGGACAACAAATGCATTCTAGGCCCGAAGTTTATTTATAAGTGGCGTCTGCCCCCATCTTCCCTTTCCTCCCTCTCCAGAAACAAAAAAAAAAAAAAAAGTTTTATTGATATCTTTTTTTTATGAGTCAGTCATAGTTCCTAACAGAGCTTCTTTGCATTAAGAAAAAGAAAATAATTAAACTAAATGCGCGTTTACCCCAGGAAGAAAAGAAAAATGACCCGCGCCGATAACGACGATAATAAAGTGATGCTCGTGATGTCAGACGCACGCTTGTTATGGTTCTACAGGCTTTATTGTTGGCATGACAACAGTGGAATCTTATGTACAGAAGAGGACGGCGGAGGCTGTCTCTCTACTTCTCTGCCTCGTCGTCGGAGCTGAGGCCACAGACCTCGTCTTCTTCGCCTCCGAACGCTCTCCAGAACTGAACGGCAACCTGGGGGTTTTCAGTTTGTAAACTCTTTGTTACAGTCGCCAGTCTAACAATGTGCAAAACTGCGAATCCCCTACGGCATGCAAACGTTGGGCCCGGCTCGCCAGGCCTAACATGTGCTGTGGAACAGCATCATGATTCTAATACCGAAGGGTCACAAGCCAAGGGTTAAATGTCTCTGTAGAAGCTCCATGTTCAAATTACAGGATAGATAAGACTTGTGCATTTGAATCGGTTGGCAGGTTGCGCCACCTAGCCAGTGGTTTTAATTGAACAGATGGAAATCGAGTGTTAGGAGATATTAACTTTTAACTGAAGCAAGTGGTGGTGCTATCCGAGACACATTTAAACTATGTTCTGCTTTAGTTCAAATGCAGAAGAAAGTTAGAATGGTGGGCTGTTCATATTGGCATTGATTGCATTGACATACCATGAGCTATGTCGATGCTTGGCGAGCCTATCCTGCCCGAGGGGACGTCCGAAGGATAGACGTGTCTCACTTGGAATGTTCCACCATTGCTTGAGATTCGGTTTGATGAAAGCTCAAAAGAGACTGATCGTCGAAAAAGCGTGAAGAAGAAAGTTATGTGGGCCTACCTTTTCAGCAAATTTCTTCCTGTCTTCTCCAGACAACTTGTCTGCCTCCACTGTGGGTAAGATCCATACACCGTTTCATTTTAAAGAAACATTCCCACGGCTTGAAAGATCTTAAAAGGGAACACTACCCAAAAGAAAAAACATTTCCGCAAAAAAAAAAAAAAAAAAGATTTTGAAAAATGTATTTACAACCACCAACATCTAGAGAGTGTTCCCAGAATGTTTCAATTGTTTACTCTGCATAGTTATTTTTGTACAAATTATTTTCGGTCCACCGATACTAAAGAAAAGGCGGAGGTTCGAGCACTTGGAACACATATTTCTCCGTTCCACTTATGGGCATAAATTTAACTCGAGGAAAGGCTTGCTCATTCTTTTTCCTAACTGGAATTTAATGGGGCAATGCAACTGTGGCATTTTTTTTTTTTTTTTACTTTGTAGAAGTCTATAAAATGTGTTAAGATTTTGTTGATGACATAAAAGACAAAGTATTTATTTGATTTCTTCAGCATGATGTTAGGATAAAATCAATTTCTGGAAATATTGCTTTCACACTTGCATTTTCCAGGCATTCTGTTGCGTATCTAGTGAAGATGTTGGGTATTCCATTAGATTTTGTAGCGTGAGCTACACTGGCCGAAGTTGAGCAGTTTTGTGTGGCTCCCAAAAAGCCATGCTGCGCATGCGCGAGGAGCAGCGACGTCGCACGGCGCACAGCTGGTGTGCCAGAGCCGGTCTGCGCATTCCAGAGGAGTGACGTCATAGTCGCAACAGACGTACAGGCGCCGCCGCGTGCCCAGTTGTGCGCCTCCGTTGCGCAGTAGCCAAGTCTGACGCTGCACTGGAGCTGCTTCATAGCGCCTCATTTTGTGCACATAAGCTCACGCTACGTATATCCTGGCATAGCCGAGCTAAGCCACCGCAATTTTTTAATGATAGTTTTCCTAAACAATGTCTGTGTGTTCCTGATAAAAACAACCAATTTCTTTTACAGAAGCTTTGCACTGCATTCTGCCTCGAAACTGCCAGTATATACTGCATGTTTCATTTATACAAGACCAAAGGTTAAAAAAAAATTGACCCTTTTGGGTAGTGTCCCCTCTTAATGGGAGACCCTAGTCTCCCATTAAGAATAGAGAACAGTTTTCTGTCATTTTTGATGCAATTTGTATTAAATTTTCATATCTACTATAATTTCTTGTACCTAGCACAAACCTGTATATAAATATAAGCTCAGTTTTTTTCTATTATAGATTTTAAGAAAATCCTAAACTTTATCATAAATGTGATAAAGTTGAGGTATTCAGTATTCCGGACCAACTTATTTTCAATACCCCTATCAAAAACTGTGGCACAAGGTATTTCGGCATGTTCTACAAACAGTAGCGAGTGCAACAAAGCCATTATCACTTTAGCATCCTTCTATAAAAAAAGTTGAGTAAAACTTTTTGCTGATAATTAGAAATGAGTCATTAAAGTCTTGGCCAATTAGAAAATTTTGTAGGTAGCATTTTTCAGAAATAGTATTCTCGTTGCACTCTCTGATTTATGAAGTATTAAACCCTAAAAAAAACATTCGGTTCCAAGTCCTAGATATAAAGATACTGGGACAAACATTTGTGTTGACACAAAAAAAAAAAAATTTCGATGAACCAGAAAAAGCTTTTCAAAAGATGCTTGCAGACATACAAAACTTTGAATCAATGTAACTATATAATGTGCACTTCCTGAGTGTAATACATCCGTACATGCTTGTGACTCCAAATAATAATTTTAAATTAATCTTTTTTAAATTTTATTTTTTATATAGACTGTACAACGAACCTGATAAATTGGGGCCTAGACTTAAGAACTTGAAATTCTTTCTCGAAGTGTATGTAGTAATACTTACTTTTTTTATTATTATTTACAATAGCAATATTAATTTAGGGTTGCGTGTCAATTTCACTGTGTGGTCGTAACACTTTCTTTGTAAACTCTGAGCGATTGCATAAAACCTCAGTTTTCCGCAACTAAAGTGCCTTAAGTCGGTGACTGGTTAAGAATTCAGTGGACTCCACCTCCAAAGCAAGCTTTCTGCCTTTGATAACACTTACCACTCGAGCATCCAAAGCCTGGAGGAAAGCAAAAAGCAGGTGCTGGGCCCTGTCACTGACTACGGCTGCTACTATAGCGCACGTTGGCCTTCAAACAAAACGTCTTCCAGGCAGACCCACCTTTCATATCCTGAAACTTTGCAAAGAGCTCTTCAAACGACATGTCGTCTCCGTCAGCCATGGCCTCCGAGAACAACTCTAGCTCCCTTTGTGCTAAAAAATAAGTTGACTCAGTAAAATTTTTAAAAAATTTAACGACCTCCTTTTCCAAAGATTTACCCGTCATGAGTTCGGCCTGGCTGCCGTCGCTACCACCTCTGGCCGTCAAGCGTTCACGTGTTCCTCCTGGTCTCGTGGAATCTGTTGCGGGGAGAGAGGAAAGGCGGTCAGGGACCGTGCAACGTGTTCTCGTGTCGCTACGACCTTTCATCTCCAGGTTTGGCCAGGGGTGAGCATGAAGTGCCTCCACGATCCTCTTCACACCCGTGGCATCTGGAAGTGCCAGGGGTGCAATCCTTTTTCAGAACAACATAAGTGTTGAGTGTGATACACACGTGAGGAAAACCATGCCCTTAGCAACTGCCGCTGACGCTATGATGTGACCGAATGCTGCACTGCCATGTCTACGCGGCGGCAACAGTTGCTATGGTTACACCGCACGGGAGCGCAATATGACACGCATTTTGCTCACTGGGTTTCATGCTTTAGGACTCCTAAGGTTTCGGACTCCAGCTTTATGCACTCAATAGTGACCTTCTGTTTTACACTTTGCCAGTTTACGCTGCGCCAGTTTAGGCTGCACGTTCAGATTTGCGCAAACTCCTCAAATTCTCCGTTTCACTTTTTTTTTTGCCAAGTTTTTGCATTGGCGGTTGTTTTGAAAGAGAATGTTGAGAGCTCTGGTGAGTGATCTGTTCACAGTTGGAAGAAGTGCACATTTCAACTTCCCGCTCTTCGTTGTAGCATTTGCCAACTATCTTTCCAGGGTTTGCTTGCATTTGGTTTGTTATTATTGGTTATGTAAAAGTACTCCTTTCCAGTTTAAACACGATTTTAGCAGGCATGAGCCATATGAGCCAAAAGCCACTTAGTAAGCGCATTATTTTTACAAGGTCTATAAGCTTCTACACTGCTTCATTACACATACCGAGGAGGAGCTCTTCGGCTGCCATTCAAGGGAAATGGGGGTTCCTCGAGATAAGGAAGTTCGAAAATACCCACAGTACAACACAGTTTCTGCACTGTTGCAGGCTTTGTTTAACGATGATTTCAAGGGCCACTTACCTTCCTCATCGTCGTCCTCGTTCGGCCGTGTCTCGATGAGCTCGCATCCGCGGTCAATGCACCACTCGAGCACTTGCTGCCTCGACATTCCTGTAAGCAAATAGGGCCACTTTGCAGCTGTACCATTGGAGCAAAGGAAGCCGACATCTTTCAGAGGCTTGTGACTGCATTGTGTGAGTGTCCCCCCTCCTTTTGTGTGTGCTTTTGTGCATTGTAATGTCGGAGGTATTCGCTTACCATCTGCTTCATTGTTAGCGGGACAGCGGCCACAGACCAGGAGGACAACCTCGCAGCTGCATTTTTCTATCCACTTGGCTGCCGAATCTAGACTCTCCTTCTGCACGGAGGAAGAGTTTCAGCCCAGATTTAGTGACGGTTCTCGGATTGATGCCATGAGGAAGGATGTTTTCTTTTAATACTCAATCAATCAATAATTTTTATTCACTTCCCAGTCGCAATAAAAACACTGCATAATACATCTGCAGCCTGTTTGGCGATTATGAATGTGGCGGTTTCCTGACACACATGCTTGTGACATACAAATAATACAAGCATCGGTTCCGAAACTGGCAAGGTCAGCAAGATTGAAATCACTGTCGTACACATGTGGTCATGTGGTCTACCTACTTCAAGAAACACATCTGCATAAACCCAGACTAGAATTCTAAGAGATGGGAAAATCCATGATTCTCAAAACCACTGCCGCCACCTGTCAAAATAGAGGTTCGAAAGTATGCGGCTCTCCTTCCCTTAATCCCTCTCTTCACAATGGTAGAGGGTGGAGGGAAAAAGTCATCTTTATACAAACCTGGTGGCATAAGGTAATCCACAGTAGGCACAAAAGTTACATTTAGGGAGCTGCGATGGGGCCCACAGGATCAAACTTCATTGCTCGAGGTTTGGTAGAGCACACATTCAGTCTTGCGGAGCAGTAATTTCGAAACTGGTGGGTTAGAAATTGCTCTACCTGGAGGAGTTTTGGGGCAGATTCCAAATGGGCCCCTTAGCTGCTCGGAGTGATGTACTGCTTACGGACAGAGTTGCTAATTACCAGTTGTTTGGGATGGGGATTCCTGTGAAGGTTCGAAACAACTTGTAAGGTTTTTTATACGTGGTTTACAATGATGTCACATCACCTACCATTGTGGTGGTGTTGCTGCTGAGTGCCTAACCTTTTGCAGCATTTATTCTGCACGAGTTTGTTCCCATCAACAGCTGTAAGGTTAGCAAGGCCCACTAAGCCGACTAGGGGTATAAAACTCGCCCTCCAAAACTTGTTTGATTTAGTCCAGTTCGTAACGAGATTACACTGTGTCATTCTGAAGTCTGGCGTAACTAACAAGCACGGGAAAGCCTATGGGCGACGCAGTAGCATTCGATTCGAAACTTGGCTCGATGGCGCCCGCACTTCTTTGTATGCGTTTGAAATTAACTCCTTTTAGGGAAGACACCACGAACTAAGGTGGTCGGAACTTGGAGGTAAGAGCTCGTGAACGAGCCTCCTGGAAGCTTCAAAGTTGTGATTTAGCTTTGATGGCCACAAGAACTAGACTCGGAACTGACCTTCTACAGGCCACAAAATCGCGAAGTCACCTGTCCCGGGTCGAAGAGTACGATGAGTCCATGGATGTTTTCAGCCGAGTCATCGTAACGGGACACTGGCGCGGAAGTGCTGTGGAGGTAGATAGTTGCAGTGTAATACTTGGTCTCGATCGGCCACGGGAAGGCTTTGGTGTCGTCGGCCACTTGCGCGGGTTCAGGAAGTTCCGAGTGCACGATTTCTTGGAAGACGAGAGCGGGAGGTCAGTCACCCTATGCACGTTCGTTCGTTCTTTGTGGGCTACGTTTTGCCTTACCTTTGATGAGCTCCTCGGGGCTGTCTTCGCAACAGCTGACGATCAAGCATCCGTCCAACCTACCGTTCATCTTGATGGCGTTCGGATGACTTGGTGGAGATACGCAGAGAAAATTAGACCCGAGTGCTTGGGGGAGTGCGGCAAACTTGATACATCGCTTCGTCACTTCGTGAGTAGCGATCACCAGTTTCTATCATCCAATTTTACATACAGAACGCAAGTTGCAAGTATTGCCAGAGTCGCAAGATGTGGTCGAAAGAGCACGCGAACGACGCAAACCCGAGGTGCCCGAGGGGTACATGAATGAACAGAGCTCCATGTAATTAAAGTATTTTTCATATGAATGGATGGATGGATGAATACGGCTGAGCCCTTTGGATCGGGCGGTAGCTTACGCCACCTAGCCATTTTGTTTTACCATTTAAGCTTAGAATATTTAAATGTGAGATCTATATTCACTCCGCAGTGCAAAGAAAGTGAGGCTATGAAACCCCCTTGCCATCAGTGAATAAGAAAATACCTAGTTTTCTCTCGATTTCTGCCACCATTCACTTAATCTTTGCTTGGTAATCTCTACAGTCTTGAAATCCACTCTCCCTTCGCTGTCTCTAAAACCCAATGACTTTATTAAATCTATGTTGTCTTCGGTAGGCATAGGGTGAAGCCCTTTACAGTAGAGTATCAAGTGCTCAGCCGTCTCGTCCTCCTCTCCACAAGCAGTGCACACGGTATCAATTTCCTGGTACTTCACTCTGTATGTTCTGGTTCGCAGAACACCCGTTCTTGCCTCAAACAGCAATGAGCTTCCCCTAGAATTGTCATAAATGCTTTCTTTGGCAATAACTCTTTTGTTTAATCTATAGCTTTCCAGAGCCGTCTTTGTCTGCATTCCCTCTAGCCACCGATCTCTTTCTGTGGCCTTAACTTTCTTCTTAACTGAGACTTGCTCTTCCGTATCTTCGCTATAGCCCAAAAACTTTCCTCTTAATTTCCTAGTGCGCTGTCTCCACTTGGTGTCTACACTCCTCATGTATAAATAGCTGAAAACCTTTCGTGCCCATTGCTCCCCGTCCATTAGCCTCAACCTATCCTCAAATTCTACCTTGCTCACCGCTTCCCTGCTCTCAAATGATGCCCATCCCATGTCTCCTTGTACTCCCTGGTTTGGCGTTTTGCAATGTGCCCCCAAAGCCAGTCTACCTACTCCGCGCTGTTTTATTTCTAGTTTCGCATGCATTTCGGATTTCATGCATAGCACTGCGTTTCCAAAAGTCAAGCCAGGCACCATGACCCCTTTCCAAATCTCTCTCACCACCTCATACCTGTTGTAATTCCAAAGTGCTCTATTTTTCATTACAGCTGCATTTCTGTTGCCCTTACCTATTATATACTTTTCATGGTCTCTCAGATATTCTGCACCATCACATATCCATACTCCTAGGTACTTGTATTTACTAGCTCTCTCAACTGTAATATTCTGTATCTTCAGCCTCTCAACTTCATCCTCGTTAAAAATCATGACTGCCGATTTTTCGCTACTGAATTCTAAACCTAATTCCTCTCCTTCCCTACCACAGATGCTCATTAATTCCTGCAACTCTGTCCTGTTGTTAGCCATTAGTACAATATCATCCGCATACATCAATCCCGGTAAGGATTGCTGAATTTTTTGGCCTAGCTTACTGTAAGAAAGGTTGAACCCAAGCCCACTCTTCTCTAGTCTATCCTCCAATCCTCTCAGATACAACATAAACAGCAAAGGCGATAACGGGCACCCCTGCCTAAGGCCTCGTCTTATCTCTATTTTTCCTGTCGCCTTTCCTTCCCATGTTTTAATCACCTTGTTATCTTTGTAAATGTTCCTTAATAGTGCTGTTAGTCCTTCATCTAGGTTTAAGTTCTCCATTATGTCCCACAGGTTTCTTTGGTTCACATTGTCATAGGCACCCTTGATATCCAGAAATGCCAGCCAGAGCTGTCTGTTTTCTTTTTGCGCTATTTCTATACACTGTGTTAGAGAAAATAAGTTGTCCTCCAACCTTCTTTGTTTTCGAAACCCGTTCTGTAACTCGCCCAGTATGCCCTCGCAATCTACCCATTCCTCCAGTCTGTTCTTTATAATCTGCATTACCAACCTGTAAATAACCGGTGTCACGGTTATAGGACGATAATTCCTAATATCAGACTTATCTCCCTTTCCCTTATATATCATACTCATCCTACTAAGCCTCCATTCATCTGGAATATTTCCTTTTGTTATCATGGTACTCACTACCTCCCTTAGTTTTGCCTTAGATTTAGGACCCAAATTCTTCACCAGCTTAATAGGGATACCATCTGTGCCTGTCGACGTGCCACTAGGGACTCTTCGTTCCGCCTTTTCCCATTCTCTTTGTCCAAAATCCGCGATGTCACAAACTGGACTGCTACTTCCTTCGGTTCTCCTATCTTCCACATGTACCCGTTCCCGAAATTTCTCCTCCATCACTGCTCCTATATATTGTATCGCATCATCTCCCTCTAATTGATCTCCCTGATGCGAGAGTATGAACCTCTGTCTAGCTTGCGTCGTTTCACCGAGTGAGTTCAAGTGCTCCCAAAACTTCTTGGCAGCGTTTCTATCTTTCTTACTTACATTACTCATCCATTCCTCACCCTTTCTCTGAATTTTCGCATTGATCAAACTGGATGCCTCTCGGCGACATGTTATAAAATTGTCCCATTTTCTTTTTACTTCCGTTTCGGACTCCCCACTACGCTTGGAATACCTGTGTTCTCTAGAGGCTTCCTGACGTTTTTGTATCGCTTGCTTCACTTCTTTGTCCCACCAACTTTTTGGTCTATGTCCTTGCTTCCCCTTTCGTTTACTCTTAACTTTGTCTAGTTCTAGAGCAAAAAGCCTAGTTAGGCTCTCATAGGTCCAATCTGTATGCCGTTGCCCTGAAACTGCTGCCTCTATTCTTTCAACAACTATTTCCAACTCTTTGTCGCTGCAGAAAGTTTGCTTTGAATTATGTTGTCTAGTTTCAGCATTTACTTCTCTGGCAAAATTCAGCTTAATACGTTTGTGATCACTACCAAGACTTTTGGAACCTTCTTCATCTATTTTCATTACTTGTAACTTACCATATATTTTGTGTGACATGAGTACGTAATCTATAGTTGAATGTAGATTGCCAGTTTCCCAAGTTATGTGCCCGTCACACTTCTGACTGGTATTACATAAAACTAAATCATGCTTTTCCACCAGTTCTAGTAATATGCTTCCAGTTGAGTCCGTATACCCATCCAGACCCTCAATATGGGCATTCATGTCTCCCATAATAATTATTTCAGAGCCTTCTCCTAGTTCACTAATGTCTCTTGATATGCAATCAATCATTTTTCTGTTTTCCTCTTTAGCACCTGTCCCTGTCCATAAGTAAACCACTCCAAGGACTGTTGATTCCCCAGCGACTTTTCCTTTCAGCCACAAGTGTTCGGCGCACTCCTTTCTGATCCTTTGAAAGTTCATATTCTTCTTAATAAATGCTCCAATTCCACCTCCCTTCCTCGTTCCCTCCATTCTGTTGCATTCTTCCCACACATAGTCAGGGTTGCAAGGTGGCTGCTCCATGTCTCTGAGATGTGTTTCCACAAACCCATACACCATTAAATCCTCCTTTCTTAGTTGCTCCTCTACCTCTTCCCATTTTAACCTATTTCTACCACCCTGCATGTTAATATATCCAATGTCCGATTGTGCTGTTTTTTTATACCTGTTCTTACGTTTTCTCTTCTTTTTAACCCTGGGTGCCTCTCCTGACTTTGTTGGGTTTTCAGTTACTTCAGTGCCCCCAGGGCCCTCGGTCCCCCCAAAAAAGCAGTCACCGTGCGGCCCATTCTATCCCCCACCCTGTATCCCGTGGCCTCACTGTAGTGAATGCCATCTGCAAAAGGGCGGGAGCCAGCCTCGTACACTTCTCTGTTTACTTCCATTACGTCGTACCGAAGCTGTCGACTCATACCCTTAATTACTCCGTTGGCTTCGACAACCCTCCTCTCCGTTAACCCGGACTGCCCCCGAACTTCTGGAATGGTGCACACAACCACATGCACATTCTCAGACACGTCCCTCAGCTTACGTATTCCCACGTTTAGCTGCTTTCCGAGGTTCTGGCTCCTACCCTTCAGCACATCATTAAGCCCCGCATGAACTATTACTAGGTTCCTTCCCTCCCGGTTATCCCACACCCCCTCACGTGCTGCGGTCATAGCATCCACCATACACTTCCCTGGCTGGACCTCTACGGTTACCCTCTGGTCTCCCTTCACCCTGTTATGTACACCCCTCCTAACCCGTGCTACGTTAGAGCTCCCCACTACCAGTACCCTAGATCCCCCTGGTGCCTGCGCGCCTTTGTCCTGCGACTTATCTCCTGTCACCTGACTGCCCGACGCCTGCTGCTCGAAGGCGCCATTGAGCTGAGGTTCAATCAGCTCTCCAGCGTCGTCGAGCCCGCCTGCCAACAGGCAGGACTCCCGACCACCAGGGACCCCAGCCTGCAGACTGGTGGCTCGTCCCGCTAGGACTGACACTTCCTCCTTTCTTCCCTCGCTACTCTCACTCGCTCGAATTACCAGAATCAAAAAATACTTTTTTGGCATTCGTTATTCTTTAGAAATCCAATATTATTCAAAAGACTACTCATGGCACTAAAAAATGACAAAAACGGTTTGGGGTATCTTCCTATTAATTTATTGTCACATGCATTGGCACAACTGCGTGATAAGGAAAGGAATACACGTTTACATTCGACAAGATATAATGAAATCATTCGCATTAGGGAACGTAGCACAAAAATGTATTTGCGTTCGCCATTGAAGATGATTCATATTTATTTAGACGCATTTAAAGAGGTTTCAAACGTATATATTGGTGGTTACAACTTACGCAATATATTTATACAATTGCAAGAAATCTGTGGGGTGAATGCTCCTACAATAATTGAATTGCACCTCGGACAGTTCCCAAGTAATGCCCTATTGCTACATTATAGCAGACTGATTAACCCTCGTCGTAATAATAATTAAATATGTTTTTTTTTCTTTTAAAAATCGGCATGCCTTGCATCTATTATTCCCCACATTGAATTTTTAGACAATGTACTGAAGTAGTTCGTTCCTTCAACACGCGGTCCACCAACGTCCAATTCAGTTTCGTTACCTGTATGTGCATCTTCATCGTCCCCGAACGATCCATATACAAAATCGGACATTACAATGGGTGGTTTTAAACACGTTTTCCTAGCATCAACGGTGTCCGATTCGTCAGGTCCAGTAAATATATTTTCAGGTGTTAGATACGTTTTGAGATCGTCGATATTTAACATTCCTTCAATTGGAGATATTTCAATTTTGTTTCTTTCATTTATAAAGAGATGGACTAACTGGAAATCGTTTAGCGTTATGCAGTGATCTCTCTTAGTCAAATTGAAATTACACTTTACCAACATATTACAAAATCCATTTATAGTTTTACAAGCATTATCTACTTTACTAAAAGCCTCCGATCCAGCCCCTTTGTATTTACCAAACATTACACTTCGTATATTAGACTTCATCACGGACATCTCTTGAACTACGATTGCACGCAGAGAATCCACGTCGATACACTCACCCTTCCTATATACGATCAACCTCTTCAACAATATCAGCATGACATCTTTATAACTTCCAAATAAATTAACATTTTCTCGTACGTAATTCTCCATTTTCTGAACTGTTACTGCTGTATTCTTTAGACCCCCCATTGACGGTACGATATGATCTAAAAGGATTCGACACAATGCAGCCCCCATTTTCTCCTGAACCTCTTCGTGCATGAGTAGTGGATTACCGAGGAGCCACCTCTGTGTAGGAATTCCTTTCGGTACCTCAATGATGTCACAAGGAAATCCTTGGTTTAAAATATTATTGTAATGCATAGGAAATAAAGTGTTGCGTGCATTTAAATTAGTCAAAGTCTGTTTTGTCATAACGTTTGCATATTTGTTCATTTCTATGGTGTATAATCCCTTGAAGGAAGGATATGCCGTTCCATACAAGCGTCTACAATATCTATCGGCAGCCAAATGTTGCAATAATTGTTTTCTAAGCATTACTTTGCCGGCAATGAATGTAGATACGGTTGGAATGATCATGAGTCTGCTCTGTTCGGCTAACATGGTACTCGAAATATATGGCATGTCATTTGAAGAGGTGACAAACTTTGCAGAAATACGAAAATCATTGTTACATCGATCGTAAGGTTGTCTACTAGAGACTCGATCACCTCCGGTAAATTGTTTAAATTTGCGCCGTCCGCCTTCGTCCATGTCTAATATCGGAATTTCGTTCTCGATTGCAAATCGAATTTCTTCCGCGTTTGAACGAAAAGTAGCATCCATTCGATTATCCGATTTCGAAGTGAAAAAGTTTGCAGGAAGAGTACGTACGAGATTGCTCTTTTTTCCAAAAATGTAGTTAAGAATACCTATAAACATTGATTTTCCATTAACCGCCTCCCCGTGCATGAACATTACTAAACGTCCATTGCTATCCGTGGATAAACCGAGAGCTAAAAATTCCAACACGAGTCGTGCTTGTTCGGACGAGCCAAATATTTCGATTAACATGGTCCACACCAGTTGATCCCACGTTATTTCGTTTTTAACGAAAACGACAGGACCACCGTCGTCGTTTTCGGATGTACAAACGGTTGCCTTGTCCATGACGGGCGCGTACATATCGGGGTGCCTTTGTAACATTATCCTCATTGCGAGAAGAGATGATGCCGTTGCAATGTACAGTCCAAATTTAGATTTAGATTGGTCACATTCCGTGAAACGTTTCATGCGCTCGCTGGTTTCGTCGTTTAATTTATGGATTTCAGATTTAGACGGCAGGCAATTGTCGTTAGTAGATGTAATTATTTCATCGTCGTATTCTATGTTTTCAAAATATTCCTGAAACCTAGTGCTTGGATCACTGTACAATTCATCTAAAAAGTCTTCCATAAATTTGTCGGGATTTTCCCTGTTTTCCAGCATTTTGTCCGATACTTTCATAGTGACGGAACGTAAAATGGTTAACATTTCCTTGCCAAAATTTCGTTGTTCGAAAGCCTTCCACGCGGAATCCATCCAATTACATATTACTTTACACCTATACTGTATACCCCCTCGCATGGGGTGAATCTCGGTATATACGTGTTCAACCAATTCATCAACCAATTGTGCAAACGAGTCTTCGTTTGCACAATTGTGCAAACGAAGACTCGTTTGCACAATTTATGAGTTATGAAAAACCAGAGCTTTTTATCAAGGCGAGAAGTGTTCCACCATACTCAACTGTGCCGCATGTTTATAATTGCTTCAGAAATATGTTGTATAAAACCGTGAAGAAGCCTGCTTTTATACAAACGAATATTCCAACGTGTATTGTTTGTAAAATAAGAGTAGCAAATATTGTTATTATTCCATGCAAACATTGTATCACGTGTTTCGAATGTATGTGTATCCTTCGCAAATGTATAACGTGTCGTCGAAAAATCCATTACACCATGCAAATATGTTATTCCTAATATGAATAAATGACTTTATGAGACGATTATCCTTCTGTTCGTTCATTATTTTTTTTAGAAACAAAGCCTATTGAAAAGATAAAGGCTGAAAAGTGTAAAAATGTTTGAAAGTATTATCCACGTGCGTCTTTATATAATAATCGTCCTTGGTGGCGTTGGCGTGAATTTTGTGATGTAAAAACATCCAATGTTTCTCACAGTATCTTGGATCGTCTTTTTTAAGCGTCGATACAGGTTTCAATTTAGTAATCACCACTTTTAACGGATCGGACGATTCGTACATCCCCTTGTAAAGTAATGGTCCTTTGTGAATTCGTTCAATGTCGATAACATCGTAAAAATTATCCCACATGGATGTCGAAAAGGTACATTTATTAACATAGGCTTCGACAACTTCGTCTATAAAATCTAATATTTCCTTATACAATATATGAGGAACGCGAATTGTGGAAACGCACAACACAACGTGGCTTTGAGTGGCACGCAACTCACACACTCTCAAATTCTTGCAAACATTAATAAAGTTAATTATATCTATAATTTGAGTATTGTCATGCTTATCGTTGTATGCAAAAATTAGGTATACAACTTTAGTTTTTACAGCTACAACAGGTGTTAAGTGTTTCCCGCTCATAAAATGAGACATTATGTGTACCCACAATGTGGGCCTGATTATGGTATGCAGTTTGTCTTGATGTTTAAATATAATATTCATATTATGTTTTCTATAGATATCAGACAAAGACGGTACGGTCGACTCAATACGCTTAAACATGATTAGCAACTATTATGGTATGTACAAAGTAATTGAAAAGAGGTTTTTTGTTGAAATAAACGATTTATTTATAATGAAACACATCGTAGGTAAATTTGAAGTTAGGATCGCGTTTAACGCGAATCTTATAGTTGCCCGAAAGTCTTGCTTGCTTATACACTTTGTAACGCAGGTGAATCCAGTGGGCATCACAGTACACAGCATCTGTCCCATTTTCGGGTCTTGCAATCAATTGACGTCGCACACACTGCATCGTTGAGTCCGGTGATTCGTAAAGTCCTCTATACTGTAGAGGATTGTCCGTTTTTTCGTTGAGATTGTCCAAAACGTTGTAGGCACCTCCCCATACACCATACCGCAATCCGTTGGTGTTGATGTAACTTTCCGTTATTTCATCGAGGAAACACAAAACTTCGGTATGTGGAGGGAACTGGTTTTCCACACACAAAAGAATGTGATTTTTTGTACAAATTATATCGGTTAATCGAAGATTTTGACACACGTTGATGAAGTTGATGATGTCAATCAATTTGTACGGAGATACATTTTCGTTGTATAGAAACACAAGGTAGAAGATCTTGGTGGTCATGGGTTTATAGATGCGTGGTAGGTGATCACCGCTGACGAAGAAGGATAAAATCTTCACCCACAACAGGGGATTGATGATGAGGTGCAATTTATCTGCGTTTCGTAGAAAGTTGAATAGTTGGAATCTCTTATGGCCGTACATACCGTCCAGTTCCCAGGGTACACACGTTAACATGCGTTGAAACATGATGGTCTTGTATGAAGAGATTGTAGTCGTGTCGTGTCCTGATGTGGGGGAGATGGCAGGGTTAGCTTTGCTCTGTGAACATCCCTTTATATATGGGCAAGAAAAAACTTACTCTTCCCTAAAATCGAGAACGGTCTCTCCACTTTTTGCCCAGTGTGTTGACAAACTCTTATCCCCTCTATTTACCTTTTCTTTTGGTAAACATGCCAAATTCCACGTCCCCGTCTTGTAAGATGTATATATGAGAAATATGACTCCTATAATAAGTATGATAAGGAATAACCAGAGAAAAAATACTCCGAGTTCTAATTCATACAATCGGCGGCGTAGTATTCGTAATGCATGAGTCTGAAGAATTGAATACCGCAGTTTCAATTCAAATTCATTTGTTGCGTTATTCATCTTTCCTTTTATTCATACTATCTAAGACTATAAGCACACTGCTTATTACACAAAGAGATGGCACCACCCAACATATTGCGGGTATATTTGGAAATATAAATGGATATGTAATGAATCTTGCTGTCTGAGGAACGAATAACGATGGATCCAGTAACTCTGGAACGTGTTTTGCAAAAAATAAATTCATATGTTTAATCAATCTATTGTCTATGTCGAATGCAAATTTAAATACGTCTTCTTTTTCGTGAATACGAATGGCCAATTCTCGTGCACTCGGGTCTGGTGAAAAATTGACAGGCAAAAAAGTTAATTTGCGTAATGTATCCACAGCCCCCCCTACGTCCGTCGGTACGTACGCTCTAGACACAACATGAGATAAGGGTTTCGCCTTTCCACCAATGACACTATTCATTGGGAGAGCTGTATATTTACCCGTTTCAAACATCTGTTTCAAAACATGGTGCATCCACACGTCGCACATTTTTTTTGTATTGTTCAAAAATCATATAAAAGCTTGTACACCCCCCTTCACACGACACATAACGGGACACAATGTCTATTGAAAACGACGTAGCGGACGTGCTCATCTCCACCTGTAGTAGCATGTAGCATATCCTCTGTTCAGAGTACTTACCCAGAAATATGCCCACAACCGTCAGATATCAAATCGTACGTTTACGAAAGACTGCATTACATTGAACGAGGACACCGGTGCTTCCTGCCAAGACCAGGCTGCCTGGAAATCGTATTGGCCTGTTTGGAAATTTGGAACGAAGAATTCGATCTGTACAGCGACTGCAATTACGACGCCTTAAACGAAGCCAACGACCTGTCACATCAAGCTCCTAACCTCGAATACCTGTTGGTGTCCATGCCAAACGCTTTTAATTGGATGATCGACAAACGCATGTTTGAAGAATATACGACTTCTGGTAAAGACACACAGCCCTGGACTCTACAAAATACACTCGCTGGGTGACTCTCGTCACCTAGCGAGTGTATTTTGAAGTAAGTGGTGTGGAAGGTGGAACAAATTTATTAGCGAACGACTTTAACGACGTCTGCGTGTCACTAAAACGTCTATGTAACGACTTTTTAGCGAACAGTGCTGCTCATATTAGCAAACGGTAACCGAGCCCTGACGGAAGAATCTCATAGTTTCGGTTTCGTTGTTTCGTTTGCGATCTGGAGGTGTCCGGAGGGTACGGAAATTTGAATGGACGCAGTTTCATCGAATTCGTGTTCATAAAACGTCGTTTGATCGAACACCACCTAATCGAACATAACTGACATGATTGCATGGCCGCCAGAATTAAAGCGATTAAAAAAGTATCTGATCATCCGAACGTACAGGGTGAGACCGCAAGGAGCCACATAAATGAAACTGGGCATGCGAACGTCCTTTCGCAAGAAGTTTTATTTATATTTCTTTTCTTTTAGAACTCAACTTAGGCGTTGCCAAATATTTAAAAATAATGCTAAAATGCTGGCCGCGCTTTTTTTTTTTTTTTTTTAATAATAATAATGCCATGCTTGTTGTCTGCTTACTCGTTTGGGAGCTTGCTCCAGGTACTCACTGTTCATATATTTTAGTAAAATTATTACTTATCGCGATTATCCCACTCGTTGCCAGCCTCTAATACGGTATTCTCAGCGTTTTTAACCGTCTTGCTTTATATTCAATATTTCACTACCTCCGACTTGCGCTCTAAAAAAGTTAGACAAAACTTCTTGCAAAACTGCATTCGTGCGCCCTATTTTAGGTATGTACAGGGTGTCACAAAAAAAAAAATTTGTTTTCTTTTTTTTTTTTTTTTTTTTTTTATTGCAAAAATAAATTAGGCATTGTCGAACGCTCATTTTCTGCCCAAAGGTAGCGCTAGATGTCACAACCAGATGCTAGAGTTTCAGACCGATACCATATTCAAAAGTTAAAAGCGATTTTCTGAAAATTTCAATGGGAAAATGGAGCCCATTTTTGCCAGTTTTCGGTTTCTGGTGTCACAGAGCCCCATGTATTCGAAAACTTTGTCGGCTGCCATTTTTCCATTGAAATTTTAAAAAAATCACTTATAACTTTTGATTAAGGTATCGGATCGGGCTGAAACTTTGACATCTGGTTGTGACCTCTAGAGCTACCTTTGGGCGGAGAATGAGCGTTCGGCAAAACCTAGTTTATTTTTGCAATAAAAAAAAAAAAATCTATATATTTTTTTTTGTGACATTCTGTACTTTTGAAATTCGAATTTTGCAGGGCGTGCCAAATATGCTCGTCCTTGCGGCCTCACCGTGTAGTTTTGTTGATTTCCATGTAGCGTAGTTTTCAGTAAATCACGTCCCCTAGCTCATTTTCGTTGTCTGGAAGGCACGATCAAAACTCGTTGTTCGCTCCTAGAATTGTCAGGAGCGAAATCTTGCCCACACAGTTGGTATATAAATAGCTACAAAATTCGGTTAAAGCAGAAGTCAAAGAAACGGCGTCGAGCAATTTTATTTTATGCCAGACAGGAAGCAAAATATATTGGAGAGCAACCCCACATGTGAGTATACATTAAAAATAAGTACACTAACAGTATTAAACACAAAAGCTTAAATTCCACCATTAAATATTGTCAGGCTTACAGCAACTGTTTGAACCCATAGCCTTACACGGCTACGGGTCCAAACAGTTTGTGTATTTTCAAAAACAACTTTGGAAATAAAGCATTGAATGAATGATGAACACATTAAACCTGTTTGATCCAAGAACAACCAGAGCAGCATGCGTGATATTCCTAACCATAATGTACAAATGGAGGGAAAACATGAGAGAATATTGCAGCTCATAGTTAATTGTGACATCAAGCTCTCTTTAGAGATTCTAGCAGAGGGGCAAGGCACCGAAATAAATTAAAAGTTCTAAAAACAGTGAGGGTGCACCGCAAAGCAGAAGACATTTACAGCAAAAACACTCCAGCTCTATAACTTAGAACAGCCGAAAGCTTTCCTTGCAACGACCTAAAAGAGAAATGGACACTTCCGGCTTACTTTGTGCCGGCTTACATTCGAGCAGAAGCGACAAGATGGGGATCTCGAACACCACATTTTGTTACCATCACACAGCAGCCACTAATGGACCTTGTCCAGTAACGAGCACCGTCTGCAAAGTTGTCTTCGAACTACAAATGTTGGGCAGGCCAACCTGCCTCCGCCCGTCAGAATACATCGGCATTGTGCTGTTGTAGTGATCTTTGTTGCCTTTTATGACCCATACTAGCGTACACTCAAGCAAAAATGGCCAAAAAAAACGAAATACAGGCAAAGATAGGTGCTGAATATGTTGGTCGACCGGAACTTTGCTTTGCAAAAATGGTGACGGCGGGAAGCAAGGCCAGGAGAGGGGGTGTACGCATGCACGGAAGCTTACTGGAAAAAGGTTCACTGTATGTTTAGACAGCGAGAAGTCAGCCAGCCCCAATGGGCATCAGATGTCCCTGCCGTAGACGAGAAATTTAGCCGGAGCTGCACGACTATGGTGCCCGTCTCCGACCGGCGCATTCAGCGTCCCATTCTGCCCGTGGCAACAAATGACGTCACAAAAGCCCGAGTGTCACGCGGCCGGATGCCGCAATCCTGGCGGTTAGTCGCAGCAGTTCCGGCAAAAAGCCCGAGCAGATGCGAGGCAGGGAGTGACCCCGGGATCCCTGGATTCTGCGGTGCGAGCTTTCCCTCCACGTGCTACGGGCTTTGGCACGTTAATGCGCGCGGCCACCGATCCCCACCACTTGCGTCGGGACCAGTGTCCTTCAACCTCAGCAAATCTGTACGGGCACATTTAATGACAAAACTACGACATAAAACCCGACAACTTGGCTAACTGTGGAGACTGCGACTCCCGCAACCCAATAAGGGCACCGGAGCAAGGCATGTGATAACAATGCATGGTTGTGGCCACTGGGGCCTCGTTACCACCACAGCAACAGAGCCCTCCTCGACAAAAAGTAGTTCTAGGCTTTTTTCTTCCAACGGCAATTTAACTCTCGCGATTCTGTCTATAACGAGAAGATATAAAGAATAAATAATCACAAATTTGATTTTCAGTTATATTTAAGCCAAAAATGAGAAGTTTACAAATCTCTGTAATGCGAAATTACAGTGCAGCTCTTGAGGAGGAAGAGGGAAGGGTACAGGGGGGAGGGTGTGTCCCTCCCCCTCCTTCGTACTCTCCCCTCCTCCTCTTCATTCCCTCCCCTCCTCCCACAGTTTCCCCGCTAAATTTAGCTAGAAAATTGACACCACATGACCTCAACACCAATTCAGTTTCCCCGCTAAATTTACCGGGGAAAATAAAGTCACATAACTTTGTGTCACGTCACCCATGAACAAATTCAGTTTCTCCACTAGATTTAGCGGGAAAATTGATGTCACATGACCTTAACAACAATTCAATTTCCCGCTTAATGTGGTGGGGCGGTTATGCCGATGGCGACAGCGATGCCGAAACGGGTGCCTCAGAGCTGCACTTTAAAAAGTGACTCCACATCCGTATCCTCTCGATTGTTTTTAGCTCGTAGTGCCGTGGCCGTTGGCAATCACCGGCGATTGCAGCCGTGTAATCAACCGTTTCTGCTCAAAACATTGCACTGTGCGCTGATATTAGCACCCGTGACAGATTCGCAGCTAAATTGAGCGTACAGTTGTCTCATGAACTATTCCCGAAGTGCTCGCTACTCTAGCGGACGGATATATGTTGCTACGGTGTACATTCATCCGAAGTTGGTTGGTTTCGGAGCAGACGACTCTTGGCTAGCAGACGACAGCCGGTTTCTTCGGGCCTCGCGCCTTGCATTTGGCGTGGTGACACAAATGCTCCCGTGACGTTGGGTCACGTGCCTCGCTCCGACGCCCTTATTAGGTTGTCGGGCCCTACCCCTCTACAGTTTGCCAAGTTATCGTGAAACGAAGTATAGACCTACGGAATTTGCTTACTTACGAAAGACACTGTAAGGCACTCGACCTGCTGCCTCTCAAGACAAGCGAGCCCAAGAAGCGACGCCCGCCGCTAACTCGCCCACGAAGCAACGTGTCCGGAGCGACACGTGGCAGTGACACGAACGAGCTTGGTGCCGCGCAGGGCGACCTCCTTATCACAAGGCGCCAAGCAAGTCCTGCACTTCCGAAACAGCTTCAGCAGGCAACTGTCCGTGACGACGTAGCTGGCCGTTGCCCTGAACCTTTGCTCCTTGCTGGTCTCATCGACGAGGTACATTTCCTCCGTCTGGGTACCTGCAAGCAAGGCGCACAAACTTTAGACCTAGGGGCTTGTTTCTCTAAGGACTTTTCTGTTTTTATTCGAAAAGAATGCCACGAAGACCATGCCTGGCATTACCGATTGCATCTAGGGTACCCCGAATATTCTACTATTTTATGACCTCAGATTGTCTCATTCATGCTGGCTGCTTTGTCGGCCATTTTATGTTTGCTACTTTAAGTTCTTTTCTATGTGGCTTTAAGCGTGATCAAGGAGCGACCGCTAGGCCATCTTTTGCAATAACCAAAGTCGCCAAGTCGAAGTGACTGGTTCACACATTGGCATTCAGATGTGACTGAATTTGTTGCAACCGGTTGTGACAGCTAACAATGAGAGGATGAACTGGCACCATCTGTCGCCCTTAAACACATCCGACCTGCATATTCTTTCGTTCACATTACCATTTTTTTTAAATGACTCTGACAATGTTATAAGCGACCATTCCTCATTGACAGTGTAAAAGTTTCGTATCGTAAGTGCTGGAAAAACTTTCAGTCTAGCCAGGGACGGATTAAGGAATTTAGGGGCCCTGGGCTAAGGCTGTTCATGAGGCCTTTAATGATGACGATAACACTGACAAAGATAATGATGGGGGGTGGTGGTAACGACAAGGACAGCAATATGTATATTTCACCACCCTATGAAATACAAATATTGTTCACTTTATGATACATCTTGAAAACATTTTGTATCAGCAGTGATTAGGAAATTCAGGTTTCACTGGGTGAAAATGAAACAGGTATGATTGTGGATTCACACATCACAAGAAAGAAAGGAGAAAAAAAAATCACTGCCCCTAACAACATGTTTTGAAAGTCGCAACTCGACAACTATCTTAAGAGTACAGTGTTTTTATTCTAGTAATTGCACTGATTAACTGGAGGTTGTGCAACTAGCTCTTTTTTTTAAACTAATTACTGACTTGAACAGTAAAGCAACATAGACAAAAAAGTAATCTTGGTGGTTAAAGTATTTGGGCTCAAAGCACTTTGCCCACCCTCTTCTACTCACTGAACTCTCGTGTCCCAAACTAACAGACTTCTGCATTTGAATAATAAAAGAAATAATTGAGACTGAATGAGATTGTAATACGGCAACCACTGCCATTTGGACACTTTCATAGGCATTTCTTATGACGATCAAGGAGCTGTTTTCAAACTCCTCTCCCACATGCTGACTATTTTAAGGGGAAAATGTTCAAATTTGTCTCGGAAGTGGTTCAGTTTCTTCCAATTGCAGTAATTCAGAACTTCGCAGCCATTTAGATGTATTACTCTAAGCTAAGAATGAGGCTCGTAAAAAAATTGCAGCCATATCACTCAATGGCAGGAAAAGTGTTGTCTCGCACTGGCAGATCAGACACAGGCTCCAGAGCAGTTGCTTGCAGTCACTGCCTCTCTAAAACTTTTGGGAGACATCTCAAGAGCCGGCTCCTTGAAACGCCTGTTCGTGGTTAGAGAGGATGGCGGGAGGTTCACCGATATTTCTTTTTGCTTGGTTTAAACTTGTTTCGGAGGAAACTTTCCAAGTGAAACCACGCTAAGAGACCAGAAATTAACAAAACATAATGTGTAGCATCCATGTTGCTCATGTAGCCTTTGGCAGCACTTGCTTGCCTTACAACCCCTCACTGTCCCCAAGACGCAACGAGGGGGCCTTGGTACAACAAAGAACTCCGTGGCTGTCCTTCTGTCTAATATCAATTAGAAGAGACGGGACCGCCAGCGGCAACAGCTCCGACAAGGAGGGTAGGGGGCAATGCTTACATTTTGTTGCTCTAGCACAGCCTTTTACAAAGCTCCATAACACCAGTTCGTCTAGAAAAGGAAACTTTACAGCATCCCCGTTTCCCCATTGAAAAAAAATAAAATAGGGGGGGGGGGGGGGGGGTTCCACCACCCCCTTTCCCTTTGGCAGTCCCAGGTGCCAGGGGAGGGGGGGGGGGGATAATGCCAGAAAGCCAGGGCCCAGAGGCTCCTCTGAGTTTTGTTCCTCCTTTAGGTCTGAGCCGTTCTGAACTGAAACCAACTAGCATTTTTTCCAAATATCCAGGGGCCAGCACGGGGTACCCTGGCAGCCTGGGGCCCAGAGTCTATCTATAAGCAGGTTGGAAAGGTCCCTAAAGTACCCAACAGATGGCACCAGATCACACCTGTACACAAATGTGTAAAGCAGTCTAGTGCTTAGAAAAGGTATGTTGAGCTATCCAGCAACGCATTACAATACCTTTTGAGTGGCGCCATACGAAGTGGAATGTGGCCTTTGTCCTCGTTGGCTTTCTGAGGTCAACCTGGATGCGCCTCGACAGTTTCAGCCGAACGCATGGCCTGGGCATTCTTCCTACGCAACGTAAAGCTTTGTATAATGGTAGAAGGACGTAGCAAATGGATGTGAGCCATGAAACAAATGACACTATAGTTGACTGTTGCTCACAGAATGAGAACGGCAGGAAGGGGTTTCGGTCGTCCTACGTCCAGTGCGAGCTTCCCTTTAATAACGTAAGGTGCGAGCTTCCCTTTGATAACATAAGATGCAAGCTTCCTTTTGATAACATAAAGTAAAAAACCACCAAATAAAACTCAATTTTCTTGGTTAATTGAAAGCAATCGAGACAATGAACATATGGAAACTTGAAACGTAAAAAGTGGTCTACCCAGGTGCAACACAATTTATAGGACACTGAATGAAGTCTTGATCGAGGCTTGGCAGAAACCCCTATGCACGGGGAATGATAGAACCCTTTGTCCCAGCACCTTTCGCACTCAAATTTGACTGTAAGGTTGTGTATTCTTTAGAGTGAATGGCTTGTTCATAACATGAAAGATGCAGCAGTTGGATATCAGCTTTGTTTGCAAATCGAGAACAGGTTAAGGTCGCTTCCATCTATCTTGCAGCGCAGCAAAGTTCTGCGACAACTCCTGGTTTAGGGTTTTAAACGTTCTCCTACCCATGGTAGCTTTCGGGGACTTGACCATCTTTTTATTTCGAGATCGCAGGTTCCACCCATGTCTCGGCAGGTTTTCCGACGGCACTGCTAACGGTTTCAGCGTTCCACGTTTCCCCCAAACTCCCTCTGAAAAAGGCAATGGATGAATGGTATGACTAAGTTCTTAATACAAAAAATACACGCGTGCACTTCCCAACAAACTTCGGACACGCGAGAATAATGAACCTCCAAAAGTAGAACCCATTTGTGTGGCACAGCACCAACATTGCTCTTTGCTTGCTCATAAAGGGCACAATCTTGAGCCATTATTCTTGTTACTGATTAAAAATGATTATAGATTTCATTGCGCACTACGCGCTACTTACTCGGAAGATACGGCGGAGGTTCCCTATAAGCCTCCCGTTTAAAGTGCTTCGAGCATACCGATGCAAACGGCGACTGGAACAATCTGACTTTTAGTGCATCTATCCATTTGCGCCTAAGTAGTGGATCTGTGGGATAACGATGAAAGCTTATGCCCTTATCGGTTGCATAACTTTTGCAGCCTGGAACTGAGCAATATCGAACCATAGCGCGATCAATGTCGACAAACTATGCCGAGTGGCCGAGTCTTCACTGTCTTCACCACACTCCTGAAAGCAACGATCCTCATTTCTGTGTGCCAGTACCACGTGACCACTTGGCGGCGTTTGGAGGCGCCACTTTATGGTTCACGTTCACGCATGTTGGGAAATTCAAACTGTATTTGTAATATCTCTGTTTCATAGTCTAGAAATATATAGCTGAAATTAATTTTTGTTTAAGTTTTGAACATTGTTTTACAACATAGGTAGTCCGGCGAAGTCACTGGTTTCGTATTCCTGTGTTGGCAACGTTTAAAAGGAAAAGGCGGGCATTTTGAACTTGTTTTGTTACTGTGGTAGTCGACCTGCGGGCCTGCGGGCCAACAAGAAAAAACATGCTCAGCTTTGGCGGTAGCTTTGTCGGCGTCGTTGTTGACGTCGGTCCTAACTTCAAACGCACGCACTTTCTCCCCTCTCCCAGACTCAGTAATGCAGCTGGCTTTCCTCTTTCTTGTATTCGATAATCACGTTTGTAATTTTCCTGTAGTACTTGAAGAGAAGTATGAGCATCTGCTGCAGTGCTAACAAAGGCACGGGGGTCTTTTTCTGTAAACAATCTGTGTCGGTGGGCTTGTTCTTAACTTTTCCGATATTTCGGTCCTGGCACATTTAATGTCTATTTAGATATTGAAATTTCTGCGGCACTATTTAGAGCTGCACTGCGACTCACCTCTGCAGGATTAATTCTTGTCTGTGTGCACTTGGGAAATCTGGAAACTCACGCTCATATAGCTTCCAGACTGGTCACCACCAGTGAAATGTGTCATGTATGAAGCAATTTTGGACCCAGCTTGGGGGAAGAAAAAAAAAGGGGGGGGGGGGGGGGGGCGGAGTGCAAACTATACTTAGTGGTATAGAGTAATAAAAAGAGAAATAGCGGGTTAAACATGGTGGTCAAGTAGTCTGTATCTCAGCTACGATATGCTTAGAAACTGCCATGTGCTTGGCGTCATGATCACCTGACATGAAACCACCATCTAAGCTTTGTAAAGCGTTTCCACATTATTTTTTGCTGCTTCAGGGCCAGTTTGATGCTATTTGCACAAAATGCGCTGCAACGGCTGCCTGGAAACAGTCTATCGGCCACGACATCTGGATTGATTACTGCAGCAGCGAGGCTTGCCGAATGCCTTGCGGCAATAGACCATTTGCAATCAAGTACCAAGCTGCATGCTGGTAATGTAGGTACAGCACAGACTAGCCTTGTCCTTATCATAGTTTCAGGAGGATGACAGTTGCACGTGCTAAGTGCCATTTGTTTTAGATTTAGACAAACAGATGCAATGCAATGACTGCACCTAAAACTCCAGCATGCCCCTTGCTATTGCAGTGAAATATTTGAATTAAGGGGACAAAAAACTACAGTGTGTCCCCAAAAAAGGTTTACAGTGTTTTTTTAACCGTAAATATAAAATATGCATTGCCGAACGATCATTCTCCGCCCAAATGTAGCATTAGAGGTCAGAACCAGGTGCCAAAGTCCCAGCACTAACCAATATTTTATTCAAAAGTTAAAATTTTCCGAAATTTCTAATGTAAAAATGGGCCCATTTTTTGGCCGTGTTCAGTAACTGATGCCATAGAGCTACATGTATTCGAGAGATCTGTTGGCTGCCATTTTCTCATTCAAAAATTCAGGAAATCATTTATAACTTTTGAATAATATAAAGGCTGAAACTTTGCCATCTGGTTGAGACCTCTAGCTCTATGTTTGGGTGGAGACTGAGCATTCGGCGACGCATAGTTTATTTTTGCGAAGAAGAAAACCTGGTATATCTTTTGGCAGGACACCCTGTACTTGCTTCTAAACCAGTTTTTCTAAAGGCGGAATTTTTCTTGCCGTTAACTGAACCCTCGACACAGTTGAAGACTCCGACTAGACTGTGCTACAGTTACTGACAAGTTGTCAGAAACTATGCAGTTTGAGTTCAAATACCTCTACAATAAATTTTGACTTCTTTACAATCTCTGCATAGTGGCATCACTAGGTAAACAGTAAACGCAGTGTGTATGCAAGACTAGGTTTGTCCACAGGTCAAACCAAGTATTTAACCACATAGCTTCCACGGCACACTCCAATTTGGTGAAAACTTCTTGATACCAAATTCTCGTTATGCAATAGCCGGCTTTCCCAAACTGCCCAAACAAATTTCAGATAAGCTTTCGTAAGACTTTAGTGGTGAACATATGCCTCAACATTGGTCCCTTTCGCCATGTTTCTTGAACCATGTGTCCGGAGCCTTGTATGCAGTTGTCGACCAACACGAGCAAATGCCGACATGAATCAGGAAAGAAAACAGTGAACAGCATAGGAAAGACATCACATTGTTCGACATTTAATAAAAATTGTTGCATGTCAGTACAGGACACATACGTAAGCAAGTATATACAGACACATAGACATAGCTACGCAGCACTGAATCAAGAAGCGCAACTGGTCAGTAGTACTATGTATCTTGCATTGGAATGTTTGTTCTTAATTTGTGCCATTTGTAACCTAAACTGTGCATGAACTTTGTGTATACTTGTCCTTGTAAGCTTACGACATGTATTGTTCAAATGTAATTCTGCAGCTGCACAACTGCAGTGCAAGTGATACTGTTGTACTATTTGGGTTTCACAGTCGGTCTGAGTATTGGACTGGCCCAGAACTCGTCGTATTCACGAGAGAAAAACCGGAGTCAGAAATACTACACAGTGTACAGCAAAAAAAAAAAAAAAAAAATCATTTGGCAGTTACAAGAATTAGGAAGCTTGGAGTTTTACAGCAACTAGAAGATCAGCTTTCTTTAGTCAAAAATGTGCTTTCAAAAACAATTTTAAAAATTAAAAATCTTTGCTTTATCGGCAGTTGTCTCAACAACAATCACTCAAATGAGACAACAAAGTCAAACGATTGTCATGAAATGTTTTACGACAAAGTGTGACCCTGCACATGCGGCAAAAACACTTTTCAAAGCTGCCGACACGTGCCCGTGCGTTTGACAGGACTGCAGCCAAGCTTTCCTTTTGATCGTCTCCAGCTTTCGACTGTGTCGCCACGGCAGCCTTAATCCACTTTCCATTGTTAGGCGGAACTACCACCAGTGCGGTACTATACTTATGGGACTTGTCTTGGCAGCACCAATGTCTTACAAGGGTCCACGGTACATCCATGCAGCATTAGTACCGCCTTAAGACGTCAGCAGAACCATGTAAAGCCAGTCTCGAACACACTACAGTACCAACAGCTCTGGGAGGATACAACCAACAAATGTTCATCTGAACTGAAAACTTTAAATTCACTTTACTCTCCCTTTTACAACCCCCTCGTCATTTCCATCAATGTCTCGGAAGTGACAGGCATGCCGTTGGATATAGAACACTAACAGTCACGCCCTTCTGTATATATTTGTGGGTAGAGAAAAGATTGTTCGCTGCCGAGTACACGGGGCCTAACTCTTGGAGTTTGCTCCAGACGTCAAAAAGTAATTACTAAACGGCTCTTTGAACGGCGAGAAAAAGCTAGCAAATATGCAAGTGGGAAAGTGTCACTTGTCTGGTTCTGCACGACTGGTTACGTTGGAGCATCAAGATGAGCTGTTTCCGAAAGTTGGAGCCATGTAATGGCAGGCGCAGAAGCTCCAAAATTAGTGGTCGAATGGCATCATTTGAATCGCACAGCCTCAACTTTGCGAATAATTGGAGGCGATTTAGATTGGCGAATTTTCGGGGAATCAGTTCTGCAGCGTCTGCTTTGTTCTCTCGAAGGCATTCTGGTCTGCTTAGTCGAGAAGCTGTGCTATGCCATCACTGGAGTGTCAGGTCTGGCTCCGGGCATGATAGATGTTACTTCTGAGGGGAGTCTATCGAAACCCTTGCAAAATTACGCCCTTTACTGGACTTCGTATTGATTTTTTTGTGTTACATTGTGAAAGATTGTGTAACTTCCACAGTGCTCCTTACACAAGCACTTGGTTTTGTTTGGAGTCTCCTTCGTACGAGAGCGTGTGCAAATGAAGCCACATGCTCTAGCAGCAGTGCAGTGCTGCCGCAGCATGGAAATTTCACTAGCCTCGACAATGTAGCATAAAAATGTTGATGCCGACTGCAGCAGATTCGAAAAAGCTGCACATAAAAAAGGACACAGTCTGGCTGGCAAGTACATCGCTTACCAACATATCCAACAAACGAAATGTGATTATGGAAATTCACATTTTGCAGTGTAGTTTGTGCCGCCGTATTGTAGTGTCTTGGGAGATTTCAGAAGAAGCCACTGAACCTCTAACCCTTCAACGGTCTAAGTATTTTTTTTTTGTGTTGGTTTTTGTTTCTTCAAAGTAATAGTATAAAGAAAGGGTCAATGCACAGGTTTCTTCTTAATTATATAGGGGGAGCACATATAGTACTTGCAAGCTGTTTAGGTTTAGAAGCATAAAAAAAAATAATGAAAGCAAAAAGTTGTCATTTTCCTTCCCTTCGGTTTCATTTTGGCACGTCCGCTTCCGTGACATTCCAGTGGTTTGAGATTCCTAGCCGAAGGTACTTTACGGAGCACCTTCGTCGGATGATGAGCTCTCATCCTCCGAATTCAATTCCGAAAGCGTCAGAAGCGGAAGAGCCATTGGCACTACTGCCAGAGCAGCCAGCAGGCACGTAGCCAGAAAAGGGGGGCCCATGGCCCCCCCCCCCCCCCCCCCCCCCCCCCCCCAAAATCTTCCATTTTGCTGGGGCCTCCTCTCCCCCCTCCCCTTCATACAGCATTTTGTCATTGGCGGGCCCCCCCCCCCGAAACAAAATCCTGGCTACATGCCTGGCGGCCGGTTTGCGAAGTGAGCCTCACGTGCGCAGAGCGACTAATTTGAAAATCATAAATAGCCCAGCAAAGCAAAAATCTGCGCAAATGTAACATTTGTAGTCCGCCGAAGGCATAACAAATGGCGACAACTCCTGTTGTAAATGCAGTCTCGCGTTTAGGCGGGCACTTTCGAATATGTCATCACCGCCATAATGTATGGCAACGACCCCCAAAGGGTTAAAGGGAGAATGAGGATGCTGGAAAAGCAGAAGACGGATCCAACATTCCGAAACCAAGTTCCTCGGACTACGGTGTCCGGAACATGTCGTCGACTGGCACATTCACCGTCCTATCCCGCCCACACATCGAAAGCAGAATGGGCATCTATCCCCTCTGTGGCTGTGTCACTGCCAGGATCGCGGCAGACGGCGGTATGACACTTCCGCGACATCGTCGTGTGGAAGTCAAGGGAGCTCTTCGGAGGGCGAAATGAGCACGCCGGTCAGAGACCTGTTCCAGGGGTCCGACTTTGGTCAAGCTAAGAGCGAGAGCATTCTCGGCTGCTGATTGGACGTGGCGCCACAGCTCGCGCATGATCAACCAGCGAGACATTTTTGACCCATTCAGAACCGGGCAATATTGTGGCGAGAATGTCTTACCAACACAGAAATAGTAAGAGATGTCTCACACCCTCTGATGCACTCGTCCTTAGTACTCTATTGTCCACCGGTCGGTGTCGGCTAACGTACGGCGGCGGAACAACTGGAGATATGTAAATGAGGCGCGAGTTGTCGAAGGCTTCCACCGTGAAACAGCGGACATTCTCAATTTCAGCTTGCATCTAGATCTCGTAATAGAATACTAAAGTGCAAAACAACAAGGAAGGTGAAAAAAGGGAGACAGGAAAGAGCGCTAACCATATCTGATGGCGACCGAGTAGAACCTCGCCTTGCAGGTTGAACTGGCGATCACGTTGATATAAAAAGAAACAGAGTCTAGAGGGGATACACACGAAAAAGCGCCCATTGTAGAAGAAAGAAACTGCATTAAGATCACCTGGCGGGCTAGTTTGTGCACATATTACAATATTAAAGTGCAAAATGATCTGCGAAGCGGTTCCACCTTCCTCGTCGTTCTGCGCTTTAATATTGTCATATGTACAACCAACTAGCCCACCAGACGATCTTAATCAAGATCTTGCTTCGCAGCACCGTTCGATTCGTAGCAGACAATCAACTTTTTTTCCGGTCTGTTAGCGAACAACGTACGGCGTTTTCTCGTTTTATTTCCGTCCGCGAATGATGCTTTGTAGCGGACGAAATGCATTTTTGGCTTGTGTGAGCGGGCAAACCATGTACGAATGCCATCTCCGCTTGCCCTGCAAGACGCAAATCGGACCTCGCTCTCGCAGCGACCAAAATTGGATCCCAGGCGCCACATTCGAAGTACAGTGAGGCTGCTCCGTGGCAGGACGCAACCTCTAGGCCTCCGCCGGATGGCTTTTGGCCATGTGCATGGCTAGGCTCTTCCTGGACACAAACGTGTTGGTGCACAGCGTGCACTTGAACGGGAGCTGCCCGACGTGCCTGCGCAGGTGGTTGATGAATGCGCTGTGCCACATGAAGGACCTGGGGCAGTGGGTGCAGGAGTAAGGCCGCTCGCGAGTGTGCATGCGCTCATGGCTGACCATGTTGCCCTTGAGGCTGAACTGGCGGGCGCAGTACTTGCACCGGAACGGGCGGTCCCTCGGGCGGTCGGCGTCGGCGGTGTAGTTGGCGCTCAGATGTCCAGACCCTCCGTGGAAGTGGTTCTCGTAGCTCGTCATCAGCAACGCTGCGAGACGGGTTTCGGCGATCGAAGGTTACTAGAGTTTCTTTGTTTAAGATGAAAGGAAAACGCAACAATCGCTATGGTCACTGACGGGGCAAGAATGGTGGGGCGTCTTTTGCACTGTGCAAAGCACTGTGGAAGGCAACAAGCACACGCCTGTTGCCTTCCACAGTGCTTTGGTTGTGTGCGCACGCTCCAGGTTAGCGAAACTTCAGTGTTATCAAAGGTAGCGATCTCGCTCTGGAGGCGGGACAACTGAAGTTCTCATCCGTTCTCAACCTGAGCACTGTAACATGCACTACAGTCACTGAAGTGCACGTCAGAGTGCTCACTTTTGTGAGCAAAACATACATCAAGATGCAGATGTAGCATCGCAAGGGCAGGGACCTTCGGGTATCTTCGAGGGTCAATCTCTGGCAAGTGGAGCGGTTGTAGAGGATAAAGAGAGCAAGCTACGGACAATCCCGACACATACAATGCAATAACTCACCTCGATAACAGTTCAAAATTTTCGAAAAAAGAAAAAACAAAATCTGCTGCAAGATTGGTGTAAAGAGTAACATCCAAACAGTGTCTGCTGGAAAGGTGGAAGCAATATTGTATGCTAATGTGAAGGTCGTCTGTGTTGATCCGATTTATCCTCTTTCGACAACTTGCCTGGAAGAAAAAGAGCTCATTATTAATGATGCCAGGATAACTAAGCAGGCATCATCAGTTTTGCACGCACATTATTGTAAGAGACAGCATTGAGTGATAGGACTATGGCTTTGACGATACCATTTTTTGAATTATTTAGAAATTATAAGCTAATCAAGACAGTCCAAATAAACATAAAATTAAATTACTTTTAGCAGTTTGGAAGGATATGTCCAAAAAGTAACGCTGAATCAAACAATTAACCATGCTCTTCACTTCAGAAAAATTTATACCATAAAGAATCCCTAATATAAAAGCACAAAAGCTTGCACAAGATACCAAAGTTACAATCTGATCACTATAATATGGATACCAGAGCACATCAGTAGATATGTTGGATTTAGCTAGTGCTCTTGCACTCATGCAAACTTCTAGAAGACTCTTTTTCAAAATTAGGACTCCTTCCAAGTCACAGATCTAACCCCATACTGCTGCACCATGTCAATCATCCAGACACCCACTATTTCAATATGTGCCTGTGCACAACGTTACAGGCCATGAAAGTTGCAGATCACTTTCAACAAAACCAGGGAGCTGTTCCATCAAGGCAGGTGCACTCCATTTCAGCATAACTGGGCGAATGGTGAAACCTACGGCCTCAACGAGCCAGTCAGCGTGGGAACGCACTCCTCCCGTGGAGAGTTGTCGTGTTTTGCTTGGTTGTTTTGACTGGCTCACGGGGGCCACATCTTTCACCCTTTGCGAAGTTCTGCTGTAGAGGTCGACAAAATGACAAAGAAGCATGACATGAAGGGCAAGTGTTTAACAGGATTGTCCGCTCACAATGTTGGGGCAACGGCGGGACACCAGTGAATACTGTGCTTGCTGGAAAATGACATGCTGTGTGCAAAAATAGTGTTCTGTTACAACAGTGCTTCGAAGCTTCCCTGTGCTTGGCGTGACGAGGTTGGTGCAGGGAGCTGAAGAGAGATATGCAATAGAAGAGACGAAGTACGCTCGACATCTTCCTGCTGCGGCACTTGCTGTCAGGTTCTGAAGGTGTGGCAAGGCAGAGATGTTGAATTAGAGATTCTGTCTCCCATGAAGTGTGATGCAAACAAGTAAAGCCCAAAATTACGAGTTAATGAATTCAGAAAAACCAGAGCAACAATTTAATTAATCACTTCACAACTTTTACATTTGAATACACTCTTTATCTCTCCCGAAGAGGAACAATATATAGCTATAATCGGGGAGGTTCATACCAGCACAAGCTTGTTCTGACAATTCTATTGTTTTAATATCAACCACCTATTCCCACACGTTTGCGGATATGTGCAACGTTTCCTCACATGAATGGTCTACGTTTTCTTGTATGAATGCGCAACATTTTCTTCACATAAATGTGCAACGTTTTTTTACATGAATGTGGTACACTTTTCACACGGATGGGCCTTTTAATCAGAACCGTGCAACGTTTTTTTAGAGGAATGAGAAAGCACAACAGTTCCCGGAATGACCTGTCAAAACTCACTTGGAAACAGCTCCCGCAATTCTGCAACGGCTATCGGCAACAAAAGTCATTTCGCAGCAAGAAAAACATATAATAATACCAGATCGAATATTGCGACAGACGGAAAGATCTGGGACGTGAGAACAACCAACTGTGCCAAGTATCTTCAAGCCACACGCACACACACACGCGAATGCAGCTGTCATTCGGCTTTGGAACCGGCCAAAAAGCTTCACCAGCTCCGTCCCACGCGACTCTTCTTCTCGACTTAAAAAACACAAACGGCCCTATTTGACCCCGAGTGAAGACGGCGAGATCGCAAACTTAAAAGACACAAAACCATTTCAAAGGAAAACCCGTTGGGAGTCTACGGTCCGAAGCGCCTCGAACGACTCGAACGGGGGCCGCCATGTTTGTTTGTCTGCTATTTTGTTGTGTTTTTGCTGTTGGCGGTTCGGGTCATCCCGAGTTTCGACGCAGCGCGGCGCGGCGCACGCTTTCAGGAAACAGGCCTAAGAAATTTTAAGTTGTATAAACACTGATTCTCTGACGTCACGGGTGAACGTAATCGCAGCGCCCTGTAGCGTAAACACGTACAACTAGCAAAAAGCACGAAAAGAGTTTAGAACGGTGATACGGTTTATAGGCTATTTTTTTACATGCTTTAAAGCTCTAAAAAAAAACTTGAGTTGATTGAACTTTAAAATAAAATGCAACTTCCAAAGAACAACTCTTTCAGGCGCTGTATGAATAGCTGGCACCCACCCAGATGTTTAAAAAAAACACGATTGACCGATGTAATTTAAAATTGGATGCATTGTTTTAAAAGCACAAACAAGAATCCATAACAAAACAGTGTTCAAAAGCTGTAGTTTGTAGTCCTCGCCACAGATGGCGAAGCGATCGACGAAAGTCCATGACGTCACAGAAGGATCAACCCAGATTGCGCACTTTCGTGGGCTTGCGTACATATTAGCCTGCTCGGCGCCCGAACGTCGACGGCGCAGCGTACTGTAAACCCCGAGCATGTTCCGGAGTTGTCACGTTTCGTGGGCGATAGAGACATTTTAATGTCGTGCCATGTTGTCCACGGACCGATTTGCCACGTTCGTGTGTCCGGACTGCAGCGTCAAGTTTGCGACGCTATCTCACTTGCAGTCGCACTGGCTGCAGCATCATCACAACCGCCAGCAGACGACAGCAGCAGATCCTATCAGTCCACAACATGTAAGCGAAGTTTATTATTTCAAAACTGGGCTTTCCGCTGCTTCGTATGCGTCGCTTTTCTGTGATGTCATAATGATTCTGTGACAGGCTGTCTGCTAAACGAAATCAATCCGCATTAAGCGCGCTTGGGCCAGACGCGCGAAATTGCTCTCCCCTGAGCGATTTCGCGGTCTTTCTGTAATACCAATAATTAAAAAAATAAATGGTTTAGAAATAAATTTGTTTATATTTGGGCGTAAATATTGCTGCGTTTATGCGCAAAGATCAATACCATGCAACAACTTTAATTTTTGCAACATACGTTTGTCCTCTAAAATCAATAATGCACTAAGACCAATTTTTATAATAGAAAATTGCATGACGTTGGTACACGCTAATGAGATTTTCAATGCAACAATAATGTCTCTAAATAAATTTCTTAAAAAAAATATATAACTTCGTTCTCTGCGATAAAACTATTTCCAGTACCGATATTATTATTTTTTCCTATGCCATAAAATATATTTAGTAAGAAGCCATCGGTTTCAAAAGGTTCTGTTTTTAACCACGTCAATTGTTGGAGTTCTTTGTGCATATCCTTACTAAGCTGGATGCATCGGTCCTTTGCGCGACGTCTAAATGATAGTTACATCATCCCCGTTTTCGTACGAATAACAACATACCGCTATCGTTGTCGCAGGAAAGCCTTTCTCGCTCAACGAGCCACAAAATACAAAAATGGGACAAAAAATAGGCATACAACAAATGTGTAGAGTTCTTTTTGCTTAAAGGCCAAAAGACTATCTTTGCGAAGGGTGAGAAGAACACCGGTTAAATATTTAGTCACCAATATTATTTATTCAAAATATAAACATTTAAAATTATAGATTATTTTAAACTTTTTTTTTTTTTTTTACAAAGAAAAGGAGGACACCGCGCAGCTTGACGAAGTCCTGACGCACGACACACTTTCGCTGGAAAACAGCATTATAAACGAACGAACGAAACGAAAATGCTAAAACAAAAAACACGAGGTTTTTCAATACATCTGCTTCCGAATATTGTGGCCACTAATTGCAAGTTTATATTTGTGTTGTTTCAGCCGGTTATACAAGCAACGTGTTTTGCCGTATCGTATCAGTTACGTAAAATATTGTTTCTTTCGGATGGAGTACCGTTAATCTCGAAGAGCGTGAGCACAAAAGAGCTCTAAGTTTGGCTGCTTTCCAGAAGGGCTTGCCGCGTCTCTTTCAAGCATCGGCCGTACATACGAGCGATATTCTTCTGAAGCGCCATTGTCGTGCCACGATCCAGAGCTCTCTTCTTGTGTGTGTGCGTGCTGCCACAGCCCTGACCCGCGTTCAAGACGACACAATGCCCGTTTCTGTCACTCCTTTCACCATTCCCCCCCCCCCCCCCCCCTTTTTTTTTTCTTATTTGGTGCAGTGGCATTGATGCATTTTGCGCACTCGAGATAGATTTCACTTGCCGCTCTGCTTCCAGATAACTCAATCCAATTTACGTTGAATGCACGAAAGCGTTACTATTTTTTTTAGATTAGTTTAAAGACGAGTTATTAAGAGGGGGGGGGGGGGGGGGGGGCGCAGGGGGGGGCATGGCTGGTTGGAATCTTTAAAAGGGGAAGTGAACCTTTTTAAAATAACATTGATAAGTGTCCAATAAAGCGAACCTATCTAATTTTTTTTTTTCCGCGAAAATAAAAATTAGAGTTATATTTATGTCGTAAGATAGATTTTGAGTTAGGAGTGATTCGGAAGCGAATGCTTGAATTTCGAGAGTGGCTTCGATATCTCTCCTAACTCAAGATAAGTCTCAAAACGTAACTATTGCGCTGTATTTTTTTTATAAGTTTATTCTTTGACGTACGCATCCTGGATGGATGTTAACGGCTGTACACTTTATATCGGGCGGTAGCTTGCGCCAACTAGCCTAGAAATTAAGAACCAAAAGTAGGATTTCTTAATTTCGTAACTATCACCAGGCGGTGTGGGATCTCAGCAAACTAACCTCTAAGGAATCGGGCAAAAAAAAAAAAAAAAAAAAACTAAGAATTTTACGTCCCGCTTTTTCTCCACCGGTTAGTTGTACGCCATTCAGTTCTCCCTAGACAATTTCCACTCATCTTCCAGTGTCCTCTTTACTATTAAAATGCACTTCTCATCCATTCTCGTCTGCAAATTCCAGCGCGCCGGCTAAATCCGTTGCATCCTCCGGGAGAGCGGGAGCAAGCCCTGTGCATCTCAACACCACGTGTTCTATGCTGTCTCGTCTTCCCCTTGGCATACAGCATACCGCGTATTCACTTCGTCATACTTTGTCGTAGTCATCAATACTCCCGTTCTAGCCTCGAATAACGACGAGGCTAGAACAGGAGTACGTTTCTTCCTTATTCCCTGTTTTTGTCCCCTATTTTCCCTGCATTCTTTCTCTTTTTTTCTCCTCTCCAGACTTTTTTTTTTAGGGGAAAGGGAGGGAAAGAATGAGTTTAAATTTTTTTTTTAAGTTACAATCAATTTTTTTTGTGCATTTCCAAATTAACTACATACCGACAAATATATATCACTGTCAAATAAACATTTCGAAGATATTGAATGCCCCCAACCTAGGCAATTAAACAAATAGTTTTTTTCTATTTCGTTAAAAAATTTGTTTTTAGTGGCATTTTTGTCGTCACCAAGGTGGTGGTGTACGGAACAGGGGCTCGCGGGATGCTTACTTCGCCGATTAATGATGAATAGTTTAAGGCGATAACCTTTAGGGACGTATGTCGCGAATTCCTCCAAAGGTGATCCATCCTGGGAATGTCCCTGTCGCCAAAAACGATAGCGTCTACATTTGTATTTACGGCTTCACGCACATTGCACTCGCAAAACACATTCACACGCGGCGTCGATTCTTGATCGGTATCCAAGCGTGCGAAGGCACAGAGACGCAGCACTTCGGCGTGCCAAGGAAGCTTCGATCACGCCGCGAGACCGGCGAAACTTGCTTTCGACGAGTTGTGCCTTTTTCCCGCGGCACTGCGCTTTCGCAAAATTTTCCACGTATTCTCGACGGCAAGTCTCAGCGCTTACACGGTGTCTTAAAAAAATTCTTCGGCGAATGACGACACACGAGTAGAAACCCTGTCTTCAGCACGCTGCCGCCAGCCTCTGTAACGCTAGCGAACCGCAAATCGTCCACGTGCAACATGGCCGTCCGGTGGCTTCACTCGCGCTGCAGCGACGCTTGAGTCACAGGCTTGACTACCAGACGATCTACCCATACTAGCAGCAATATGGCGGCGTCTCGTCTCCTCCTTTCTCTCCGGCAGCAAGTTTACACAACCGCGTATGCCTTTATATATTTACTTTTTTTTTAGCTTTTAGCGTCAACCTAACCGCGTATACTTCATTTTAGACAGATGTTCGGTTCCCCCAGGTGTATCTTCATTTTGAACGACCGCTGCCATCGGCACACCAGAGCCGTATATAGGGAGAGTTTGGCCAGAATCGCGTGGGTCACTCAGTCAAACACAGGCAAAGAATGTCATTCCGTAGCACTCTGCGGAATGTCCCTTATGCATACAATAGGCTCGACCGCCCCTGTTGAGGGAACGGAATCTATTAATGTTCCCCCCAATCCTTTCGCAACGCTGTGTTGTGAATACAGCAGAGAGATGCTCGCCGACCCATTGCACTTTGGCTCGGAATACTGGGAAACTTGGTGTTGGTGTGACTGGTGACAGTGCTTGGAAATTCGGACACCGCGTGCCGAACCCGATTCGTTCACCCTGGACTCTGTGAAGATGTGCTACAGGCTTCTGGACAAGACACTTGGACATTTAAAGGATCTCCTTCCTTCCTCGGCTCCGCCCTCTTTTCTGCCAGCCACTTTCTGTGGCTCCTCGCGCCCCGCTTGTCGGCTTTGGCGAAACAACCTCCCTCTCTTTTTTTTTTTCACAATTTTTTCTTCTATCAGCTTTTATCCCCTTCCCCTCCCCCCAATCCAACGATGACCGTTCGGCCCATGGCTGTAACTCCAACGATGGTTTTTCCTCTTTTGCAAGACTTCTCTCTCTCTCTCTGGGTGTGGCGACGAAGGCGCCGAAGAGGAGAAAAGTAAATGAAAGGAAGGAGAGCGCCGAAGGAGCGAGAGAGAAAGAAGAAAGCAGAGAGGAGGCGACCGCCATTTTTTAGCAACGCTGTCGGAGACTGGTCGGAGAAGAGCACTGCTGAGGATACGCGTCGTCTGCTACGGGCCGACTTCTTTTTCGCCTGAATAAAAGTTTGTGGCCATACGCCGAAAAATCTTCATTTATTAGCTTTTTAACCCACCGAGGAATAACAGAATGTCATTTTCTTGCCAGAGCCAGCGATATAAAAGGCAATAATCGGGATTTAGATGCCGATCCCACGCATTCCGCCGGGAGGATGATCGAAGATGGCGGCCCTCCCCACTCAGGTGGGAGCAGCTGGGAGTTTACGCGCATGCGCTCATGCCTCTCGCTCTACGCCGCGTGCTGATTGGCTCACTTGGGAGGAGAGCGTTACGGCGGCGAGATCATAGACTGACCAAACTCTCCCCATATACGGCTCTGCGGCACACTTTCCTAGCGCGACATCTGGTGTCGCCTTTCGTTCGGAGCACATAAGGTGTTCGTTGGGCCAATCATCGGCCTCCCTTTCATCACCTGATCCCGCTCTCTGTACGCCGGTATGGGCGGGAGCCTGATCACGCGGTGAAAGATAAACCTAAGATTTTGTGCAACGAGCACGTAGCTTCCGCCGCGCTGACAATCGCCTGCCAAGGGGCGCTCAAGTTCAGCGTTCAAATTTCCTTTTTTTGTGTGCGTGAATTTATGAATTTTACAAGGTCATGATTGTCACATTAAACCTTTTGTAAAAATTCTGTACGCAAAGCGGAGTTTTTTTTTTTTTATATAATTTTACATTGTGTCCCATGATGTATTAGCGATTGACTGCAAGTCTAGCGCGGATGTCTCTGTATGACATTTTTTT